ATTATTGAAGTCACGCGTATGTTATTTGGTCACTTACAAATGCAATCGCGGTCAAGAAAATAACTCGGAATTTAGACATACCATATTATCAGATCAATATACTTAATCAAAATAAATAACTTTTAAGTTCATTTATCCATAGGATGCTGGTGTGTTGATTAGTTTTGAAAATGTCACCAATATTAAAATATAATTCAAATCTGACTTACCTTTTGATATCTTATACAAAATTAACCTTCATCGTCGAGGGGGCCTCTCTACGCTTTCACTGTAATACATAAAGTAAATAATGTACAGAAGAAAGTATATATGTTCTTTTCTTACATATCAATTCTCAAGATGTTTAGTCACTGTTCAAATGTCTAGTTACTTAATACCACGTCTTTAGATCACACCAGTCAGATTAGCTTATTTATTAGAAAGTAAACAGGGATATACCACCCCAGAGTGGTCTACCCGTAGACAAATCTCTTCTGTAACTAGTCCGACATTTTGAAAATCTGCTTTATCGGAGTTCGAAGCTGAGGATGGATTAAAAAGAGACTTTGCCACACAACATATTTCAGTGTCTATGTATATGAAAATGATTTATATGAAAGATTAATAAAAGGGAAATATTTACGAGCATATACACGTTTACAAACATTACGAACATACGCCGCGGTTGCGAAGTAGTTGTAAATGTAATCTTCTTTGAACCCCGAAAAGAATCATGTTTTTTTCCAGATGTAATGAGATTCAAAGTATGTGCAGACTTATCCAATAGCGCATCCACGGGAGGAAAAAGGGGTTTCGATCACTTGCTTTTTCTGAAGAGTTTCTTCTCGTAATTCGTCGAAAAACATGAAGAGAAAACTTCTGCTTTAACTACTTATTATCTTTTAAAACTATAGACTTTGTGTGTGTGAGAGGGAGAGAGAGAGAGAGAGAGAGAGAGAGAGAGAGAGTAATAACAATTTTAATCATATACGATAAAAGAAAATAAATAAAAAAAACAACCACCGAGGTTGGCCAGTTTATTAGATCCGATGTAGTACCTGAATTCTCTCCAACTTTTAAACCCAGTTTGCACCAAAGATAATTTGGTCGTTAACAGTGACAGGGAAGATTGTAGTATAAGTAGTGGGGCTGAAAGTTATTTCCCCACCTTGCATTGAAAGAAGATTTTCTCTTGCCCACCCATGCCCCCGTGATTTTAAAAAGACCACAAACAGCGATGACTCTGCTAAATAATATTTCTCGATAAAATGTTAATGTAGCCTACTTCTGGCAATCTTACATATTATATATAATTACATTGGTCGTCCACTGACAAAACAATACCTCATCCTATTTTTATACAATTGAAAGTTTGATATTGTTTTTAAGAATTAAATATAGTAGGTAAATATATTGGTTTTTAAATTTTGGTAAGATTATTCACTGGAATATAGGCAAAAGGAAAGAAACTATCGAAAATTAAGAATATTTTCACGCAAAACTTACTATTACGGCTAGCGATATTGCCGAGCCTCGCCTTTTTGTCTGTAACTTACGATAGGGTAGAATAATATGGGTTCAACCTTACTATTTAGCTTTAACATTACCATATTTCAGCTATAATGTAAAAATCTATAAAAGTCAATTAACATTCTTACCTTTCAAAGTTTCAAAAACCATGTAGTTAGTATATTTTATATGACAAAACGCATTATGTATGTTGTTCAGGGGCCCAAGTGCGATAGCACGAGGGCAATATCTATATATTACCTAATGTCTTGCACGAGACCATTAAACAACTTAAAATACAGACACTATCCAGCATGTGCATTTCTATGAAATACGTCACGCGGGTCCAATATTGCAACTAGTATAAATAATGTACGCTTGGCACATTGCCCGAACCATTATTTGAAATAATGGTAAGTCAACATCAAAGGATGACGTCACATCTGTATTTTAAGTTAAACTCTTACGGATCGTTATCTTGCTAACGTGTCGTTTGTTAACGGTTCTTTAAATTTCTGTTGCTGGAAAGTCGATTTCATTATCCGTTAGCTAACGGACTGATTATAGAGTAAATCTAAGAGAAGACTGGGTGTTCATTGGCTGAACTTTAACTTTTTAAATTCAATGTACATGCATAACGAATCCATAGAAGGTAGTATTAACAAGAAACTGAAGACAGTGGGACAACTGTGCAGTCTGTTCAGAAAACTTGATTAAAGACAAAAAGATAACTGTGGAATTTACTACAGAAAACATTATAATACAATTATAGAATACTTTATTTTTCCTTTAAAAATTTTAGCATAAATCTGTAGGAAACATTATGGGATTTGCACTACAGAAACTGTAGCATATTTGGGCCCCCCAAATTTTGTAGAACACTATAGAATTTCATCCTAATAGCCCCCACCCCCTTAACTTTTGGTTAAGGGTATACTTCGACTGACAGCCGAGTAACGCCATCGTTAAACAGATAACGGCGCCCAACACCTCCGTTAAATTAACGGCATGTTAAAGTTCACGGGGCTTCCAGCAACAGAGTTTCTCTCCATTAAAGATAACGATCCGTTAATTCCATGTTATCAGTCGTTAAAAGTTGACGGAGCTTTGAACACCCGGTCCCTGATCAAGAAAATTGTATATTAAATATCGGTATACCTATATAGGATCAAATAACAAAGGGTATCAGAATTAATATATTCAACTCACGTGAAGCCTTTATATCTATAGATTAAATTATATGATATGAAATTAGATTTATTTCATAAACAACATAATCTGTTCTTTTATTGCGATTCTGATAGAATATTGATATAATAATACCCATGATCGATACAGGCAAGTGGCAAATTTTAATGTTATGTTATTTTGTTTAGATTATAGGTCAATATCTTACACGAAAGAAAGAATACTAGGGGAAGAGAGGACTTAGTCTCGATCACTCGAGTGGATATTATTTCCTACTTTGAGAGTACGATTTAAATTGGAATTGATCTCGATGTATATCAATCGCTCGAATTGATTAACTATAATTATTTGTTTTGTTTTCTCATATTGTCTTGGTGATAATCTTGTGTATTCTTAAATTATTTGTGACGAAATAAATATCATCATTTTCGCAATTATCATAAATAAAACATCACGTTAACTTGTCAGTGATGCAGTCAATAACCCACAGAATCTATAAAAGTGTGTCGTATTATTCTAATTCCATTTTTAAACTTTTTACTGTCACATCGCAAAACAATGGACTTCCACCCAAATAAAGGATTTGGGAAGAAATGAAACGGAGTTTAACATTCTACTTGTCTGCACCGACCGGGTTAATAGCAATCTGTTTCACAGAGAATTACGAAAGTATTATAATATCTCTGTAAAAGATGACTGCCTTCAATAGTGACGTCACATCACGCGACGTCAATCATTGGCTTAATGGCGCGTGCAGAGTGCTGCCTTTTACTCATTTTAATATCCATTTACACTTAATAGGAAATCATTTTTACCTACAAATACTTCAAACGTCTTTATTTTTCTAATACATAAAAAAATGTTTTAGAATTTAATTTGTCGGGGGAAAAAAGTTAATATTTGGGGCTCATTAAGTCCCATCGATGTCATCCTTATCAGTGATTGTAGCGGCCTAGCGAATATTCACTGCTGATCAGTGTCGGATACTAGACGGTATACGCCATAGTGTGTTATGAGGAAAACGTTTACGTTCACGCCAATGTGTACACGGGACCTCCGTTGTTTGTCCCATTCGAACGACTATACACTGTTCTCGTCAGCCCCTCTCTGGAGGTCCTGTGTAAACATTGGTGTGCACGTGAAAGAATCGGATTTCGAAATAAGAGTGGGCCATAGAGCCGCTGTCCGCTCAAGATTTACCCCATGGCCAGTGCTGTAAAGTAATAAATTTAATGGAAAGTATTACACGTCCACATGTCGCCATCATGTCTGTACGCCAGTTCGTCAACCATTGTTCTCATGAGAGAACGAATCCTATCGATATTCATCATTTCGCGACCTTCCTTTCCAGAGTTGTGGGCGCGATAGACTGTAGTATTTAACGATGCCTGTGAAGCATTCGGGTCTTGGCAGGACGAACTCGATCAATATTCAGCGTCTGAGACCTTCTATTCCACAGTTATATCCATTATTTTTTTTCACGATAGAGACTGTAGTCAGTGGCGGCGCCAGGGGGGGGGGGGGGGGATTTAAAAGTCGAACTTTTCGACCTACGTGGAATTGTCACAATATGTGTATAATAAGTTATCTTCTTAATGTCTCGCTCTAGGCCATTAAACCACACTGAAATCTGATCTCCATCGTGATCACAGCTGAAACTGAATTCTTTACAAAAATGCAGTTGATCGAAGACCGACAGAAGTACTAGTAATTTTTGTGTCTGCATGCTCGACCCCACTATACTCGCTTGCAGACTTTACTATGGAAGGGAGATAACTAAAGTATTTCATTTTCTTGCAAACTGAGGCAGGCCACAAAACAGTCTTGTATGGAACATTTCCGATAATTTTCGTTGGCCTGAACTAGCAATATTTTGCTCCAAAGCTGTGGGGTTAACAATGGATATTTTGAGATACACCGATCTGACGTGGCATACTATTAACCTGTCCGCTTAACCCTGTTCCCTTTCACCTCAAATATTCATGGTACCACAATACAGGAAAGTAATTTGTTCCTTATGCATTTTTTGTTAATTTAATTATTAAACATACATTATGCAAGAGCTAAATCTGCCTGTTGCAGGTCTTTCTTTAGGCCTGAAATGTTTTCTAAATTATTAATTTATCCAGGCCATAATCAACTCTTGATGGCATCGGATTTCTCCGATATTATAGATTAGAACAGTTCAGTCATATTTTGATTTAAGCTAAAAATGGAAGAGCGAGACTTATGGACATCAGTTTATGTCTTTGGCCTTCCGCCTTGATACATTTATTAAAAGAATTTCTAATATGCTAATTTTACTTTTAGAAATTTTTATTAATATTAAAGAATATATTAATCTAACAAGAAATGTTTTTTGCATTTAATAATCAAATATTGACAATTTTTATAATACAAAAATTAACAAAAGAATGGAACAATGCAGTAAAAATCTATCTTCTATTTGATTTTACCTTTTCAAAAGACAAAAGTGTGATGTATTCTGGGAAGAGGGCATGATTTTCATCCTATTTTTGTTTCTGAGACATAGATCCAAATGTAACAGGCTATCAATAAAATTTATACAACTTTTTTAAAATTAGTTAAAGACAACGGAACACTTTTACCGTAAAATAAGAAAATATAGTGTGGAATTGTTGCTACATTTTTATTAAGATAGGTTGCCAGGCAACAAAACATATACCCACAGCAGCTAAATCATTCAAGCAGTCGACAAGGTTTGTCACATATTTATGCTTTTGTAGGTAATAGGAATATTTACAAGACAATGATATCAATTACATACAGACCCAATGTTCAACAAAGCGAAACAAGGGCCATAACTGTAGAAGTAATTAACAGAAATTGTTTAAATTCAAAAGCCTTCTTCAATTTACTAATCTCAATAATACATTTAAATTTAATACAGATCGGATGATAACTTTTGCCATTTGAGAGTTCACACGGGGTTCAACAAAGTGAAACAAGGGCCATAACTCTAGAAGTAAGTAATGGAGATTGCTGAAATTCAATAGGCTTCTTCGTTTTACTAATCTTAATAACGGACAGAGGCGACGGCAACATACAACCACATGTGGGCGGATAAAAATCAGTATTAACACCCATTGAAAAAACTAATCAATGGTGATCAATGATAACTGGTCATTTACTGTTTTGATAAAAGTAATAGAAGCCACCATCTGTTATTTTAAATGGCAGATTACATTAATTTCAATATGCATTGATATCGACACCCTTCAGGTCGCATAAATTTCCGGTCTTAAAATTATATATACACCTGGTTTTTTTATAATAAAAGTAAGTATAATTACACTTACAAGTATTTTTAACATGCAAGAACATGGCCATTACATGTAGGATATAACTAAACTACTAAACTGCTATGATCGATGCAATCATATCCTCACCATATTACGACGGTCTGCTATCAGGGCTAATGTTTAAAATGGTGAATTACATATATTGCATCCTAGATTACATAATGACTGCACAAGATGCTTAAGGTACATTCAGCGGAATCCTGATTATTGATATACATTTTCTACTCTCATAACAACATATCTTTCAAGTCAAAATAATAATACTAGGGAACTATTATGTGAAATATAAATGCTTGAACTATAAATGTGAAGACATTATGTATTACAGACATTCTTGAATAAAGCAATTCATAAACAGCAAATAGAAGTGAACTTTACCAGGAACCATTTTTTTTTTAAATATTTTTAAAAAAGAGAAAGCTTTTTTGGTAATTGTAGTATTTATCATTGATTATGAGTGTTAATATTTCATTTTCACACCAACAAGAAAGCGTTAATTAAACAGTTTTTGTAATTTGCTGATAATGAATTATCAGGTAACTTCAATTAATTTCAAGAAGGAGTCAAAAAATGAAGCTAATATTATAATAATATATGGAATATACAATTTAACATTTGATGTAATAATAAATAACTTATATCAACTACACATGTTAACAAAATACAAAATTCAATATTAATAAATGCTATATTGCATTATAGAATTATTTCAATGTTGAAAACCATCCTGAAAATTATTCACTTATTTAATACATTATTAATTTATTCAGTAAGTATTAAATTGGCCTCTCTGGAAGCATTCTTTTCTTCTGAAGATATTTCAACTTTGTACATTTCTCCATTTATTTCCACATAATCGCCAGACGTTAAATTCAATAACTGGTCAGAACTTAATTGAATACTTTGATCTGATTGGTCAGTTGATACTTCCTGTTTAACTATAGTATCCGTGGTGCTCTCATCTATCAATAACTGGTTGTCGTCTGTAATAGCCATATCTTGTACTGGTTCTTCTATAACATTATCAACTAATGTTTCAACTAAACCAGCCTGTTCAGCTAAAGCCTGTAAACCTTCTATAGCTTCTGCTGCTTCATGTTCTGTTATCGATGTGACTGTCGACGGTGCAGACGTTATGTTAGTTACACTAATTGGATCTGTATTGATAGAATTAGATAACGGATTGCTAACAACCATCGCAATATCTTCTAATGATATAACATTATGAAGATTCAGGGAACCATCGCCATCAGAGATGATTTCGATATCAGCATTTTGTGAACCACTTGCACCAATCCCGCCAATCATTTGTTGATTGCTGTCCTCCCTAACATTTGTCGTATCAGCTACAAAACAATTTGTTGAACCATCGTCTTTCATTACAATTTCAATATGGTGTTTCTTCTTCATATGTTGGAATAAGTTTCGTCTTCTAGGATTTATATAGCGACAAAGAACACAGGAATAAACATGTGATGGTGGACTTTGGTCTTGAGTATTGTGCTTACGCATATGAACTAACAAGTTTTTCTTGTTATTGGTCCTAAAATCACAAACAACACAAGTAAACTCCTCACTACAATCAGGCATCACACCTCTATGCTGAGTATGAAGATGTTTATACAAATTGATCAGTTTTGAAAATTTCATAGTACAGTGATTACATGCGAATATTTTCTCTTCACTTGAATAGTCAGCTTTCTCATTAGAATTACTTATAACCACTTCCTGAGTGGAATCAGTTTCAAATGATGAACTGGGTGATCGACGATAGGATCTCTCTCTTTCTATTTCAATGTTGTGTTGTGATTTCATGTGACGTAAAACATGTTCCTTCTGTGAACCTTTATATTCACATAGCCCACATTGAAAGGGTTTCTCTTTTGTGTGAATAAAAAGATGGCGTCTAAGTCGACTCTCACAATCAGTGACAAAGCTACAGTGTTCACAGAAGAGTTTTAATTCAGGTCCCTTTCTGTGAAACTTCATGTGTTGACGTAGATCTTTTTTACTGACTGTAACTAGACCGCATTCTTCACACGTGTAAGCATTCATTGATTCCATAGGCATATGGCGTCTTCTAATATGTACTTTTAGATCAGGATTTTCATTTGCACATACATATGGACACAATGGACACTGTACAGTTTTCTCCTGAAAAAGTGAAATTATCGATATTTGTCATATGTTTCAAATCTATTCTTGTACAATATTATTCCAGTTGGAGGTAAATGTATAGATTTTTGCTACATACATGTATACAAATTGTAATTATTATTTTACATATTTATCTGTTATGTAGTACCAATAAACATAGTAAAAAAAAAACACTTAAAGGAGTAGTACATGTACCATGTTCACCTTTTCTAGAAGTATCAAATCAGAATATATAGACATTCCGAAATTATGTTCCTAAATTATGTAATCAATTTAAGGAATTTAATTGATCAACTGTACAAGATACTTGAGCAGTTTTATAGACATGGTTATCCAGGTATATTGTTTGATATTTGTGGACAACCCCATATGGGAACTAAAAGTTTGTATTCCTTTGAAAAAGTATCACAAAACTTCAGATATTTGCACAGGACAAGGCTAAAAGCATTTTTAAAGACCTTTACACAGAAATAATCAGTTTTATTTATAAAAGTATATCTGACGCTCCTGCTTTAAAGCCAGAATTTATTGTGAAAACTAACCTGGTGTTTATACTTGAGATGTCTTTCTAGATGTATCTTCTGCCGGAAGTTGAGTTGACAGATATTACAATGAAAGTCTCTTACATCAGAATGTATTGCTACATGACGTTTCAGATTACTACTGGTAGCAGCACGGTATGAACAGTGAGGACACTGATGACTTCTCATTGCTGGAAAACATTAATTATAAACTAAAACATTAATATGAAGCTCTACATAGATTTTAAGAAAACCATGCTTCTATCCTTGAATTTTCATATAACAAAGTCTAACTGCATAAAGCTGAACTGTATATAGAATAAGAAAGTTTAGCTGTACTGGTACACAAACTTAAGAGAGACAATCAGATTCAATCACTAACAAGTCCAGTGGTAAAAGATTTTTTATCTATCACTGATGTAATGTGCGAATTTCAAGTGCTGTTAACAATTTTTACTAAATCTTGGTATCTGATCTATAGATAGAACTCAATGACCATTGAATATTGCTCGGGTTATTCAATGGTTCACCCAAGTGTATCCTCGCTCTGTTTTTAATCTATAACTACATGTATATGTAAATCTCAATATACACTGTACTAATCCAGATTATAAAAAAAAAAATCATCACCATTAAGGTTAAAATTCATCGTAGGTTCCTCTCTTTTTTCTTTCTTTTTTACAAAAATTGTGGTTGCTAGTGTTGACGTCATTACAGTTTGACGCAATTTTGAAATTGACGTCATTCCGTACAAAAGTAGTACTTGTTCAAGCCATTGAATACAACCATAGGTTATTCAGTGGCTGTATTCAATGGCTGTATTCAATGATATTTGCTTGTATTTGCATGTAGTTATAGAATAAAATAAATTATCTCATGATTTAAAAAAAATTGTCAATATTAAAGACAAATGGCATGATTACCTAAATGTTTACTTTTATGCTTGTACCAATTTGATTTCTTGTATGTAGCATAAGAACAAAATTTACATTGATATAAACCATGTTCATCTATTGTAACAAACTCTGGATGCTGAAGAAAAAAATATATATTTTGTTTAAAGCCACAATGCACCTGAAGGCCAATAAATATTTTCCTTATTTAAATGTAACAAAAAATTAAGAACTGCAAAGTGTACTTTTGAAAATAATTTGGGGGATTACAACACAAGAACTATGTTTGATGCAATCTTGGACTCGATGTTCATGGATAAAAATTAGTTATCATATAATAAAACACGATAAAGCTTGTGCCAGCCAACAAGTATCCACCCAACAGCAGCATTTTAAAGGGTTTCTTTCTACGTCAGAGACTACAACAACACAAAGTTGATGTGTCACTCTGAATCTATGTACGATTCTTCTTTACGACTAGCTGAGCAGTGTCGACTAGATTCATAAAAACATAGATCACATTTTACAATTCAGACTGACATATTAATGCAAAAGTCTGAATTTCAATGGTTTACCAGTACCTTCCGATCAGTCGGGGTGAGTGGGGCGGGGAGAAGTTCCGACATGCACAGAGATTAAAACGATACAGGGGATAGGGCCAGTAACCTTGATAAAGAGTATCGTAATGGTCTGGATTTTGATAAGATTCTTCCTTGGGGCTATAGCTAGTCAAACAGCAAGTTTGAAAAAAAAACTCACTTGTAGAGTGTTTACATTGTTTTGATAGAGGTAGGAAGTGTGTGAAAAATTGATGCACAACTCTGAATTTCAATAGGTTTTGTCTAAGGACCAGTCAAAGAATCCTAACAAGTTTGAAAAAATATCTCCAAAACTCTGACTTGTATTACAATTGCAATGTTTTGATGACAAGGGCAGCAAGGGCAGTAACTCTGCTAAACAAATTGTTGCATAATAAGGTATAGCCAAATAACCACAGAAAGTTTGAAAAACAAAATAGCAGAAACTCTGACCTGTAGACAGATGGACAGAGGCGACAACAGTACATAACATCGTATAATCATCTTTGAAGATTATTCTCTTTTGTATGTGAGGTACTGAGATATATGACCCAAACAACTCTAAAGGAACTTACTTCTAGTTTTTCTTCTGTAACTATTTCTCTCTTGATCTCGGCACCTTCAGGTAGTTCTACCATTATAACTTCTTCACCTTGTACATTCTGATTATCAGCCACATTATCAACATCTATTATCTTTTTACTTCCTATCTCACGGAAAACTTTCTTGTATTTATTCTCTTTTTTTCCCATATTACAAGTGGGTGTTTGAGTTTCAGCCGACACATGGGTTTTATCTGTATCATACTCCACTTTGATTATATTAGATCCTGGATCAAAGCTACCAAATGTTGATTGAAGGGTTTGGTTTGATGTTTTGATAATTACCTTAGATTGTAGAGTAGCCATATTATCGATCGACCGTGTGTCAACTGAGGTGTTAGTTTCACAGGGATCTTCTATCACGATTTGCGTTGTGTCATCAGATGGTTTAACTGCTTGTTCCATGGGAGATTGAAGAATCTTTTGACAAGTACCTGTAGGTGGTGGCATGATAGTCTTGATTGGCATCTGCTTATAAGATATTTTAATTGGTTTAATAGGAATAGCAGGCTGCTTTGGGTAAAACTTCACTGCGGAACTAATGTCTTCTGATGTCTGTTGTAGAGGTGATCCTGAACAATCACCTGGTATTTTCACCATTACGTTTCGAAGTGTGTCGTTATTTTTGTCAGATTTACCAGCAACACTAACACAGATAGTGCGATCTACAGAAGTAACTGGTCGCACAATTTTACCTTAAATAAAAAACAAGACTGATAATTGATAAGAATCATCAGAAATTATTCCAAATCAATAGAAATGCAATGATTAATGTCCTACTTTTCTGCTCCTACTGGGCTAATGGAGACGGGCATAGGCCATACTGTGTGCTGTGAGGGAAATATTGACCAGACTGCAGTGCTACAGCCTACTCTTATATCGAATTCCAACTGCCAAAGGATCTTCAACAGGCATGCCAATGTGTACATGGGACCTCGTTCTTTTTTTTGTCCAATCTGAACGACTGTACGTTTTCCCATGCCAGGCCCTCAGTCCTGCACCACTAACAAGGAGGAACCACTCCGGAAATTCCGATAAACTTTCTCGGCCAATGAAGGAATCGAACATGGGACCCCCAGGTTAGCCAGCCAACGTCTTACTCACTGAGCCACCATGGTTCCCCCAAATCAATAGCTTCCCCTGTCTCAAGGACATAAACACTGTGTAAATTTAAAGTCAATTGGATAATTACTGTAGACTCTAGAGTGTCCACGAGCAATTGTGGATGACAAATTTTATAATAATATATATTATAAATTACAAGATAACACTATTGGGAACTGGACAACCAATATCTGGGACAACTGCTTGACAATGGATACCACAACAACTGACACTTACATGTACGACACCCAGACTTATATGTAAGATAATTGATGTCTATGATACCAAACAAAAAAACTGGGACAACTGCTGTCTGGGACATTTACTGCCTAGGAAAAGTGATGTTGAGGACATCTAATGAAAGTATATCTGAATAGTTACAATAGTACAACTTATATATTTGTATATTATCCTGGTAAGGAATGAACACAATATTATTAAAGCTATGACTATATATTACCTGGTTTAAATGGTTTTGAATCTGATGAAGTACTAGGTGTACATACAGGTGTATCAATAATTATATTTTCATCTTCACTTGTATCTAATAAAGCTAATGATTGTTTAATTAATGTTCCTGTACCATCTTTCTCTTCATTGCTAACTTCTTTCTCATAACTCTCAGTATTTTTCACATCACTCCCAGTATTTTTCATATCATTCTCAGCATTATTCTCATCACTTTCTATAGTAATCATATTACTCTCATCATCTATTGCATCACACTTCGCAGCGTCTGCTTTGAGGTCAACTTGTGTTTCATTAGTAAATTCTTTAGATGAGATGGTAACTTCTTCAGAGGTGATGGCAACTTCTTGAGATGAGATAGCAACTTCTTTAGAGGTGATAGCTTTAGATGTGATAGCAACGTCTTTAGACAGCATAGCAACATCTTTAGATGACATAGCAATGTCTTTTGCCTCACTGTCAATTTCTTTAATCTTGTTTATTTTCTCTGGCTCATTGTCTAATAGGGCTGTCTTTAGCTTGGAATTACCTTTCCAAGAATCTGTAATACAGGTTTTTGAACAAATTAGTTTTATTTTGTGCAATATTGCACTATTACTAAGCGATTATGAAACATAGATTATCAACATACTGATTTTCTTGTTTATATCTACTGAATGATACCACAGATAATTCTGACTATCAATAATGTTAACAGAAAATATACCGAACATGAGAATAAATGGATAAATTGGATTGTAGACTTATTAAAGGAATGAACAATTAGTTATTTCCCTAGGTCTCAGTTAATGTCCTAGTATTTATTCAGTGATGAACTGGAACCTTGAGTCTGATATTTCTGAAGAAATTGTTTGGTTTGAGGGAAGGGGATCCTGAGAAGCATTTTGTTGAAAATATTTTCACTGAATTAGTTCCAATGAATTTACATGTAGTTCCAATAAGATTATTAGCAATTTTCCATTCCATGTAACATATATCTAACCTGTTTTATTTTGTGCAGTATCTGATGTTTGATAAACTGATGATATAGTACTTGTTGTAGATGGTTTAACAGATCCTGTAATAGCTTTAAATAGCATCTCATTTGCTTTTAAATTACTTGATGTTTCAATTAGATTAGAGGACTCAACCGTTGCTTTTGAAGACAATTGACTTATTGTGCTATTTGCTTTATCGGACAGTGCTGGAGCTGTTACTTTGTTTGGTGGATAAACCATGACCTCAGTAGTTTTTCTTCCTTTTACATAAGTTACAGATTTTACTGCATGACGACTTTCAGTCCTACAATATACACAATCACATAATAATCACTAATTATTTAGTATTAGACAAACCTGTATCATCATAAAAAAAACCTTTGCGATCTAAGATAAAGAGGTCTTTTTGTTAACTGAAATTCATATTATGAAAAACCAAAAACTTGTCATAAAAACTTCAATAAAATGGTTTTTAATTTTACATAAAATCTTGATTGACAAACATTATTTGGCACTAGGGCTGGCAATCGATCCTGTTTCTAGTATCGATTATCGCCGACCATCCACCGATCGATAATCAATAATATCGGCAAAGTATTTTGACTTATAATTGGTTTGAAAACAATCATAATTTGTACACGAATTATATGCGAGTTTATCCTGTGATATCATTCTGTATACATGTCGAATTTTTTTTTCATTTATTTGACATTTGACAATAAAATAATAGCATTCCATAGCAAAACCAAGGTGTAGAAAGAAACTCGATCAACTTCGTTTGGAAGACAGAACCCGCCACCGCTCGCCATATCTTTGTTGCTTATGACCCGAATAATAATGAGTAAAATGTAGTTATTTCCCTTTGATCACATCAAACGAATTCTTCAGTTCGCCGTAACAGTTTATTTCTTACAGTAATTTTTTTGCCCTGGGGGAAATTAAAAATCTCCTCTTCAGACAATTCTTTGCAAATTTCTTAATAAAATAATAAATTTTATAAAGGGAAAGTACGTGTTTGACTTAGAAACAGAGAAGACGAAAGAAATGAAGAGTTAAAATACGGGGCACAACTGGATGTTACGTGAAACCATTGGCTCTCATCATGACATAAGCGGCCAACATTTCTCACCGGTGGCGTCTCGCGTGAAAAAAAAAACGTGTGTGTTTTATTATGACTATTCTGTTTAATTACAGTTCTAGGCCCAAGCACGCGTTGCAAAGAATACAGTGATAAGGATTATTTTTATGGATTTTTAAAACTGTATCGATAATCGATTTTCAAAACACTTACCCACGATTATCGGCAATTATCGATTATTTCCGCCAGCCCTATTTGGCACAATCATATAACATTATTTTCCTACTATAGGTTCTATGACACAGAGTCTAACATTGCTTAACAAAATGTCTTATACATTAGCATTATCTATTTTCCTAAGTAAAATAAAACAATGTAGGTATATAACGATTTTAACATTTGATACTACCCAAATAAACAAACAGTCCAAGTTAAGTGGAATTCATCGTATTGTAATAATTACCATAACAGACACTGAATAAGAAAACAAAATCTCACCATTGAACGCTTGATGGTGGGGTTTCACTTGTCTTAGTATCAGATATAGTTTCTCCAGTTTTCATACTTTGGTTTGCTAACTTTGTAGAATCTATTACTTTCCTTACTACTGTTTCATCTGAAGCTATATTTATATCACTAATAGACTTAATTCCTACTGGAGTTTCTACTTCTTCTTCTCTAACACTTGTAGATAAAATTTCTTCTTTAGCAAAATCCTCTTTTACTGTTAGCTCATTCTGTGAAGAATCTTGATTATCTGAAAAAAAAACCTTTGAAAATTAAAATGTTCAAGATATAAAACCAAATGTATCAGGACTTACACACAACCCCCCAGGAATTACTCATTTCATTGTGCCATGTACATGTATCAATAGACATATTACATACTGTTGGCCTCTATAAAGATATACTCAAATAGTATGTAATTTATTAGAAATTCAATGTTGAATGTCCACACAGTTGTCTTGCCAACATCACAAGATTTCCTACCTGTATTGTGTATTTCTGGAATATGTTCTTTTTTAACAGTCACAATATGAGTCTTTTTTTTCTTCTTGGGTGCTTCTACATCCAAATCCTGAAATTTTCTGTTGGGTACAAAACTGCGACTACTTCGACGTGGTGATGAAGTATTGCTTTCATTATTCAGGGTAACAAGTGAGGGCTTAGACTTTGGTACAATTTGAAGATCTGGAGTATTAGTAGACTTTCGTGGACGACCTTAAAATTAAAAACATTTTACATTTAATAACTCAAGGAATAATTTTTCTTCACATATATAAAATTTGGCCTGTTAAAATGCCATAGCTACAATGTGTAATCAGTACTTTATTTATAATATACTTGTGGCAGATTATAGTTGCCAACCAGTTTGTAATTCTGGCACTTTTTTACGCAGCTTTTGTTTGGTTTGTATTTCTGTTTTGTTTCTTGTATGTCGAGTCATGTTGCATTGTCTATAAAAGGGAACCAAATACATGTGGATCAGAAAATATATATACCACACCTCTAGATCTAGGAACTTTATCTTGAGTTGATTCTGTAGACTTCTCATCACTGTTACCAGAAATAGGTGTTTCTTCATTGTCATTGTCTTTACTTTTATCTAAATAATAGATAGAATACAAAATAATGAGCTATAAGAAATTCATACATTGGTATCCAGCATTCAAAAAAACTGTAAATACCTAAAATTAAAGGGACATTATGCAAAAACTCGATCATGATGGGTTTGTCCCTCATCTAGTCAATATTAATACAACAACAAAGCCCAAAAATACTAACGACCTGGAAACATAGTAACATAGTCGGTGTCTCATGAATCCAAATCAGTTGAGAAATAACAAATTTGCTACCTGTGTGTATGTGGTGATTTAGTAACTTCAAGGACAATGAAAAATGCATGCAGTATTGTTTCAGCAGGTTACCTGCCATGGGTCAAATTAGCTGTATTAATCAATTAAATAGTGGTAAATTCCTTTTGAATAAAATCAAATTTCCATCATGTCATTTCATTTTCCTACTTTTCTGCACCAACCCAATTGATTATTGATAATGATTAATTTTTGAACAGTGGTCAGGAAATTAAACACTTGTAAATTGGATACTCACTATCAAAAATAACCATTCAGCTTTAAACTGGACACAAGTACAAATTAGATGATTTTTGGTGATATTAAATGACTTTTACGAGTTTTTAAACAAAGATTTGATATTGAATGAATGTGAAAGAAATTAGTGCTAAATACACAAGATTAAATGATATCCAAGTTACAGTGTTTCTTGACCAACACCAATCAGCCACTATACTCCTCTCTGTGTCGTGTAGGATAAAGAAATTGAGATTATTTTGTACCTTTAATGGCCACCATCTGTATAAATACTGAACAGACAAGAATTATTTTTGTTAAGATTAAAACAGAATGTTTAAATTTTAGCATGCTGCGAATAACTTCCAAACAAATTTCAGTCTATCTGATTTATTTTTTTATATACCTGTACTACTACTACTTGTGTTATCAGTTGATTTTAATATCTTTGTGTTACTACTAGATGTGGTTTGAGTAAACTCAATATGTGCTTCATCTGCTGTTCTTTTACCACTATCTGTCTCTGTACAATTTCTAATCCCTGATATTGATGTAACTGGGGTAGGATCAGATGATTTAGATTTTTTCTGGGTTGGACTTGATTCAGAGCCTTCAATACTAATATTAGGTGATGTAGAATCTCTTCCATTTCTCTTTCTTTTACTTGTAGGTTTTAATTGAGAAACCTGTAAATCATCTTTCATAGAAGTCGAAGGTGGTGGACTTACACCTGATCTCAATGATCTTGAAGTGGAGTTCTGACCAGACACTAAAATAAAATGATAAAGATTTAATGCTGACTATAAAAAGGCATAATGAGGCTGATGTCCCCGGCTGAAATAAATAGATGACACACATTAATTAATTGCATGTTTATCTTTTTCAAAAGTATCGAGCAATCAAACTGATTATCAACTATACACTAAGTTTCATCACTCTCTATCAGATAGAATCAAAGTCAAAGAAATTGCTTGGCTCTGGTTAGCTTTAGCGGGAAATGTTAATCATTAAACTCAGTCAAGGCATTCACCTTTTGAACATCAACATCAAGTTTAAACATCCTACCACAATCAAAAGCAGAGTTATGTTTCAAAGTCTTGACCAATCAAATTGCTTATCGCTCCTTAGCCTAAACAGTAAATTCTCATCAAACTTAGTCAAGGTAATGATATATTGAATCTATACTCATAGCTCTCACTTAATTATAACCAAAGTTATCGTGCCCAAAAGCATCAACCAATCAAATTGTTTATTTCTGCTTACGGTAACCAGACAATGTTCATCATCGAACTCCATCAAGGCATTCGCCTAATGAACGCCTACACCAAGTTTGAACATTCCACCTCAATTAGAAGGAGAGTTATTGTGTTTCAAAGTCTTGACCAATCAAATTGCTTATCTCTCTGCTTACCCCCAGCAGAAAATGTTCATTATCGAACTTAGTAATGTAACAAATGGTAGAACATATAATTGGGTATAACCAAATTAATCCAAAAAATACAATGGTATAAAAATCATTATTATTATCATTTCAAAAATTTATTCATTTTAGGAAAATGATCAGTTAAAGCAAATTTAGTCATTAATGCAAGCTTATGTTTCCTTTTATAAACCAGCGGTTGCCAGGCAGAATACGCCCACATTTTGCAAGAGATGGATAGAGAACAAGCTAAAAACAAAAACGATTTTTTGTACAATCAGGGGCCATAATCCAGAAAATGAGGGTCTGAAATGCGGAAATATCAAAAGGGACTGAGATTTTTGGAATATAAAGATATGTTTTAAGTTTCATCAAAATCAGATAAAAATTGTGACCTCTAGAGGGTCCAAAACCTTTGTATTACATACTTATACACAATTTGCATACAAAGAGCAGTCATTTTGTCGGGCAGTTTCATTTCGATTTTCCAGAAATTCGAATTCAACCTTCATTGTGGTAGAATAATATATATCTAAACGGTTTTCAAAATAAAAAAAAATTGTGACCTCTAGAGAATCCATAAGCTAAAAATGCGATTTTTGATCAATCAGGGGCCATAATCTAGGAAATTACGTTCAGATATGTGTGATTATCAAAAGGAACCAAGATGGAGGTAGAAAAACCATTCCAGTAGCTGACACGTAATTACCATGTGCTCTATAGAAAACACACTGACCTGGATAATTTTGAGTTGTAATATAATAAATTTGAAATGAAGATAAATATATAATTATAGACGGCATATATCTCACATTTATTGGTTTTAGACTATCTCTTACGACATTACGGACCGCAGAATTGTGACGTAAATCCTAATAATGAATAACTAAAGGATAACTAACTTCACATCTAGCGACACTAGCGCCCCCTAGAATATCGTCGTGTATAAGAGTTACTATATATATATACACAACATTTTTGCACCACACTGAATTATCAATATTGCTATACAATAGCACTGGAATATGTAATTTTCTTAATTTCTCGGTAAGCAAGTTAACTAATCCCTAGATTTTATTTCTACAATTCCGACAAGGACTTAATACCGACTTTTATTGTTCTACTACCAGACACTCATCATTAATTATCAACACAACACTCAGTATAATCTGTTTACAACTATGTATACAACTCTATAACAGCAATCATGAGATTATGTGGCTTCTATATGTGCGCATTATTCTGCACTGGCCGTACAATTTTATAGTTACATAGTGGAGGTCGATCGTAGCCATGTTTGAAAATTGGGTTTTGAAAGAAAGGCCACTTTTTTTCCGGCTTGCAAAATGACCGATGGGTCAGATCTAGTTACGGTCATTTTCCAAATCTCTCGGTCCCAACTGCCATGCACGGCCGACGTGGAACCCATGGTCCACAACCTTGATATACCATATTTTTATACTATTTACGTACAAGGGGCGGCCATTATGTCTGTCAGTTTTTGTCCAATTTTCACGAAACTTGAACTAAACCATCATTTGGGTGTAACGGTGATATACCAAAACGTTTTTTTTAAATCGGATACAAATTGTGACCGCTAGAGGAACCATGGTCCACAACCTTGATATACCATATTTTTATACTATTTACGTACAAGGGGCGGCCATTATGTCTGTCAGTTTTTGTCCAATTTTCACGAAACTTGAACTAAACCATCATTTGGGTGTAACGGTGATATACCAAAACGTTTTTTTTAAATCGGATACAAATTGTGACCGCTAGAGGAACCACAAGCTAAAAGCGCGACTTTTCGTACAAACAGGGGCCATAATTCAGCAGGAATTTACGATCCAATATGCGCGAACATCGAAAGGAAACAAGATATTTGCATTGTAAGGTACCTAGATCTTTGGGAGATAGACCTATATTTCAAGTTTCGGCAAAATCGGATAATAATTGTGACCTTTAGAGTGTCCACAAACAAATATTGTGGACAGAAGGGCGGACGAACAGACGTCCGGACAGACACGGCCGACGGCAATATATGTCCACATGAAAATGTGGGCGTATAAAAATATAAATATACCATCATCAGTACCGGTACTTGTAGAATTCCGTCTAACTTTTTGTGCAGGTGTAGTCTGGTCAGCGTTTCTTGGCCGACCTCTTCCTGGTGTTGTCTTAGTAACATCTTGAGATTCTCTTGTTCGTCTAGTAGTACTTTTAGAAGTGGTTGAAGTTGGAGTACTATCAGTTCCTGATCTATTTCTTGTTTCACGCATCTGATAACAGAAATGCAAGATATAAAGACTAATAGTTCACTCATAAAATAATCAATAGATTCAAATGTTATTTTTAGCCTTCCTTTTTATATTTCCTGATAGGTTATAAGCTTACTACATGTACATGTACTTCATTAGGAAAAAACACATTTACCTTCATGACAAAACTGTCATATCTGAAAAAACAGGTTGTTAAGCATCATTTCCAAGTGGTTATGCTCACTCTTGTCAGATTTAAATTCTATTAATTCTATTTTATTAACTGACCTATGCTTTCCCCAAAAATGAGGAAGTGGTTCTCAAGTTTACCAAGGGTCGCTATTCAACAGACATGAAAACTACCAGTGCTCAATTTGAAGGACAATTGGTAGGCTGCACTGTCAGTGTGATTGACTTATCATCATCCAGTCTGAATGTGTGTCTGTAGATGTAGTTATACATCCCTATCAACTGTACAATATGAAATATTCTTTTAGTGGCATTTAGCGATCAGGGAACAAATTAACAGAACACAGTTTTTATGGGATACTTGATAACGATAAGAGGATACTTGTCGAAACGTCGTGCTTTTAGAATAAACTAGTGATTGTATCCCATAAAAACTGTGTTCTGTTAATATGAAATATACAGTCCTTGAAAACAGACAAATCACCAGTGTTGGACAAATCACAGCATTGCCTTGGGTTTTTATGCCCAGTAATGGCTGCTGCTACTAGTTCTAATTGAGTAATGGAGGTAGGGCTTCAATTTAGGAGAATATGACAAGGTTTAATGTATTTGTAATAATATACCATAAAATTTTGAATATATACTTCAACCACTGATTTTGGGCTTAATAATTTCGAATATTATATACTTCAACTAAGGTAGGCAACTGGTTTTGGGCTGAATTATAAGGGTTGGGGCCCAATGGCCAATCATAATAACTGTAATTGGATCATCAGAATGGCATCTTCAACTTATATTGAGAGAGCTACATGGATGGACATTTCTGTTTCCAGACCAAGAATTACTTCAGCAAATCACAACTGTCTTCATAAAATTTGAGAAATCAAAAGGTCATCCCACCAGCCCCTTCTTGAGTTCTTCTACTCCAGGATTCCACCCCAGCCACATTATAATTGCAAGGGTGGTCATCAACAAACTATGTTAATGTAATGCCATTCAATGCAAGTTTCTTACAATAATATCCTTTAAAATAAACGTTTTCCATTTTAGTTTGTTTAGCGTAAGGCCCACTATTAAAAGCTAAAAAAGCAGAACAGTTGTGTTTACATGTAACATACATTCTTCTCCTCATAGATGAAGAGCTTGTCGATCTCGAAAAATAGAGGAGAGAAAATCAAGATGGACGACGATTTCCACCTCCACAAAAGGAGATTTCTGCTAATAAAATGGCCACGTACTTTGTCACTGTGGTTATTTTCATCGTCCAAACATAGTTGGGTTACTATATAAGTATATACTCGTTAAATTGGGTGCTTAAACTCTGTATTTTGGGACAAATAGACTTTGTACACTATTTCGTTATACGCCATATTACCTTTCCGCTTGAGGATCAGTATTTTTTTTATAGCTGCCTGTGATTGGCTGTAAACTGTCATGTGGCAATCGTGTTTTCCGCGGGAAAATAATGTTTAAAAATTCTAAAGACCACTAATAATGGCACTAAGGAAAATAACCCATAGCCACAGGCTCGTTAGTTCTGTTATTTAGGTGGTAGGCCCAAATACTATAGTCTTTTAGGGAACTATCTTGTATTCTCAAGTCAGATGTGTAATCGTATAGATATCTACAGACACAATATTTTGCATAGATTTTGTAGGCCACTTTTAATAGGGCCTATATATTGAAAGACATCTAAAGACAGGCCTATTATAAATATCAAATGTACATTCTATAGTTTTTCGTAGTATTTAGATCCATACTTAAACTTAAACCAATTCAACAAAATAAATCAATTAAATAAATTTAGGAATCCCCGCAGCCTTAATAACAAACTTGGTTTAGAGTAGAGATTTTTTAATGATCGGGTTGTAATACCCTTTTTCATATCACTTTAACAAAAGTTCCCAACAGAATAATTTGGCGATCTGCATAACGAGCCGGTGGGACCGCCATTAATAACGCGATGATATTATTTTTCGAGGGGGGGGGGGGGGGGCGAAGGCGCAACAATGAAATTCCTGAAAAAAAAATCCCGTTGGAGTATGGTGCCTCCAATCGTCCGATATAGCCTTATTAATGTGGTTTTGCAACTGAAATCCGACTCTTTACCCACCTGAATTCCAATCAATCTATCAAGCCGACTGTTGCAGCCGGGGGGGGGGGGGGGCTGTTCTTGTTACCCCCCCCCCCCCCAATAATTAATAATTTTAAAAATAAAAACATAAAAATATTTGTGATATGTTTTTCGGTAATCAGTACCTTCTAAGGTGATTAAATCCCGCATTCCCACTCAGTTATAAACTTGCATGTTGTAGAGTCCGAGTGATTTCTTACCGAACCCATCGTGCTCTAAAACCTACTATATACAATAACACGTGTACCACTTAAGAAGTGCTTTTTAAGGTCCTTAAAGTTTTGGGGTAATAGGTTCCGCGGCAAGAATGTTCATTCACTTTGCAGGGGCGGATCTAGGAATTTTGAAAAGGGGGGGAGGGCGCCGCAAAATGAGGGCAAGAAAATTATCCGTCATTTCCTGCATCTGTAGCCATTCCAAGAGCTATTTGGCTGATATTTTCGTCTAAGTAAACGTTCGGAAATCGTTGAAAAAGAGCCTTAAAATTGAACAAAAAAAGCCAGTTGAACACGCGACTCGAAAATTGTCAAGGCATTATATGATAGGAAAAAAGACGAATCTATTCCCTAGCCACTTCACTATTTAAGCCTTGTAACTTGTATTGTCCACACATGAAACAATGCTACATCAAGTTGCACTAATGCGCGTCGGTGATGGGCATGAGTGTATAGTAGTATATGCCGCCGATTCCACAAGATGCTATCATTGATGTCTGTCTATAGTCACGCTATAGGATTAGGGCACCGTCAGCTAAACAACAAGAATTCGTTTGAAAGTGGAAGCATTAATTAGGCCCGACTGGTGTGTTTGAGTGAGTCATTTGGGATCCCTGCAACGGGTTGGGATCGGACATATTTGGGTCTGAGAAAAGGCACTTTCAGCAGTAAAAAAGGGCTCGCCCCCCCCCCTTCGACCCGCCTCTGCTTTGATCCACTCCTCCGTTCGTTTGACACCTTCCTCTCAGTTCGGATAAGCTAGTGATTTGGCGACAGTTAGTTTCTAGTCAGCCCTATTTATCTCGATGATCAGAAATACTACCAGGCTGCATTTCCGCCGCTCATTTTCTCAAAATATCTTGGCGAAAATATTCATACACTTTGATTCACTCTCTCCGTTCATTTGACACCTACCTCTCTGGTGGGATAAACTAGTGATTCGGCGACCGGCGGTATCTGGTAAACTCTGTTTATCTCGACGATCAGTGTCTGAAATGCTGCCAGACTACTGTAATCCATAGACAAGTTAGTTCAAATTCGCGGTATTCAATTAAAAGAACGTGTATTATCACGTAAAAATCATGCCCCCACCCCTTTCTCACTTTACCCGTTTGCCAAGAAATTCCGACTGATCATAGGTCTATTTTCCCGGGATTTAGTATTTCCACATGTCAGTGGTATGGCAAGGACAGTATCTAGTTGTTCAGATGGGACGACAAAACGGGGTCCCGTGTATACGTTAGCGTGCACTTAAAGAACCCTTGACAGCTGGAATTAGATATAAGAGTAAGCCGTAGCGCAACTTTCCATGGTACACCGTATGGCATAATATGCCTGTCTTCATTCCTGTCGGCGCAGAAAAGTAGTTCATTTCGATTTGCTGTGTTACAATACGTCATGCAGTGTACTACGAGGGAAACTTTGTCAAGACAGTGGCACTACGGCCTACTCAAGAGTTATTTTACGCAGCTACAGATCAACCTGTACACGGGACATCGGTTTTTGTCCCATCCGAACGACTAGACGCCGTTCTTTGCCAGACATTCTGGCCTGGGGAGAAGCCACGCCTTCAAGATTTTAATACACTTCCTCGACAATCCACTGCACTGTATAGAACAATAATACATATTCAAACAAACTGTTTACTAACTTAACTTTAAGAATCCAAAAGATAACAAATGTGATAACCTACGAACATCCGGAATAGAAGATAAACTGAAATCTATTAAGTGTGAAGATATTGACATCTTATGGTGATAACAGATTTTAACCGCAAAATCAGCCAACGAAATAATGTAATACATGTATACCGGTATTTCGCCAGTCCGAACAATCTTAGCAAGTTCTGAAAAAGCTTAATCGAAACCCTGATCTTGTATCGCCGTACACAATTTATGAATTTCCGCCAGGTTCTTCCTGTTGACCCAAAAAACAATTCCACTATTTAAAAAATTCTAAAAAAAACTCAAGGCGATTGGCTTTGATCAATTTTCTGACGATATCGCTGATAGATTTAATTCCACAACCGCAACTGATATCACAGTGTCTAATTTGCTACAATTCTAGCTTAGCTTCAGATCGCGCAGGAGAGCTGAAAGGGCTTGGAAGAAAAATCCTTCTGAAATAAATAAATAGATTTACCATGGCACTATCATTCTTTATCTGACAGTAAAGAAAATTAAGTCAAACCAAAACAATTATTATTGTTAAAAATTAAAAGCGACTGAACTTGTCGATCTCTTCAAAGTTGTTAAGAGACATACTACCAACACTTCCCTCAGCGGATTCAGAGTAAATGCTCGCCGATGAATTTAATGATTTTTTCGATACGAAAATATCAAAATTGAAAAATGGTATTGAAACTACACTACAGAATGTGACGCCACCTTCTGATGCATCAACTCCCATTAACTGTTCTCTTCAAAGATATGATGCTGTGTCTGCTGAAAACATTCGCAAGATCATCTTGGACAGCAAATCTGCTACTTATGATCTTGATCCACTGCCAACATGGTTTCTCTAGAAAGATTCAATTCTGGATACCATTTCTCCACTGATCACTCATATTATTAACTCTTCGATTAGTTCATCTTGTCTACCAGAATCTTGTAACACCTATATTAAAGAAATCGTCACTTAGTCAACAAATATTTAAAAATTACCACCCACATCTCGAATTTGCCTTTTCTTGAAAAGATCTTGGAAAAAGTTATTTCATGTCAGATTAGGGATTATCTTGCGAAAATCAATATTCATGACCCGTTGCAGTCAGCTTACAAACTTGGACATAGCACTGAGACCGCCCGTCTAAAGATAAAAACAGACATTGATTTAGCCCTTGATGAAAATCATGGAATCAGTCTGGTAGGACTATTATTAGACTTGAGTGCCGCTTTTGATACCGTCAGTCATGACATCCTCTTTAAACGCCTGGGAAATATTGGAATAAAAGGATCAGCCTTGGACTAGATCAAATCATATTTATCAAACAGAGGACAACGAGTCCAGATAAATGGTATCTTGTCACAGCCTAAACCCTCGTTTCGTCTTATATGGCCGAGTTACGTAAATTTGTGCGTTACCCTATATTTAGATTTCAATGGCGTCTGCGACTGCCAAGCCGTTTAGCAGACGGTGACGTATTTTTAACATTATATTGTGTTGCACATACTGACGCTGGCGAGTTAAGCAAGGTCTTATTTTCCCACGTAAATGTTCCTTTACACTGTTCAGGCGTTCACAGAGACTGACACATGACCGTTTAGCAGTAAAAAGTTGTCCAGTAAAAGTTGTAAAACTAATTCGGAGAGATTTTGATTTAACAGTTTTTACGTATTTTTGAAACAGGCTCCGAAGTGTTTTGGTTCTGTTATGCAAGATCATTTTCGACGTTCCAAAGTAAAAGTTTGGTGCTAAGACCACCTAAAGATACATTTTAAATGTTCCTTATTATTAATTAGAACAGGTTTCGCTTTAGTTTTTATATTTTACGCCGACATTTATTACTTTAAATTTTCCTAGTGCTAAAACGGAAAATGTGACCTTTTGACCTCTGGGGTCACAAACAACAAAGGTGAATTTAGCAAGTTTACATTTTTATTGAAAGTGTGATTACTTTCGATCAATTTCAGCTTATTTTCATGATACAAGAATGACCGCGCATTCGCTTTCAGTGCAAATGAACCCATTTGACCTTTGACCCCGAATATCTCGAAAATGCCCCAACGGCGGATTGATTACCACTCGGCATCGTATTCTACGCAAAATTTTACTCTAGAAAAGTTGTGCCTGGTTTTGTGCCCATTTGATGGACCCCTCCCCCCCCCCCCCGCTCTGAGCCTCCAGACTATCCGGTTTACTCGCGACCTCTGGACGCCATTATAAAATTTTGCCACTTCACTGATAGTGCCTTTATCATTCGAATAAAGTAGCCTTATCATTCGAGTAAAGTTAACGAGACAGTTAACAGCATGTGCATGTCTATTCAACAGACTTGGCGTAGAGGTAGGCATGTTTTGGCATACTTTTGCTTTTAGAAAGGAACCAGCGTGGCTCAGTGCTTGGCGCTGACTAACTAACCAGGAGGTCTGGGGTTCGATCCAGGGCGTTGGCCGAGAAATTTCCTCGGGATTGTGGTGCAGAAAGGAGGACTAGGCAGGGACACAGTCTATTCGTTCGGATGGGACTTAAAACCGGGACCCTTTTACACCACGTCAATGCCCACGAATGCTGGAATTAGTAGAATTTTTAATTTTGTTTTCGTTTTCCATTCATTTTTATTTAAAGTTTAAAAAATATTGAAAGACATTTAGCTTTTTTATTTTTCAAAATATTTATTTGTAACTTCCACAACCATGAATTATTAATATGTACGAACGAAATAAAATAAAAAAATTGGGTTCCAATTTCAACCTTTTAGAGATTCAACTTTCACAATATTGTAGTGTTTAAAGGGCCAATCTCGATTATATTTTGGAGAATAAAACTGCTTAATTTTGTGTTAAAGGAGCTAAATCGCTAACATTTGGGACCTAGAAATTCACGAAAGTGGGTCGCAACGGTAATATGAATGTATATAAACTGATTTACATTTAATGGTTTCCGTTTTTACTCCAATTTCAAATCAGTTATGTTCGGCGAAATAAGTCAGCAATCTCAATCGAGTGCAAATTTCTAGCGTCTAGTTATTCTAGTCTACATAACTCCATTTGATTTGGTGCAATGTGTCTAGCCTCGTCCCTCGAGTCTCTCAATACAACTGGGGCTGAAGCGCATTATGGTACACGATTCGTGTACCAATGTTAAAAAAATTATTTTATCTCAAATATCGGATATCAGAAGCTCATCTTTTCCCGGTAAGTTTACATCATCAATGTTGATTTAAATTGACCAATAATTCGTGTTTTCGATGTCGAAGATTTTGGAGGATTTTGAGTTACGGACTTAGGTCCTTTAAAAGCCCTTAAAATCTTTTATTTTAGTGTCGAGCAACTAACTCAATATAACATGACACAATTATATGGAATACAAGTTACTTTAAGAGTTTATTTCAGCGACAATATGTATATCTATTTTTTAAAAACCTTTTATTTAACTTTTTAAACGCCTCATTGATTTAATACCGGATAATCTTATGTTATTTCACAATATGGCTTTTCTACATGGTCTATTAATGGGTTCGTTTTGTGCAAGCATAGCCACCGCCCTATCTAGCTGTCTGTTTTATCATGTTTTCTTTGTACATATAGTTCACTATACCCAACAACTTCCGAGGCGAAACTCTAAATGTGGACAGGAAGACAGCAAGCCAAAATTATAGGTCGCAAATAGCGCGGTGTGTTAATTTCCTAATTTCTACTTTTCGAGTTGCATTTTGGCTTGGTATTGGCGCCTTCTTACGGCCATCAATAAATACAAAAATGTGACTAAGTCGACAAGACGGTATACAAGCCAAAATGCAAGTCGAAAATTAGGGGGAAAAAACGAGGGGTGCTATTATCACTGTGTATTATTTCGTAATTTCCTATTTTCGAGTCGATTTTGGCTTGTATAGCGTGCTGTCGCCTCTCATTTGGTCGTAACTTCTTCTTTTCGATTTTCGCATTCTGAAGGGGCGAAAAGTTGAAATTATGAATGGTAGTTATAGGCTTCTATAATAAAATAGCGAGCCAACGTCTTATTATACTCACCGAGCCACCGTGGCTCCAAATCCAATTACTAAACGTCTTGAAGAATAGAAGAAAAATTCAATGAAGTTTAATCTAATCTATGCTCTTCGGACAACCAGAAACCATAGAATATTTCTATGCAGAAACTAAGAATGTTTTATCGGTTTGAAAACAATATTAACGCGCCGGTAACATACTTGCAAGTTTTCAAAAATCAAACGAGCCCGCCATGTCCCGCCTAAAGGCTAGGCACGCTTTCACTTGAAAGAGAGGAGGTGGTACAAGAATCTACCTGCACATCTGCCGTTTTGCTCCAACTGCCCTCAACAGCAAGTTGAAAAGTCCATAGAAAATGAGTAGGCTACCATTTTCTCTTTTAGTGCAAACACTATGAGAAATATAGTGCAAACACTATGAGAAACTCCGCAAGACACTTGTTTATGGAACATTTGAGGACCTAAACTCCATTTTGTTACGAAAATAATATGTTTAACCCCCCCATTGATCTGGCAAACAAACAGTGCAGCTTTGGGCCACCTGCTTTTAAGAAAAGGGATGTGGTACCCACTTTATATACATAAACCAAAAAGATTCATTTTATAAAAGATCTGTTTTTTCACGTATTGTCCAAGCGACTATCATGTACATGTATTCATTTATATTTTGATTTATATTTTGTAGATACTTTCTTAAAGTAGCCAAGTCCCTAACTCAATATCATCAAAAATCTTCGACATTGAAAACACGAATTATTTGTCAGTTCATACCAACATTGGTCTTGTGATCTTACAGGGAAAAGATGGGCTTCTGATATCCAATATTCATGACAAAATATACATTTTACCATTGGTACACGAATCGTGTACCATAATGCGTTTCAGCGCCATTTGGAACAAGGGACTTAAAGAACGCGGCTAGACATATTCCACAAGTCATGTCAAATGGTGACGCTATATTCTTATCTGGAGAGCTTGCACAATAAATATCATCGGTGTAGACTGGAATAACCAGACGCTAAGTATTGCTATTACATGTATATTGAGACTTCTGGCGTATTTCGCCGAACATAAATGATTAGAAATTAAAGTAAAAATAGAAACGGTTGAATGTAAATCCGTTTATATAGATTCGCATTACATTATTATATGCGTTGCGACCCATTTGTGTCAATTTCTAGGTCCCAAATATTAGCGATTTAGCTCCTTTAATGTATATAGGCCTAGCCTATCATCCACTTTTTATGTATTTTTTATCCCAAATATAATGTCATAATGTATAATTTACATGCTTTCCGAAAAGAGTATTTCATATAATAATCCATTTATCTACTGGTATGCGCATCTGAAACAGCCGTGCGGAACAAGGCGAATACAATATTACGCCCCTATACTCGGTAAACCTCAGCAAATTCAAGTACCAACATCTAGATGTAGAGTAACGGTATCTGCCGAGGTGTGCCGAGTGCGTCACTGTCTGGTTTTCTGTGGGCAGAACGAAGCCAGGTGACTGGGTGCATACTTTAAAGTTTAAAAAATAGAAATGGCCCAGCTGAGTTGTTTTGTTGGCGAGCAGCTGCAAGGGCGAATCCATGAATTTTTGCAGGAGGGGGTTTGCCAGGTTCCTGTTAAGCAAATTCGACAGTTGACAATGCATGATACCATCATCGTCTCCAAATTAGGTAGGCCTAGGCATACAATAGGAGACCGGGGCACATTGAACCAGTTTTTTCACATACATGGTTGTCCTCCTGCCATATCAAATGTTTTTATTAGAAGATCTCTTTACTTTATTGTATTGTTTGAAGACATCGTTGTTATTGTGTATCAGATTCAATTCAATTAATCTTTAACTTTTTTAAAAAAAAACACATTTTAATCCACTTGACCGTAATTGTTCAATGTACACCGCTGTACCAAATAGTCGGGGCAGGTTTAACCACATAACAATTGGGCACTCAATGTTTAGTTAAGAACAAATATCTACAGATTTGAAATCAGTGCAACGATCGAAACAAGCAGGGGTCCGGATTCCCTAGGCTCCTACAAATCGCTGTAAATTGCACTTAAGTTGGCAGTTTGATGGGATAGTGGGATCCCAGTCAACTTTTGCAGTGAATCAAACCAAAGTTTGTCCAATATTCTGTCTAAATTTGGACAGCCTGATTTGCTGACAAGCGACTCTAGTCAGGGAGACCCATGGCCATTGCGCCCCTGTATGTCACAGCCAAGTTTGATGATAAAGGATAAAGCACACGACCGTGACACTTTTCTCATAAAAAGTGTTGTTTTTTTATTTTCCCCCGCCCCCACTCCCCTCTTTATCTCTAGATCTGCTCCTTAGTGGCTTCAGTCTTGGGCAGTTCAACTAGGCAAATAGGTAGCCAAATTGTGTTCGTTTCAGATAGTTCTTTCGGACTTGAAATTATTATCTGTTGTTGACAATTTATTTGCCGATGGTGGTTTGGAAAAAACGTAAGTGTGGGCAAATTTTTTTAACATTAACAAGCCATATAAATAAACCAACATTGTAAAAAGATTTAGCTATAATGTATGTTTAATAGAAGCTAGGTAATATGAGATCATATAGGCGTACGATCCAGGGGGGGCCAATGGGCAGCTGCCTCCCTAACTTTCGGGCCATCTGACTTTTCAAGCAGACGGGTAAAGTGAAAACAAAAAATTATTATTTCAACCAGTTGGCAAAATAAAGTGCCTGTCTTTTAATTGAACACCACGAATTTGTACTGAATTGACTATGGATTAAAACATTTTTCTGGAGTCACTCTACTTTGTGCGACATTTTCGGGCATCGATTATTATTTGTGAATGCAGCTGCAACAGCAATCTTATTGAATGGTTGGAATTCGGCTTGGCAATGAGTGGGATTTCGGTTACAAAACCTTTGGACAACTTTGGAGTTGCTTAACTCATAGGCTAGAATAGTCGAAAAACGCATTTGCGAGAGTTAGACATGTTTTTTGTTTCAAAATATTCTCCAGGAGGGCTGGACCCCCATAGCCTACCCCGTGACGATTGGTTGTTTGTTTGTAATTCGGGTTAGCCACCTAAGGTAGGCTCTAATTGGACCACATTGAAGTTGCTGTATTCAAGGGTAGGGTGCCCGGCCATAAATAAATATCTCCAAATATCTGGACAATTACACCACAATATTTATATATATATACCACGCCTTAATTGTCACTAAATAATCGGTCATGTTGTACTTAATAAGCTATGATCATTTAACCATCCATAAATAACAGACTGAAAAGTGGTTACGAGTGTCGGCCATAACATCCGGGCACTTTTAAGTAAAAAATAGGTTACGTGCCTTTATTTAGAATTAGTCTTGCTTAACCAGACTGGGATAATAAAGACTACCTTTTTACGAAACGTAACAGAAATCTGGAACAAGGAATTGAATTTAGAAACACGCAACTCAACAATTGTTTTAAGAACCTTGTAAAAGTAAAATGAAACTACTGCTAGTATCATGTTCTTGCCTAACCCAAGTGTTTCAGAGATATTATTTGTACTAAAACAACGGTACAGTTAATGATAAAGCAATTTAAAAAATAAAACGAATGTAATTAATTTTAATGCTGCTAATAACCAAAAGGCTAAATATTACTGCTATTCAGAATCATCAACATTAGTTTTTTTACGGCTGTATAGTTGATAGATGTCTACAGAATTGCACATGCGATGGCTATTTATAGACTCAGACTCTAGCTCTGAGTACCATTTTCACTGCGTGATTAGCCAGAAATCACTTTGAGAAAAGCCACTAAAGCGTGCACATTCGGTGTTTCGAGTTCAACTTTCTGTAGCGAAAATTTTCGCTGCACAGGGCACCCTATTGAGATGAAGGGCTGAAATAGCAGGAAAACGAGTTTGCGGCAGTTAAATTTTCTGATTAAGTAGGCGGGTAGTTGTTGGTCTTTTTGCCTAGTAACAGCAACAGTTACATATATAATTATATAAACAACTACAGATAAAAAATGATAACAGTTGGGACCAGGACAGCAGCTCATTTTACTCTGAATTATGTTGTGGGCCGTGGTGGCTCAGTGATTACGTTGCTGACTCACTAACTAGGAGGTTCGGGGCATTTTGAAGCATGGATTTCCCTTGTCGGTATTGCAGAATGGCTGGGCCATGCAAAGCACAGCGTCTAGTAGTTTGAATGGGGCAAAAACCGAAGCCCTGTATACACATTGGCATGCATGTAAAAGATCCCTTGATAGTAAGAATTCAAAACAAGATTCGAGTAAGCAGTAGCGCTTGTGGCCAGGCAAAATGTCTAAATGTGCCAAAAATCGGCCCCGAATGGAACCCTGGACAGTTGAAATCTGATATCTGATGCCTGTCTTCATTAGCTCTATTGGTACAGAAAAATAGGATCTAAACCCCATTTCATTGTTTTATCAACCTTGACCTAATTGTGTTATAATATATTTACCTAAAATTAATTTCAGCTTCCTATTAGTATCAGTAGGGATATAAAAAAACAACTAACGATGTTGAGCCAAAGAATTATCTGTGTCAGGTCAAGAGATCTTAGATCTCCGTTTCTGTCACTGGCAAGAAAAAGAACAACTGCTACTGCTGCTTCTAAGGAAATAGACACAAATGAAAACATTAATGTTTCTGGGAAACCATTTGAAGACGTTCCTGGTCCAAAAGGCATTCAGTCATGGAGTAAAATTGGAAGTCGTTTTATGTTTTATCCTTTTAGTAAGTAGTACAGTTATACAGCTAGCCAAGATTTCTATAGCTTTTGCAACAGATTTGTAGTTGATATATATATTGTACTCACAGTTGATCCAATTTTAAAGTCCCAATAATCCCTTAAATATACTTCTGTTTAACACTCATTGATCTTTTTAAAATATCTTAACAATACTGATTTATTCCCTTGATCTTTATACAGTCACATTGATATGAAAACAGTATAGACTATCTATCTGCAGATCATATTATAGAGTTTAAATGAGTGAGATGAAGAGAAACCTATCAAATATTTACAATTTGTGGTAAATTCGAAGAGTCATTGCCCTTATTGTTCAATCTGCTTGAAATTTATGTACATTGTTCAGATTAAACATATTTTATGCAAGATCTAAATCTGCCTAGTGCAGGTCTTTCTTTAGGCCTGAAATGTTAGCTAAATTGTTACTTAGACATTAATTAACTTACCCAGATCATAATCAACTCTCAATGCTATCGCAAGCCTGTGATATCTAGCAGATTGGAATACTTTTTATTAAAAATAATTAAAACGTAAAAATGGATAATCGAGACTTTGATTTTTTATCGTACCGACTTTAGTAATGATGATCCAGGCTAGCCTAAAATTCAAAAGCTAATATCTCGGTTCAGAGTGGAGCAATTTGACTGAAATTTTCAGCATATTCAATTTACGTTATTTATATTTTAATTATTATAGCGAGAACTGTCAACTCTTTATCTAATCTCCCATAATGCCCCTTTAAGTGATATATTAAATATCAACAATCTCAAGTTAATTATATCAAAGTAAATGCCCTTGCTCAAAACTATGTACACGTTCTAGCAACCATAGTTATCAGTTCAAAATAGTGAAATAGTGAAGTCCATGAAATTTCACATTGTTTTTGTTCACTGTGTATAGAATCTTATGCATGCAGTAATGAAAACAGGTTATCTGCTTATATATTCAGATTAGTGAAAGTTATTGGATTTTGCAACAAATAAAGCCTGTCGAAAGAAAAGAATTTCCAATAATTAATTCTAGAATTATTGCCCAATTTATTTTAGATTCCTGTGAGCACTCAAGTTCAATGAAAAGATTTTTCTTCTTATATACCTAAATCACAATACCTCTCAGGGTGTTTGTTTCATTGCCTAAGAGGCGTCCTATCTTCTACATAGGTTGTATTAATGTTCTTGTATATACCTCAAATAGCATCAATTGAAACACTTCCATCTACTTTCTTGAATTATATCATTAGTGAAAAACAATTTATTATTGTTTAAATTTTACAATACCTGTTAATTTATTTCAGCCAAGTATAGAATTGAAACTTTACACAAGCTATTTGACTCGTTTCATGACAAATATGGAAAGATTGTCAGGCTTCAGCTTGGGTCCTGGGCAGTGTTGGTGTCAGATGTTGACGATATGACAACTGTTTTTAAGAATGATTCCAAATATCCAGTAAGGCGAACATTTCCACTGTTAGCTAAGTACTTTGAGAGGAATCAATCAAAAGTGTCACCAACATTGGCTATTTTGTAAGTAGGTCTTCTTAATTAAATTATTCAAAATATTAAATAATGTGAAATACATTATGGAATAATTATTTTTATGTAAACCGCTAACCCAAGGAAAAATGAGCATTCTTAAACAAAGTTTGGTATTGAATGTATGTGATAATTTTTTTAATGAATCTGTTTGTATAATTGTCTTATACTTTTTATAAAGTGATCATAAAGTACCGTAGCTAAAAGCTTGTGAACGTGATAGAGGCCACATAATATTTTCAAATTTGGTGTGAGGACAAAAACAATCAAATTTCAGCGCTCTGCAACCTTTCTTTCTGGAGATACTTGCCTTTTCCATAAACCATCTGAACATGATAGAGGCTACAGTGAGGATATGGACCCTATCGATATTCAGCATGAGTTATGCAAACATTGTGAATGTGATAGAGACTACTGCAGTTTTAATGGATTTTTTTCAAGTTTTGGTGTGAAGCATTACTATTAGGACTGTGAACCATGTTGATTTCAAATTAGGTGTGAAGAATTGCGGGTTGGAGAGGGTGAACCCTGTTGATATTACATGTCCAAAAAGATTGTGAACATGATAGAGGTCAGTTTTGCAATATCCACTTTGCACAATATGTTTGTTGAGACAGAGAGAGAGAGAGAGAGAAATGGGGTTTAACGTTCACTCGACACAAACTAGGTCATTTCGGGACTAACATATGGTTTTAATTTTATTTACATAATTTGCCTGCGCGTAGGGGTCTTTAGCAGTGGGAAGAAACCGGAGGCCCCGGAGAAAACCCACGAGGTTGGACAGGCGACCCTACTCCTTGCCACGTACAACCAGGGATTCGAAACCACGCCAGTCGACTCAATGACAGAATTTATGATACAGCGCGCGCACGCTAACCATTCAGCCATCAACCCACCCCCCCCCATTGACACGGAAAGAAAGCAAATTTAAAATAGCTTCATAATAACCAGGGTTTAATGCTGCAGTATTTAATGATGACATTGACAATTCACGATTATGGCATTATTATGGATCTTATGAAAATGGAGATAAACCTTTGCAACGCAGGCAGGTAAAAAAGCTATATGTAATTAAAAATAATATATTACCTGGACTATTTTATTTATTTTTTGATATATAGAAATGGACAAGAATGGTTTAAGGTACGAAGTGCTATCCAGACCAAAATGTCTAAGCCCACTTCTGCTACATATTATCTACCTGTTCAAAATACTGTGGCAGATCAATTTGTACAGATTTTAAGAAGTAATGATTTTTCAGCTTTGGAATTAAGGACACATTTTTTTAAATATGCATGTGAATGTAAGTACCAATAAGAACTAATAGTTGTGTATTGTTATATTAGATCTGTCGTTTGCTAATTATAAGTTTATCAGATTTAATCATTTCTGTGTTTCCATGGAAACAAATTTGACTTAGTTTTTGGTATGCAAGGATGCAGGATGTTTAAATCTGTGAAAATAGCACACAGTTTGTTTCTAAGTTGATTGTATTAGGCGTTTGTTTCAGATATCGATTTACAAAATGACTAGGAGTTTATTAATAATAAAAAGAAATCTTACTTCCATTTCTATAGAATTTATAAATTCATTTTACAACAGCTATTGGTGTTGTGTGTTTTAATAACAGACTGGGATGTTTTGAAGATCCATCAACAGAAAGAGGAGCAGCTACAGCCAAAATTATCCAAAATGTCATTGATGTTTTCTATCTTACTCATAGATCGACAGGAAAATTACCTCTTTATAACTTCTATCCTACAAAAATGTATCGGATGTACGAGGCTGCAATTAATGGAATGTATCAGTAAGTTAACAATAATTGTAATGTTTATGCAATTTTTATTTTATGCCCACATTTTCATGTGGACATATAGTTGTCGTCGCCCCTGTCCCTCTGGACGTCCGTATGTCTGGACGTCCGTCCGTCCACAATTGTTTGTGGACTCTCTACAGGTCACAATTCTTATCCGATTTTGATGAAACTTGAAATATAGGTTTATCCTCAAAACATCTCGGTTCCTTTCGATATTCGCACATATCGGATCGTAACTTCCTGAATTATGGCCCCTGATTGTACGAAAAATCACGTTTTTAGCTTGTGGACTCTATAGAGGTCATAGTTTTTATCCAATTTTAAAAAACGTTTGAATATATCACTGTTACACCCTAAGGATGGTTGAGTTCGAATTTCGTAAAAATTGGACCAAAATTGACAAACAAAATGGATGCCCCTCGTACTCAAATGGCGTAAAAAATAAGGTATATGGATGTTGTGGACCCTCTAGAGGTCACAATTTTCTTCTGATTTTGATGAAACTTGAAATTTAAGTTTATAACACAAAGAATATCGGATTGTAACTTCCTGAATTATGGCCCCTGATTGTACGAAAAATCACATTTTTAGCTTGAGGTCCCTCTAGAGGTCACAATTATTATCCGATTTAAAAAAAAACCCATTTGAATATATCACTTTTACACCCTAACAACGATGGTTGGGTTCGAATTTCGTGAAAATCTGACCAAAACTGACAGACAAAATGGCCGCCCCTCGTACTCAAATAGCGTAAAAATATGGTATATCAAGGTTGTGGACCCTATAGAGGTGACAATTTTCTTTTGATTTTGATGAAACTCGAAATGTAAGTTTATAACCCAAAGATCTTGGTTCCTTTCGATATTGGCGCATATCGGATCGTAACTTCTTGAATTATGGCCCCTGATTGTACCAAAAATCGCTTTTTATACGCCCACATTGAAATGTGGTCGTATATTGTTGTCACCCCCGACCGTCCGTAGTCCACAATTGCTTGTGGTCGCTCTAGAGGCTAAAGTTAATATCCGATTAACTTTAAATTTATACACAGTGTTTAAGGTCATGAGATGAAGAGGCCTATTGATTTTCAGCGATTTCCAATAATTACTGCCAGAGTTATGGCCCTTGATCACTTCAAAACATCTTGTGGACGCCCTAGAGGTCAAAGTTAATATCCAATTGACTTTAAATTTATACGCAGTGTTTAAGGTCATAAGACGAAGAATCCTATTGATTTTCAGCAATATCCGATAAATACTGCCAGAGTTATGGCCCTTGATCACTTCAAAATATCTTGTTGACGCTCTAGAGGCCAAAGTTAATATTCGATTGACTTTAAATTTATACACAGTGTTTAAGGTCATGAGCCAAAGAAGCCTATTGATTTTCTGCGATATCAGATAATTACTGCCAAAGTTATGGCCCTTGATCTCTTTGAAAAATCTTGTGACACTCTTAAGGCTAAAATTATCATCCGATTGACTTCAGATTGATACACAGAGTTTAAGGTCATGAGATGAAAAGGTATATTGATTTTCAATGAATTTTTATGACTTGAACAGCTAAATCCATGATGTTAAAAGTTTTGTATACTAAACGTTAGCATGGGGCAGAACTTTATAAAAACCAAACAAATTCTAATGGTTTTCTGATAATTACTTAATGAGTTGTTACTCTTAATCAGATTTTAATGTATTATAAATGGTTCATTACCGAAAAAAGTAAAAATATGCGACAACTCTTGTTGACTGCCCGAACGATTTAGCTGCTGTGGGCGTATGTTTCGTTGCCTGGCAACCTATCTTTGTTTAGCTTGTACTCTATCCATTTCTTGCAAAATGTGGGTGTATCCTGCCTGGCAGCCGCTGGTTATTTCGTCTAAATTCAATGTGAATGTATATTGTCGTCACCTGCACACTAAAGATCCTGTCAAATTGTTTTTGAATTCACAGAGATTGTTTATATGGTAGTAATTCTAAATTTTTCACTTGAGTGATCTCTCTAATTATTATTTTAAAACTTATTTTCAGTGAAGGATTGATTTATGTTAAAAATGCTTTAGCTGAACTTGAAAAAAAGAAAAAAGACGGAACATTAGATCCAAATGAACCAAATTTCTTGCTATCGTTGATAAAAGAAAAGCGACTAACTATACCACAGATAGTCGCAATAACGTTAGATCTATTCAATGGAGGAACAGACTCGGTAGGTTTATTTGGTATATTAAATATATCACATCCACTTGTAGTATATTTCTACATTTTTATACACCCACATTTAAATGTGGACATATATTGTCGTCGCCTGTATGTGTACGTGTGGACACTCTACAGGTCGCAATTTTTATCCGATTTCGATGAAACTTGAAATATAGGTTTATATCGCAAAGATCTTGGGTCCTTTTGATCGGACAGTAACTTCATGGATTATAGCCCCTCATTGTTCGAAAAATCATGTTTTTAGCTTGTAGATACTCAGAGGTTACAATATTGTTATCCGATTTTGAATGTATGTTTATAACCCAAAGATGTCTAGAGGTTACAATTTTTAACCGATTTTGACAAAACTTAAAATGTATTTTTATATCCCATCATACAGCGGTTTATCTGCACATGGACTTCATCAAAGTCCAACTGCCAGGGATTCTTTACATGCACAGCAAACCAGTACAGAGGAACCACAATGTTTTCCCCAATCCAAATGACTAGACACTGTTTCTTGCCAAGGGGAAATCAGTCCGGAAAATCATGAGGAACTTTCTCAACCACAATATTAAGCCAGCACCTTGCTCACTGAGATACCATGGCTCCCACTAACATAAATATATGCTATCTTTTCAATAATAGATCTCTTTAACTGTATGCAGATCATGTTAATACTAAATTGTTCATATTGCAGACAGCTAAAAATCTGGGATGGAATTTGTATCATTTAGCTAATAATAAAGATAAACAGGATAGATTATATGAAGAAATTAAAAATATTCTGGGTACAGAGAGAGAAATTAAAGCTGAACACATTAATAAGATGTCTTATTTACAATCTTGCCTTAAGGAAACATTCAGGTAATTATTCTATATACATATATATCTCTGAAAATATTAGCACAACAGCTGCCCTCCTTTGTTCACGGTAAAAGATTAAAGGTATCCTAACACAAGCTGATTTCAACACTGGTTTAATAACTTTTTCGCCCATCTAGGAAGCTCATCAGATAACATACTGGTATAGCAGTGTTTTATTTGATAAATCTGACTTGTTTCCAAAAAAGTAGGGGATATTCAGAAACAATACAAACTGGAGAAATGCACTGCTGTTTTTATTAGAGGTAACCAGTGTATGTTAAAAACAGGCCAATTGCCTACATATGAACATAACCAGTTCATATGGGCGACTTATCTGACGGCCCCATTTCACTCTCAAAGAGATACACTGTCAAAAGTGAAAATGGACGTTTTTGTTTTTTTGCCTTAATAATGAGTAATTGCTCCACCAATCCTCAGACAGTTCGTCGTGGCATGCTCCTAATCAACCGTCCATTCACGATTTGGGGCAATCTGACCCAATCCTCTTGCAGTGCCACGGCAAATTCTGGCAGTGTTGTCAGTTGACATTGACCTTGATGAACAGGTCTTCCGATCAAATTAAACGTAACACACTAAAGCAAACATACGCTAAACAGTAAATCTTATGCAAGAACCGATAGGAAAGCAAACATGGATAGGATAAACCAGCAAGCGGCAATTTTTATGAACCCTTCCTTGAAGTGTCAAATTTGACTGGCCCCCCTCCCCCCCCCCCCACGTGTATTGTGCTATTGCGTGTCGCATGTGCAGCTCAGTGGTTCTGTTTGGGCGTTAAGTTCTTCATCTGTGAACATACTCTCAAAGCATGTCAAGTGTCCATGACTATTTATCATATCACAACCTGCATAGGTATTTGCCTCTCAATATCCCCTACTTTTTTGAAGAGTATAATATGTAATGTTTTGCCCAAGACCATTAAACAATTTAAAATAAAGACACTATCTTGCAACATGCATTTCACTGAAATCATCTAGTATAAATAATGTACGATTGGCACGTTGCTAGTACATTATTTGAAATAAAGGTACGCCAGTGTAAAAAGATGAGGTCACGTCTGTATTTTAAGTAATGTAAAACACTATTATGGCATGCCATTGTATAAACTTTAGAAACACTCGATCAAGAGACAAGGATTACTTTCTGCAGATAGATTTATGCTTTCAAATTTATTTTTAATAGGTTAACTTTTCCAACAGTCTGTGGCACATCAAGGGTTTTAGACCATGACATCATTCTCAGTGGTTACAATATTCCAAAAGGGGTAGGTTATACAAACTAATACTGCCAATTTCTTTAACAACATCCAAATAGGACTTCATATCCAAATCAGAGAATACCTTAAAGGGGGGGAGTAAACATTGCACACAGACACACAAAAAAACAACATATTTTAATCTCAAACTGACCAAATTATTGTGCTGACTAAAATCACAAACCAAACAACCTGTATTTATAAAACTTTGTATTTTACATTTACTTCCCATCCAACATACTAAGATATATAGGAGTTACACTGTTACAGTGACTCAGTGAGTATGACACTGGCTCGCTAATCAGGATGTCCCTGGCCCTGAGTTCACAAAACAGTAATTTACTCAAAATTCTTCACCTTATTTTAACTAAAATATAGCGCTTTATAAACCCTTTGATTAATAAAGATATATTTTAAGTTACATTAAAATCGAATAAAAAATGTGACCTCTAGAGGGTCAACAATCCTTGTATTACATATTTTTACACAATTTGCGTACAGGGTCAGAGCGGCCATTTAGTCAGGCAGTTTATTTTTTGGTTTACCTGAAATTCGAATTCAACCTTCATTATGGTGGCATGGTGATATATTTAAACAGATTTTAAATCGGATAATAATTGTGACCTCTAGAGAATCCATAAGCTAAACAACACGATTAAAGTCTGATATGCATGAATATCGACAGGAATCAAGATGTTTGGGTTATAAACATACATTTCAAGTTTCATCAAAATCGCATCAAAATTGTGGCCTCTTGAGGATCCACAACTTTGATACACCATATTTTTATACGTCCACATGAAAATGTTCCTGTCGATATTCACACATATTGGATCGTAACTTCCTGAATTATGGCCCTTGATTGTTCGAAAAATCGCCTTTTGTTTACCTTGTTCTCTATCCATCTCTTGCAAAATGTGGACGTATCCTGTCTGGCAGCCGCTGGTTACACTATTTACGTACGATGGGCGGCCATTTTGTCCAGCAGTTTTGTTCCGATTTTCCCGAAATTCGAACTCAGCCATCAATGGCTGTAATGGTGATATATTTAAACGTGTTTTTAAATCGGATAAAAATTGTGACCTCTAGAGGGACCACAACATTGATATACCATATTTTTACGAAATTCGAACTCAACCAACATTACAGTGTAGCGTTGATATATTCAATTTATTTTTTAAATCAGATAATAATTGTGACCTAGGAGGACCACAAGCTAAAAACGCGATGTTCAATACAATCGGGCTATAATTCAGGAAGTGACAATCCGATATGCGCGAATATTCAAAGGAACCAAGATCGTTGGGTTATAAACATGCATATCAAGTTTCATCCAAATCAGATGAAAATTGTGACCTCTAGCTAGTTATGGTCCGATTTTGTCAAAATCGGATAAGAATTGTTACCTGTAGAGTGTGCACAAACAAATTGTGGCCGGACGTCCGGACAGACAAACACATGTGGGTGTGTAAAAACAGCGATTGAAAGTTGAGTAAATTCTTAACCTAAGTCTGAGAATGCTTTATTTAATCCCGGATTTGGCCAAGAAAGTTCCTATTGATTTTTTTGTCTGGTTTCCTTGCCCTTGTCAATGATGCAGGAAACAAGTGTCTAGTCATTCAGATGTAATGTCATGCATGTAAAAGAAGCCTTAATAGTTGGAATTCGATGGAAGATAGGCGTAAACATCTCTTTCCCAGGAATATAACAATAGCACAATGCATGGCAAATGCCCGTTTTCATTAGTCTGGTTGGTGCAAAGAAGTAAGATGTTAAATCCCATTTCATTTGATTTCTAAATCTAAAGATGACCTCTTGTGTATTGGTGTCGAATGTTTGCTCATTTTTATACGCCCACATTAAAATGTGCTTGTATATTGTTGTCTCTCCTCCGTCCGTTAGGCCAGTTAATATCCGATTGACAATAAATTTATACATAGCGTTAAGGTCATGAGACGAAGAAGCCTATTGATTTTCACCAATTTCTGATAATTACTGCCAGAGTTATGGCCCTTGATCACTTTGAAAAATCTTGTGGACGCTCTAGAGGCTAAAATTAATTTCCGATTGACTTTAAATTTACACACCCTGTTTACGCCTATATATAATCGTTTCGATTGACTTTAGATTGATACCCAGAGTTTAAGATCTTGAGACGAACAAGTACATGTATATTGATTTTCAATGATTTTTGATAACTTGAACAGCTAAATCCATGATATTAAATTGTTGTATACTAAACGTTAGCATGGGCCAAACAAATTCTAATGATTTTCTGATAATTACTTAATGATATGTTACTCTTAATCAGATTTTAGTGTATTATAAATGTTTCATTACTGACAAAAGTAAAAATATTCAACAACTCTGATGTGGGCATTTGTTTCGTTGCCTGGCAACCCTATCTTTTTTTTAAGAAGTAACCTTTTCTGCGAGTTAAGTATTTGAAAGAAATTTTATTAATTTTTTTTTAATTTAATAGACTGTTATCTTAACCAATAACCGACGTGCCGTGTTAGATGAAGATGTTATTAACCAGCCTTTTAAATACATGCCAGAAAGATGGCTGAGAGATAAATCAGGAAAACGTGTGAATGACATACCAACAATGGCTATGCTACCGTTTGGTTTTGGTGTGAGAAATTGTCCAGGTAGGAGATTTGCAGAGATGGAGATTTACTTAGCTGTTACTAAGGTTAGTGAAAGAACAGTTCTAGTTGTTTGAAGTAGCTGAATAGAGACTCTTCCTAAATTGTGTGTATGTCCAAATACAATATGAAACATTGATTGTTGAAAACGAAAATCTGAAAAAATTCAGAATGTTTTGATTGCTAATTGCAGGGGTTCCTTCTTAATTGAATTTGGACATTCAAAAAGTTTTATTTAAACATGATGAAAATTTTTGATGATTAGGCCTATATATTATTATGAAATTCATCATATTTCAGTTCATAGTTAATATCCAATTTACATTTAACCCCAAGGAATGACATAACACCCAAGTTCTTGCGGAAAATGATAGTTACCTCGATTAACTAGACCAGTGGATCTGACATCTACAAATTGCTCTTGTAACATGTATTTTGATTGGAATACAATGAAAACCTACAATTGCCACATGCTTGAGGGACCTTGAGAGCTAACATCAGCTTCTGTCTCCATGGTAAATTGCATTGCTGAATGCAGCCATAATATCTGGCAATGTCCAGTTTTAAACCAGGTTTATGGTTGAAGTTGACACTCATGACAGTGACAATGTTGCAGCTGATGGACTTACAATCAAATTATTGATACCTGATTTTCAAATCTAATGAATTTTTTAATTTATTTTTATATAGATTGTTCAGAATCTTGAAGTGACCTTAGCACCAGGAATTAAACATCCGGATGTAGAATATCATACCTTCGCTACACCATCACATCCTATAGACTTAAAGTTCAAACCTAGACACTAACATCTTTTGTATGAATTTATATCTTAGAGAAGATTGTTGAGTGTGAAAATGATAGACAGTTGTGTCAGTTACTGTTATTGACTGTGGATTCAATATTCTTGCAAAGTGCCATATTCCTGAAGTGTTCTTTTTTTCTTCAGAAACAAACTCTCTATAGACCTCAGTAAAATTCAGCAATGTGGGGAGATGGTAATTTTACTGTACAGCAGTATGTTTGATGAAATATAGGTTGCAGGTCAACCCATAAAAGTAGTTTCTATTTCCCAGCAATACTATAAAATCTTTCTATGTGGAAACGAATTGTGGCACTTCGCAGGTGCATTTTTTTAGCTATTAACTTTTTGGCAAAGAAAAAAAAATTATTTACACTGGTTACCTGTTAAATATCGAATTGATTTTAAGATTTTATTACTTACTTTTAAATGTTTAAATAATTTAGCTCCTGTTTACCTCTCAGATCTTTTAGAACTTTATACACCTGGCCGAACATTACGTACATCAGATAAACTACTTTTAAAGCCCAAAACTGTTCAACTAGTCTCTTATGGTCAGCGCTCTTTTAGTTATCAAGCACCTGTTTTATGGAATAATCTACCATTTAGTTTAAGATGTTGTACATCTCTATATTCTTTTAAAAAACAACTTAAAACACATTTATTTAATCAGGCTTTTAACTGACTCTGTATACAATCGTTAACATGCCCATAATCTTGTTGTTTATGTGTGATTTACATTGTCACTTTGTAAAGTGCCCCTGAACATGTTATATGAAAGGGTGCACTATAAATATGCTGTAATAATAATAATAATAATCTGGCCATCAGAATGGGACGAAAACCAAAGTGCTGTGTACAGATCGGCGTGTACATAAAATGAACAGTTGGAATGCATTGAAGGGTAGACCACAACGCCACTTTCTAGGCCAAATTTCCCTTTTAGCACTCTAAATAATGTGGGTAAGTCTTCTAGAAAAGAAAGACTTTAAAACTAATTTCATTTCTTTAGTAATTAACCTTAATCCCTAAATTTTTGATTTGATCATCAATGGACCAATAAATACATGATTTCCATTATACAATTGATTGATTTGCAAAGATTTTGGATATATATATATATATATATTTTTTAATTGATATACTTTTGTTTGTATTATCTTAAAACTCTATAATGTAGTGTGAACCGAGAATTTAGGGATTGAATTTGAGGCCTAGCCTCGATCATCATTACTTAAGTCGGTACGATAAAAAAACATAGTCTCGATTATCATTTTTTGATTTAATCATCAATGAGCGTTGAGCAGCAGATCTGATTCAAATCCAGTAAATATTGCAGGCTACCAATGACATCGAGAGTTGATTATGGTCTAGATAAGTTAATTAATGTCTAATTGTATGTTTAACCTTTATTTGGGCTTGTACATGTACTTATTACATAACAATATTTTATCTAATTAAAGTTCCTAATTATATAAATGATTTATTTCAAAAACTTTCAATATTAAATATCATTTGTCAATCAACAGGTTTTTTTTATACCACATCAATTAACTACACATTAAAGAGACATTAGAAGTTTTGAGATCTGAATATCTAGTTATGTCTGGTGTGCTCAAAATAGTCTATATCCCTAAGATATAACCGTTTCAAGATGTACAAATCATACTCATTACCGCCTTGAATTTCAGTAATTAGATGAGTATAGGGTTATTTTTAATATGTGAAATTAATGACATTTATTTTCTTGTTGAAATTTCAAATGTCTCTTTAAAGTTTGTGTAACACTAGGGAAGCAATCAATATATATGTGTAATCATTTTATTTTTAGTGTTGTCCTTTAACTTGAAAGATTTGTATATACTAACCCTCATAAAATATCATATATATTTGAGTATCATTATTGATAAAAAGCACAATTTAAACATTGTCCTAGGCTACATATACAGAGGGGGGTTGGATGGCCGAATGGTTAGCACGTACATGCTGTATCATAAAGCCTGTCATTGAGTCAACTGGTGGCGTGGTTTCGAATCCTGGGTTGTACGTGACAAGGAGTAGGGTTGCCTGTCCAACCTCATGGGTTTTCTCCGGGTCCTCTGGTTTCCTCCCACTGCTAAAGACCCCTACGCGCAAGCGAATTATTGAAATAAAATTAAAAAACAATATGTTAGTCCCGAAATGACCTAGTTTGTGTCGAGTGGACATTAAACACCATTTCTCTCTCTCTCACATATACAGTATATCAAAATGATTGTGAACTATATAATTTGTGTCATTAAGAACCATGGAAATATATAATTATGTGTATTGTGTTTCAAGTAAAATAAAATATGTATCAAATAAAACTTGTGAAAATTCTTTAGTATCCCTTTGTCAGTCCTCATAAAGCATTTATTTTAAGTTTATAGATTTTAAAAAAAGTTTTGGAGTTAAGTGTAATTTGGACTGTTATCTGCTTATTCTGACTTTCACAGCTAGAGAACATGATACAGGATGGAATTTTATATCCATGATAGCCTCAATCTCATGTTTTCACATCTACCTATTATCAAAACAGTGTATGGAGTCAACAAACACCGTGTATACTTAATGATTCTTTATAAACATCCTTTGTTTAAGTGAGTTGGGTGGCCAAATGGTTAACATGTGCATGTTGGATCATAAGGTCATTGAGTCATGTTCTTGGTTTCGATTCCCCGCTTGTAAGTGACAAGGAATAGCATTGTCTGGCCAACCTCATGGGTTTTTCCTGAGTCCTCCGGTTTTCTCCCACTGCTAAAAGATCCCTACGCATGCAAGCGAATTATTGAAATAAAATTGAACCATGTTGCTCCTAAAATTATCTACGGTAGTTTGTGTCAAGAGGATGTTAAACCCCATTTCTCTCTTTTTAGTAGTTTAGTGGAAAGGAATGGAGTATTAACATCTAGAGCGTTCATCCTACCCTTAATCAAATTTATTACATGCAAGGTAACATGTACACAGATGGACCCCAGTCTTCCATCACATCCATATGACTAGAGAATACTGTATTTACAGCCGGTCTACACTGGGATATACTAACCAAGAGTCCACAAAATGATCACATTTATTTATACAGTTAACTTCGCATAAGTCGGATCTAAATGGACTGACCAATTTTATCCAAGTTACGCGAAGATCCGAGTTAGCCGAAGACCTAGTTCGAAAAAAAATCGGGTATCCCAGTCAATTTTAATGGGCAACTTTTTACTGCTTAACGGTCATGTGTCACCTGAACAATGTAAAGTAACATTTTAGTGAGAAAATAAGACCTTGCTTACATGCTGTTAAAAATGCTTCCCCTTCTGCTAAACGGCGTACGGATTTACGTGGTCGGCCATATACAACAAAACAAAATTTAGGTAAGCTGGGGTGGGGAAAAATTAGAATCGTTAAAAAGCTGAGAAACTTGAGTCATTTATTGCTTTGCCCAACCCAATTACAATCAAATTTTTTCAAAAATTCCAATTTCGTTTCGTCTTAATAATGGCCGAGTTGCGCAAATTTGTGTGCTGCCCTGTATTTGGATTTCTTTCAACGGCGTCAGCCAGGCCGTTTGGCGGAGGGGGACGTATTTTTAACAACATGTTTTGAACATACTGCCGATCTGACTTAGGCAAAGGAAAAAAGCCGGAATTAGATCAAATGGACTGAACATTTTGATCTGAGTTGAGCAAAGATCCGACTTAGGAAATCCGACTTACGATTAGAAATTTAATAAGAAAATCGTGCAGGATCAAAGGGTCCAAACGATTTTATCCGAGCTGAGCGAAATCCGACTTATGCAAGGTTTACTGTAAATAATAAAATCAACAGAAATTTGAATGCTTTTTATAATAGCACTTTTAATATAACCTTACACATGATTAACAATATCACATATTAAGTGATAAGTGGGAAAATGAATTAATTTGGAAAGACATTAATAATGTATACTAATGTCCAAAAGAAAGTATACACTGTGCATTTTGTGCTGCATGAACCAAAGTCGTTTTTCCATGGTATACGGTATTTGGGTAGAATGTCAATTTGTTTCACATTTTTATTTTGCTAAGAAATGTTGAGTTTGGACGCAAGAAACAAACTCAGTAATGCGTTATCAAATGTTTTTAATCTAAACAAAACTTAGTCATACTTTTAGTGTGTATACTTTCTTTTGGGCATCAGTACATTTCCTCGATAATTGACTAATAGACTGCTTCACACGAATAGACGACTGCCAAACTTGTGGCTGACATTTAAGGAATTCTTATTTTATCTATTGCAGCTTACTAATCCCATTCAGACTATCATTCTATTTTTCCTAGTCCACAAGTTTCAGTTAAGAATTAGTTTTAAGGCTGTATAAGATGACCTAATTAAGATCGAGGGAGTATATCTTAAAAGCATATAATAACAATATGTAAAAGCACAGCATCCTTCAATTTGGAATCTTTATGAATAAAGTTACTGGATTACTAATTAGATGAGTTATCCAGACATTATTAAAGATATATAATTACAACAATTCCATCACATTATGCAATGTCTCACGGTTTTCACACCAAATATATTCATTACATTCAGTTTTTATATCCGACTAGATTTTTTCACACAATTTGATATCTATAAAATTCTCATTATTTTGGTACAGCCCTTCTATTTATAACAAATAATCGAGTTTTTATTTCACAGATGAGGTTGCCAACCAGGAAATAAACGACAGAGTTTTTTAGGGTCCCGTGCTTCTTCAATAAGTAAATTAACCTGTCCGAGAACACTTAGTTGAACACTATCTTCTATACCTTGTAATTTCTGTTGTAATCTTAATAAGACTCGTTCCGCTAATTTATTTACTTGTTCTTGACTTGCATCTAAAACACACATAAATACAAATATAACTTCAAAATACGAACTAATTTTTACATCTAGGTTGGAAGATTTACATACGAATAGTGACTGGATTGGACTAAGATCATATTATCATCGAGCTAAAGACTGGATGGGACTTGATCGAGCTAATGACAGGATGGGGTTCATATCACAGTAACATTGAGCTAACGACTGAATGAGGCTCATATCACATCATCTTGGAGCTAATGACTGCCTTGGATGGGGCTCATATCACACTATTGTCAGACTAATGACTGGACTCTCTAGCCTTCAAAAACAATACAAATAATAATTCTTCTAGCCTTCAAAAACAATACAAAAAATAATTCTATCTGTTATTAGTCTACAATTTAAATAATGAATACTATATTTTGGACTTTGAAATACCAGTAGAAATTATATACCTGATCTATCATCACTATTACTTGTTATATCTCCTATATTATTGGCTGTAACATTCAGATCTTCTGCATCTTGATTTTGCCGAAGTTGTAAAGCATGAGCTTTCTGTGGTGACAATGTCCAGGCATATAACGGATCATACAGCAGTACTTGTACTATTGTCATCAATGATTCCTGATTATCATGCATAACTTCCATTGTCTTCTCACAACATCTAAATTAAACAATAATAAATATCATCAATTGATATCAATATTTTAAGTACCATACGTCTATCCTTAGAATATATATGTAATCAGGAATGAAACACACACACACCAACAGCTAAGTTGTCCATACAGTTGTCTCAATAACTGACTTTTTAGTAAGGTTTTGTTTTATCAACCAATCACAGAAATTCTGAAAAAAATCTAAAACACTGATTTGTTCAGTGTTTTTAATGGGCAATAATTTTGTGAATAATTGATATCACTCTGAGTTTTGATAGGGTTTATGTTAATAATTAGTTGTACCTCAGTGATTAGTTTAAGGATTCCAGTACCAAAATGTTTGACATGATCAGTGGACACAAGAAGTTGGTGGTATAAAAATCTAAAATTTTCACTTATTGGTAATAATAATCAAATCTTTACTTTTAAAATGAAAATATCATATCCATAAATTATCAAAGATCATTTGACTCTTTACCATTTCTTCCTCATTTACATATATATACTTGTGTTGTTTTAAATACTTGTGTTGATGAAGGAATCAATGTGGCTTTCCGATTAGCCCTTTAGCACTTGGTACATGTACAAGTACTAAAGGGCTAAATATATAGATAAAAAAAAACTTCATAAAAATCTGCTGAAGCTACAAGTACAATAGGCAATGTTATTCAGCCCAGTTTTCATCAATTCAAGCTAAAATATCAACATATTGAAAACCAATTTAATAAAATTACCGTCTAAATACACCCTCTACACCAGTTGGTCCCATACCATCTACTATATCTCTAGTTAAACGAAATGATACTGTCTCTGGTGTTGGTAAAATCTTTCCTTGTTCAAACGCAATACCTGTTAAAAAAGTGTTTTAGATTTAAAAATAACTATTATAAACAAGTTTGACCAAAAGCACAAAAATAATTTTAGCTATGTAAAACTAAGGAGTCGTGGTGGCTCAGAGAGTAAGATGCTGGCTTGCTAACCAGGAGGTCTTGGGTACACTCCCAGTGTGTTTCCTCTTGCCAGTGGTGCAGGACTGAGGGCCTGTCAAGGAACACTGTCTAGTCATTTGATTGGGAGAGAGAGAGAGAGAAATGGGGTTTAACGTCCACTCGACACAAACTAGGTCATTTTGGGACTAACATATGGTTTAATTTTAATTCAATAATTCGCTTGCGCGTAGGGGTCTTTAGCAGTGGGAGGAAACCAGAGGACCCGGAGAAAACCCATGAGGTTGGACAGGCGACCCTACTCCTTGTCATGTACAACCCAGGATTCGAAACCACGCCACCAGTTGACTCAATGACAGGCTTTATGATACAGCATGTACGTGCTAACCATTCGGCCATCCAACCCCCCCCCCCCCCCCATTTGATTGGGACAAAAAACCCTTGACAGTTGGAATTCTAAACAAGCCAACAGTGAGGCTGATGTCCCCCGCCGAAAAACATTTTAACTCAATTCGAAGGAGTGTGACGGACAGACAGACAAACAGACGACGGACGAACCCATTTTAATAGTCCCCTGCTTTCTTCGAAAGGCGGGGGACAATAAGCATACACACCAATTTTGAACATTTTAACTCAATTCGAAGGAGAGTTATTGTGTTCCAAAGTCTCAGCAAATCAAATTGCTTATCGCTCTGCTTAATCTGAGCAGAAAATGCTCATTATCGATCTTAGTCAAGGTATTACTGTAATGAAACTATACACCAAGTTTCATCACTCTCACTTAATTAGAACTAAAGTTATAGTGTCCCAAACCATCAACCAATCAAATTGTTTATCTACTTAATTAGAACTAAAGTTATAGTGTCCCAAAGCATCAACCAATCAAATTGTTTATCTCTGCTTACCCTAAGCGGAACGGACAGACAAACAGACAGACGGACGAACCCATTTTAATAGTTCCCTGCTTTCTTCGAAAGGCGGGGGACAATAAGCATGAACATTTACTCAATTCGAAGATCAACCAATCAAATTGTTTATCTCTGCTTACCATAAGCGGAACGGACAGACAGACAAACAGACAGACGGACGAACCCATTTTAATAGTTCCCTGCTTTCTTCGAAAGGCGGGGGACAATCAAAGTAGGAGAGTTATTGTTTTCCAAAGTCTCGACCAATCAAATTGCGTATCGCCCTGCTTACCCTGAGCAGAAAATGCTCATTATCAAACTTAGTCAAGGTATTACTGTAATGAAACTATACACCAAGTTTCATCAATCTCACTTAATTAGAACTAAAGTTATCGTGTCCCAAAGCATCAACCAATCAAATTGCTTATCTCTGCTTACCCTAAGCGGAAAATGCTCATCTTCGAACTCCATCAAGGCATTGACCTAATCAACACATACACCAAGTTTGAACATTCTAGCTCAATTAGGAAGAGAGTTATCGTGCCCCAAAGTATCAACCAATCAAATTGCTTATCTCTGCTTACCCTAAGCGGAAAATGCTCATCTTCGAACTCCATCAAGGCATTGACCTAATAAACACATACACCAAGTTTGAACATTCTAGCTCAATTAAAAGTTATCGTGTCCCAAAGCATCAACCAATCAAATTGCTTATCTCTGCTTACCCTAAGCGGAAAATGCTCATCTTCGAACTCCATCAAGGCATTGACCTAATCAACACATACACCAAGTTTGAACATTCTAGCCCAATTAGGAAGAGAGTTATCGTGTCCCAAAGCATCAACCAATCAAATTGCTTATCTCTGCTTACCATAAGCGGAAAATGCTCATCTTCGAACTCCATCAAGGCATTGACCTAATAAACACATACACCAAGTTTGAACATTCTAGCTCAATTAGGAAGAGAGTTATTGTGTCCCAAAAAGTGTGACGGACAGACAGACGGACAGACAGACAGACAGACAGACAGACAGACGGACAGACAGACGGACAGACAGACGGACGAACCCATTTTAATAGTCCCCTGCTTTCTTCGAAAGGCGGGGGACAATAAGAGTAGGCCCTAGTGCCACTGTCTGGGCAAAATTTCACCCATAGCACACTGTATGGCATATGTCCATCTTCATTAGCCCCGTCGATGCTATTTAAAGCTTATGAAGTGATAATAAACCTACCTAGATCAATATGAACTAATTCAGCTGTATTACAATCCACTAGTATATTCTGTACATGACGATCACCTAATCCTAATATATAACCAACTGAAATAAATAAATAAGTTATAAAATTACTTAGTCATTTCAGTGATTTTAAATTTTTGGCAAATTCGAATATTGTTAAGGCTGAATCTCTAAAAAGAATAGGAGTTCCAAAATGGTTCATTTCCCTGTAGAGCTGAGTGATATTTCGGTTTTTTGATATAAAACCATCCCAGAAATAAAAACTGTCAAAAATACTGTCTTCAGAAAAATATCGAAAAACTGAACATACTGCGATATATCGCAGTTTTGATTTTTCTGGATGATATTTAACATAAATATTGAAAAAATGTCTTCCTTTTTATCTTATTAACGATATTTTATTGTTTAATGATAAATAAATAGCAATAAATACTGTTATAAACTCTGGAGTGTTCATTCCACAAAGTTACCAAATGCAAGAGCTTTGTTTACATCACGTGACTTCTCGCTCTCTTTTCCACCCGACCAATACCGTTATAATTATCCCTGCTTCTATTCAATTTCTTGATGAATTGTTTATACAGATGCTTTGATCTTCCAAAAGAATCATTGATTTTAAGATTGAAATAAATTTTAATAAAGCAGAAATATAAATAATACTAACTAATGTTCATTCAGGGTTGACATGTCATGGCGGTGGGTGATCCGGAAAAAATATTTGACTAAATCAATGGACCTCTTTTGATTTAATACTTATGTTTTATAGTATAATTTAGTATTTTTGCATTGCATAATGTATTTTCAAGAAGGTATGGCTTGAATGAATGAATGAAAAAAAAAACCCAAAACGAGTTTGCTATGGTAAATCAATAGCATTCAATCGTACCTGCAGTTATAAAAATCATGCACTGCCGAAAGAACAAACTTTTTAAAAATGTTTTTTGTGCTTCCTTTATGTAAATATTCTTAATTTAAATAAAATAACATAATTAATAAACCAGAAATTAATAGACCAATATTTTTTCGCAAGTATTCATGGCTATTAGACCATGGACCTTATAAATATCACGATATCTGTTTACAAGGATATCGCCCAGCTCTATTTCCCTGCAGAATTTACATAAAGATATGTTGAACTGAAAATAATTGGCATCCTCTATAGAAGAGATAAACAAGTCAGATACATCATAAATATAACTAAAATTTTTGATGAGTCTCTTTTTGATTAGACTGAATCCAAACAGAGGAATTATCTATCATTGATATTTCAATTTTGTTTTCAGAAAGGGGCATTATGTAAGATTTAGATAAAGTTACTGGCCTTTCTCGCTATAATATTTCAAAAATAGATAATGCAAAATGAATATATTGAAAATTTCAATGAAATTACTTTATTTTGAGTTAAGTTAATATGGTTGTTGTTTTGACAAGATGTCTGCACTGATCATAACCACCGTACTGGTCATTTGAGTCTTAGCCTCGCTTCTCCATTTCTAAACTGAATCAATCTAATTAAAATCAGAGCCATCCGATGGCATTGAGAGTTGATTATGGTCTTGTCATGTTAATAAATGTCTAATTAATAATTTAGAAAACATTTCAGGCCTAAAGAAAGACCTGAAATAGACAGATTTAGCTCTTACATAATGTATGTTTAAACATGCATTATGCAAGAGCAAAATCTGCTTATTACAAGTCTTTCTTTAGGCCTGAAATGTTATCTAAATTATCAATTAGACATTAATTAACTTATCCAGACCATAATAAACTCTCGATGTCAAGGCTAGCCTTCGATGTTGGCTGGATTAGATTCCTATATGCCGCTTAACGGCCATTGATAATTAAACCAAAACAGTGGATAATCGAGACTATGCTGTTTATATTAATGATTTTAGTAATGATGACCGAGACTATGCGAAAATTCCACCCGCTTCGTTCTCGGCTCATAGTGGATCAATTTGACTGAAATTTTCAGCAAATTCCCGTTACACTATCTAGTTTTTAACTATTATAGCGAGAACTGCCATCTCTTTATCTTATCTCCCATAATGTATGTTTAATTAAATGTAAATAATCAATCTGAGTACATTTTAACATGGATTAAGCTATTAAAAATTAGATATTGTCTAATACATGTACGGTCAAGATCAACAATATTAGTAATTAATTTAATTTAATCAAGTATAGTATTATTTAGTTAGCTCAATATGGTCATTCTCAAGAACACATCAACTCTAAGTATATATGACAGAAAAATGTTCATTAGTTGCCGACTTTTTAGTTAACAGAATACTCTTAACCACACAACTACCATAAAAACTTTAGTTACATGTATTTAAGGTTTCAGATAACAGTTTCAAAGCTAGTAAGCCTTACCAATAGAATTTGTAGCAACACTTCTAGTGTAGGCTAGTCGTCTTTCAAACCATACAGAAGGTTGTGGGAATTTCTCCATGAAGAAATGACGAAATACTGGTTTAAACTTCTGACAAACTTGTTTAAAAACTTGATACTTCTTACGCACATCTGAACTATTGTGAACATTCTGCACAAAAAACAGAAGAGTGAGAAATCTCGTTATAAAAATAAAAACAATGTCATATATCAAATCATTACCTTAAAAAGGCCTATAACATTAGAGATATGTAAAATAACAGAGTGGCCAACTCAAAATATGTTAAAAGTGATATGTACCCTACCATGGATATCACTTAATACCAAATAATTGATATCCAATGTTAAAAGTAGGGTGACCCACCGTAAATAAATATCTCCAAATATCTCGACAATTACACCACAATATCTATATATACACCAAGCCTTAAAACATTTTCAAACATTTATAGTCACTAAAAAACGGTCATGCTGTACTTAATAAGCTATGACCATTTAATCATCCAGAAATAATACACTGAAAGATGGTTCCGAGTGTCGCCCATAACATCCGAGCACATGTGAGTAAAAAATAGTTTACGTGCCCTTGTTTTGAAAGTATTCTCGCTTAACCTGTCTACCGATCATTCTACGTTTGATTAATAGGCCGGGATAATTAAGACTACTTTTTTACGAAACATGACAGAAAGCTGGAACAATAAATTGAATTTAGAAACACGCACGTTAGGCAACTCAACAATTGTTTTAAGAACCTTGTAAAAGTAAAATGAAAATACTGCTAGTATCATATTCTGGGCTAACCCGAGTATTTCAGAGATATTACTTGTACTTAAACAAAAGATGCAGCTCCTAATGGTACAGTTAATGATAAACCAATTTAAAAAATAAACGAACGTAATTTCTAAAGCTGCTGTAATAACCAATAAGCTAAATATTACTGCTGTTCAGAATCATCAACAATAGATTTTTTACGGCTGTAATAGTTGATAGAAGTGTAGTGAATTGCACGTGCGATGGCTATTTATAGTATCATAGACTCTAACACTTCAAGATAAGACACAGAAGCATGTACATTCGCTGTGCCGAGACCAACTTTCCGTAAAGTGTATGGGTCACCCTATTAAAAGTATGAATTGTTGATAAATTAGCTACACATCAAGAATAGATTTTAAGCTATTGTGCCTGGCATTTAAGTATTTAAGAGGTAAAGGGCAAATCTCTTATCATATTCTCCTGGACATGTTCACAACAAGAACACCTTCTTCTAGTTCCAAAATATAAACCCAAATCATTAGGATACATATTGTTTGCTCACACAGTGCCTGTTCTGTGGAATGCATTACCCCTGAACATTACACCAGCATCCAATCTAGAAACTTTCAATACTAAATTAATAACTCATCTATTTTCAACCTATTATTGGCACCTAGACTTTGTAGCGATTTGAGCATTCACACTAGCATGGAATTGTACATGGTATAAATGTACACATCATATATTATAAATTTGCTTATTTAGATCATATTATGTATAACATTTGTCTGAAATGTGACCAGCAATCCATAGATTAAATATATATTACTAACCTGTAAAGCCCTTCTAGCATCAAGGGGTGCCAAATCTTGTGGTCTATATTTAGAATGAGCACCATTAACAGACGAATTACCGACTAAATAATCACCTAGAGGTTGAGTACCTTCACACCATTCTAATATCCCACTACGTTGTGATAATGGTATAACCTAAAATAATAATATATACACAACATTTCTTACATTCTAATATACCACTTCATTGTGATAATAATAATATACACAACACTTCTTATATTCTAATATACCACTTCATTGTGATAATAATATACACAACACTTCTTATATTTTAATATATCACTTCATTGTGATAATAATAATAATATACTTTCTAATAGACCACTACGTTGTGATAACGGTATAAACTAAAATAATAATATACATTCTTATATCCTATAACCTAACATAACATTTTCCACATTTGAACTTTGCACAATAGATACCTACATAGAATATAATTCATCAATGTAAGCTAGAAAATATCTTGTCAAGTCTGTGAGAAAAGGGAAGTTTCTTGAAGTATTGATAGAATAATGACCAATTTCTTAAGTAATGACATTCAAGTGAAAAAGATTTCAGGACTCAATAAAGCATGCACGGACATTACAAGAAAATATCTTAACCAACTGCAGATGAAACATTATTACTGGTTTTGATTCTACTTGAACCGTTTCTTATCAGGAAAGATAGAATGTGACATGACTAAATTCTGAACATTCAAAACTAAAGATGGTTATCACGCAGATGAAATATGTGACAAATTGTAAGATGTCAAAAAATGGCGATCACAGAAGGCAGATACGTATCTATAAATTAATCTTACCTTGTACTGTCTTATATGAAGTTTTCTTTTCCTAGTTTCAGTGTTTTTACGTAACAGATTATTGACCATACCAAACACCTGTTGCATCACAGCATCTTGTCGCAGATCATCACGTCCCTAAAAACATATTATTGTAATTTATTCGTGTGTCTTTTAAACCGTTGCAAACTATACTATCACGAAAGTTGAATCTCTAAATGGAATATCAGCCCAAAAATGGTTCATTCAATTCAGATATGAAATTAAAATTTTGTAACATTCTTCTTTCTCTAAAGGCGATTTAAACAACATTAAAGATACATTATGGGAGATTCGATAACGAGTTGGCAGTTCTCACTATAATAGTTAAAAACTAGAAAATGTAAAGGCAATTTGCGGAAAATTTCATTCAAATTGATCCACTATGAACCGAGAACTAAGCAGTTGAAATTTCCGGCTAGCCTTGATCATCATTACTAAAGTCAGTACGACAAACAGCATAGTCTCGTTTATCCATTTAATCGTTAAATCAGGAAGGAAAGTTATGCAGTAAATCGGCTCATAATCCACTAAGATCGCAGGCTAGCGATGCCATCTAGAGTTGATTATGGTCTGGATAGGTTAATTAATGTCTAATTAATAATTTAGATAAAATTTCAGGCCTAAAAAAAGACCTGCAATAGACAGATTTAGCTCTTGCATAATGTATGTTTAATGAAGATATATATAGTGCAATGAACTATACTAAAAGGAAGCTTTATCTTTAACCAACAAAAGTGAAAAGTTACCTTGACGAGTTGTCTACGTGCTATACCATCTGATCCTTTACATGTTATTATCTTAGGTAGATTAATACCACCAGCTAATTTAAAACTTTTCTCAAATCCTTTAATATATACTATATTATCATAATTACAACTTGGTTCAATCTGTAAATATATACAAATATATAAATACCAAATATACATTACTCTAACTTATAAAAAGAGGGAGAGAAATGTGATCTAAAGACCACTCGACACAAACTAGGTCATTTTGGGATGAACATATGGTACAAATTTATTTCAATAATTCGTTCCTGCATAGAGGTCTTTAACAGTGGAAGGAAACCAGAGGACCATAAGGTTGGGCAGGCAATCCTACCCTTGTCACATACAATCTTGGGATCGAAACCGTTCCAATGATAGGCTTTATGATCTAATGTGCACCATTCGACCACCCAACCCCTGCAAATTAAAGTGTTCTTATCAAATGTAGATGACCATTTGTAAAATGCTGTGTAATAAAATTGAATATTGTGATGCAAATTAGATAATCAATCTTAGGTTTTGTGAGCCACAAAACTAAATTTTGCATAAATTTCATTGTGTTTGGTTATAATAATAAAAGGCCAATGTTACTAAATCTAAACATGAAAGAAATAATCTATAAACTTAATATAGGTGATAATATAAATCTATTATATACCCTTGTTTCAACTGTTGGAAAGGCTACATTAGTTAAATCTTTCATATGAGTAATAGATAGACCACTTGCTAAATTTATAGCTCCTGGAAAATAAATGAGAAAGAATATGGCCTTATTATTCAAAATCTCTATGGATACAGAAACAAGATGAAGGACAATTTGTAGTGACTTACAATGGCACCATATCCTCTTTGTGAATATTGCTACTTTCGGAGGTTTACAAATAATAATTTTATTAGAACTAATATGTTTATTGTCCCCACCTTCAACATTTTGATTTCTTTTAAGATTAATAAGATATATAAAATAATTAATTTTCTACATACTTGATTCTTTTCTATGTTGTTCAGCTGAAGTATTAGCTAGCTGTATATAAGCTTCAAATAGTTTCTCCATATCACCTAATATATTACATATTTTATCATCGTGTTTTAATCTACTAATCATATTCTTGGCTGATTCAACTCTATCCTGGAATATACATCAATATAAATAGCTGATTCAACCCTATCCTGTAATACAATACAAACTATACTTTCGTAGCTGAATAACAATAATAGGTACTTCTGAAGTAAGGAGAGATAAAGAAATGGGATTTAACGTCCACTCATTACAAACTAGGTCATTTCTGGACTAACACACGGTTCAATTTATTTTAATTATTCACTTGCGCGCGGAGGGGTCTTTAGTTGTTGGCAGAAACTGGAGGACCCTAAGAAATCCCACAATGTTGGACATGCAAGCCTACTCTTTGTAAACGTTCAAGCGGGGAATCGAAACCATGCCACTTGTCTCAATGACAGACCTCATGATTTAATGTGCATGTGTTAAAGATGCATTATGCAAGGATTAGATAAAGAGCTGACAGTTATCACTATAATAGTTAAATGAAAAGGGAATATGATGAAAATTTCAGTCAAATTACTTCATTGAGAGCAATATTTGGGCTGTTGGAGAATGGCAGAGTCCCGATTGTCATTGCTACGATACTAAACAAAGTTTTGATTGTCAATTTTTTAATTAAATCCTTAACCATCAATCGTGTTTAAATCGGTTTAAAATCTAGAGCATCAAATGGCATCGTGAGTTAATTATGGTCTTGGTAAGTTAATAAATGTCTAATCAATAATTTATATAACACTTAAGGCCAAAAGAAAGACTTGTAATAGGCTGATTTAGCTCTTGAAGAATGCATATTTAAAGACATAAAATGAAATGAAATGTGGATTAATGTCCTACTGTTCTGTTCCGACCTGGTCTAATGAAGACGAGCATATGCCATACAGTGTGCTGAGGGAAATTTTGCCCGGATAGCGGCACTACAACCTACTCTTATATCAAATTCCAACTGTCTAGGGACCTTTTACGTGCACACCAATGTGTACACGGGACCTCGGTTTTCTGTCTCATCCGAACGACTAGGCAGCTGTCCTTATCAGGCCCTCCGTCCTGCATCAGAGAGCCAGTGTCTTACCCACTTAGCCACTGTGACCCCCTAAAGACATAAACGTAGTGCTTTAAAGTTGACGTTATAGAATACCTCTTCTTTAGTAGCTGATTTTCCACCTTTACTTGTTCTTTTATTACTTCTACCTTGTTGTAATATTTCTGTATCTTTATTAGCGAAAGCTAGAGCTAGTATTATTGACAATGCATGATGAGGATGATCTATAGCTGTTCTTTCTAATATCTACAAAATATAAAGTTCATAAATAAATATCTTTCTATAAAATACAAAGTTCATAGATCAATATCTACAAAATCTGTTTAAAACACTAAATTTACCCTGCTATCATGATCCAAAGAACTACCAACATCATTTCACATAATTGTTATACATGTTTTATGGCCAGTTATCAAAATATTAAATCAGACATGATTATTTAAAACAGTAGTTTACTGACCTTATTTAAAACTTGTTGAAATGTGGATAGTCCTTTATTTGATGAACCCATTCTAGCTGCTAACTGATACATCAATGGTAAAAACTTGTATGACTTGATACTTTCAATATTATTCTATAAATGTATACAATTAGTAAGTTTTAATAAAACAAGCCAACAGTGAGGCTGATGTCCCCCGTCAAAATCAAGAAATAAATAGATGAAACATATGAATTAATTGCACATTGATCTGTTTCAAAAGTATCATGCAATCAAATTGATTATCAACTATACACTAGGTTTCATCACTCTCTGTCAGATAGCATCAAGCATCAATGATCATATGATAAACGGATAGAATGAGCAAGAAATCATAGATTCTTCACATCTTCCTTAGCAGTATGGAGATAATCATTAGTTTCTGATAAAGGACTTATGACAAATATTCGTGTATCTTCTGTTTGTAAAGACACATGAATTGCAATATAAACATTCAAATTAAGGGCATATTGATAGATTGATGTCTGAGAAATCCAAGATGCTTTTAATTATACATTATATTAATATGATGCAGAAAAAAAAGATCTAGACAATTTTCTTTCATATACAGTTAAACAAATCAAATTTTTAGTAAATGTGCTTAAAATTCATAACAAAAGCCATTCATTAGGCTTCTCTATCATTTAATAAGTTTAATAAATTCGATGTTTTTCTATAATGGTGATCACGATTCAAATATACATATTTTCTATCAGTAGAACTGCAGATAAAACAAACAAAAGGAGGGCTATACTCATACTTTCACTAGAAATGTCTGTGTAACAAATCACTAATCCTTACCATTAACAAATCATTGACTTCTGCTGAGTTACAATCATCAAACCACAAGGCTATTAATCTAAATATACGTAGATCATATTTATCACCACATCGTAAACATCGTAGATAAAATTCTAGAGCTTTTAGTAAGAATTTACTTCGATCTTCTTTCATTGTTGATAATTCTCTTTCATCCATTTCGGATTGTTTCTCTAAAATCCGCAAATATCGACTGAAAAATGAGAAAGAAAAGGTTTTATTTGTTACTCTTTTCACATACTCCTCAAAGTGTTTCCTTTGATTAGACCTAATCCCACTCAAACACTGCCATACTCAGCACAAATGTCTGTCCCATATTATGACTGGTTAACAACCAGTACATTACTACGTAACAAAATCAATCAGGATTAACCAGAGCTTTAAATACGTTACCGTAAAGTGTCTGGTGATAACCGCAGCTACATTACATCATAACACGCGAAATGTATTATACTCAATTAACTATAGTGCAGGGAAACTAATTGGGTGATAAACGACGGTATCCAAAATAGTTACAATGTAAACAAACATTGGGTAATCATCTCTTGGACTATACAGATCAAAGAGAAGGACTGTCGTGTTACGTATTGTGTTTCAACAAACTGGATAGGAATACCACATTGATTTTCTTTACAAAAATGAATAAATATTTTAGAATACTTAAAGTTAGGCAGTTATAATTGGTACAAATAGAAACATTTATCGAATTTATATCGGAGATTTGAGCCAAAGAACCTTCTTTCTAATAGCAAGTTTCAGCGACGGTAAAATTTACCACTGCGAGTATCTATGTTTGCTCCCGATGCACCCAAGGGTAGAAATTTTCTTGCATTCAGCACTAACAACTACAGGTTTTTTTTTTTAAAGAGGTCACCCTTGTTAAGTCATGAAAATTCCTTTTATTTTTCTGTAATCGGGTGAGATTTGATTGAACAATGAGAATGGACACACTCCGTCAAAGACTCAAGTTTTCAGTCTCAATACAGCAATGTCTAGAGAGGGATTTCTTAAGCCAATGTTTCAGGAATATGCTCTTTTCATTGCATTTTAGGTTACAAAAAAATAAACACAATTGCCCTAAAAAGGTTAATGCCCCTTGGATGGAATTTTGCAGATATAAATTTATATATTTTCTAAAAATGAAATGGGGGTTAACAGCCTACTTTTCTGCTTCAACCAGGCTAATAAAGACAAGCATATGCCATACTGTACATTACGGGTGGGGATTTTACATGTACGCCAAAGTGTACATAGGACCTTGGTTTTTCGTCCCATTCAAATGACTAGGCACAGTTTGAGCAGTGACCCTGTACGAGTAAAATAAGTATAATCTTTATTATTTTTACTTGAAATACATACTCTTTATCTGTAGCAACTGTTTTATACTGTTCCGCATCTTCTTTAGCTTTTTTTAATAAAGCTTGTTTAGCTTCATATGTAGATGATTTCATATAATTAACTATATTCTGATACTGATTATCAGCAAATCTAGCTAATGATAAAAATGCCTCTAAACAGGTTGATTCATCATCTGTTGTTTCACTTAATAATTCTACGGTCTGAAAAAGATAATTTTATTTCTCATTTCAAATTTAATGCCTAACCTACCATTCAGGTGTTATTTACATGCCCTTATGCACTGAATATTAATGAAATCTGAAATAATTTCAGATATATTCAAAATATAAAGCCAAAATACCAATATTTTTTAGAACACCTTATGCCACTTGTCACATTTTAAGCCCAAAACAAAACTAATATAAGTAAACAAACGGACTTCCACTTAATTTTTCGAAACAAAAATATAACCCTGTAGAGTTTGTTGTATCATTAATCAAATTAACACATGTGACAGACACAATTAATCAAAGAGGTTTAAATGCTTTAAAACCATGAACAAGGCTGCAAAATTCAACTGTTTACTTCCAGTCTACAACAACTCTTAATACGACTGGCACCACAAGGTGGAATATTGGAGAGAACCAAGAAAGCAATATTGTAGTACGGTTTGTTCTCAGGCTACAGAAATGTTCGCTGGATCAGTTCACTTCTGGCAAACATATATTATGATAGAAGGGAATTGTATATATTTTACCCTTTCAAGAAAATTTTCCATAATGACTGTAGGATTCTCCGATCTAGTCTCTGACAACCAGTTACCATAAGTACCTAGTGCCATAGGTAATAATTTTACAGCTGTATTATTTTCATTCTGAAGCTTTGAAAAATATATAAGTTTAACATCTGATTTCATTTTCTACCTTACCATGTTGTGGTTTTTTTTTAGAAGGGAGCCATAGTAGCTCAGTCAGTGTGATGCTGGATCACTAACGAGGAGATCCCAGGTTCAATCTTGGTGTTGGTCGAGAATGTTCTAGATTTTCTCCTGTTCGGTGTTGCCGAAAGGAAGGTATGGGACAGAAAACAAAGTTCATCAGGTGTTCTTGGTGTGTACACTATCCTGGAAATAAGGTACCTGTCACAGACAATGTCAGGCACTGATTCAGACTTTGTCAGGCACAAAACCTCTGGTGTCTGTCATTTTGTCTAGCACTGATTAGTCTCTTTTTTATTGATATTATTAATACTTGAAAATGTCAGGTACTATTTCATTAGTGTCTAAAACCGTTATTTCTAGGCCTGTCTGTATATAATAAAAACATTGACTGATGAAATTTGATGAAGAGTAGGTAGAAACAATGTCTGGGAAATATTTGCCTCATAGCACACTGCATGGCATTTTCTGTCTTTATTACCTTGGTGGTACAGAAAAGTAGGAAGTTACTGCATTTCACATTCCATCTCCAAATCTAATCATTTAGGCTTTTTTTCATTCATGCTTTTACAAATAATTCTAATCTAATGAAATACAAACCCTTTCAGCATTAGAGATGAGTTTTTTTATAAGATTTTTCCCAATATCATTTTCTGATCTTGCCCAATAAAGCTTAGCCTCTTCCATGTCTGTGAGTAGTTGACTACCAATATCATCATGTTGTATATGTCGTAGATCATATATAGCTTGTTCAGACACCTACAGTGAAAGAATTGTACATTTATATTAGGCTTTATAAAAACATCATCAACAATTGATCTGTCACGGCTAGGCAATGTCTAAGTTACATTCTTCTTTTAGCACCCGATTCATATAAATATTAACTATCACAGTTCCCTGAAAAAACTGTTTGGGAGCTCATTTTCAAAAACTGCCCAAAACTACTGCTTGGTCAAGCTTTTGATGTAATGAAACTATACCCCAAGTTTTACCATTGTCAATCAATTAGAATCCATGTTATCAAGCTCCAAAGTCCAGACCAATCAAATCTCTTATTACTCTGCTTCATCTGGGCAAAATATGCTAATTATCAAACTTGAAGGTATTGATGTAATGAAATTCTACACCAGATTTCATTACTCCAGTTTAATTGGATTCAAAGTTATCGGTAAGTGACATTTACTAATTTAAAAAACATTAAGCAGTGATTGTTTCCCATAAAATTGTGTTCTGTTAATGTTGAATATGGGTGAACTGTGGTGACTAATTAATATACTGTACCTGAAATTTACCAGCTACTCTAGCTTGTTTAGACAGGTGTAATAAAGTTTGTATTAACCCATTTTGTAATACTGGATTATTGTCATCCTTATTGTAGAGAACTTTTAGTGATGAGGAACGTAATATAAGTGCTGGTTCTATACTAGAGAAATCATTAACTGGTATATCACTATTATTCCAACTATCTATTAACTGTTTATAGTCTGTTGTATCACTGAAATTACAATTATATATAACTAAGGTCTGACTAAAATTAAAACTATATAAAACTATAGTCTCTTGTATCACTGTACCATTTTTTTATTAAGTACAGAATGCCTAGCCATTCACATGGGGTGAAAAACCACACATGTTGGCATGCATATAAAAGAACCTCCCTAGCAAAGCAATACAGAAAAAATAACAGTAGTGTCAAAATAACCAAAGGTTTTTGTTGATGAGACACTCCTTTCCTTTCCTTTTGGTTGTGATTGACCGATGATGAACCCCTCATGATTATATCGGTAAACTTCATGTAACTATACAGGCAAAACTGATCGAAACTTTTTTCAAAGTTTTGTTCTTTTTTATCCTGTATATTTTTAATGCAAAAAAAAGGACATCGATCCACCGATCATGCAAAGAACAGGGACATGTAGCTAGATTGTGTGCTTAGTGTAATACATACCTTATAAGTATAGTATAAAGTTGATCTAGTTGTTGTAAACAATGTAGTTTCGATAATAGAGGATATATACTATTACAACATTCACCATATAATTTTACTGTATTTACAATCTCACATCTAGAAAAAATAAAAGCATACTTTATTTACATATCTAATTTCAAAATAAGTAGTTACATCTCATTGACATAAAGTTATTACCATGTCAACAGATCTTGGGTAATCATCCTCGTATTCCAGATTACGATTACTACTTTCCTACTCTATGATTTGTAATACAAACCTGTTAAAATACCTTCACGCGTACAAATTTGGATTAAAAACATCTTCAAACAAATTAATCTATCAAAGATTTGCTTCAAATTCCTCCCAAAACTCCAACCTCGTGGGTTTTCTCTGGGTCCTCCAGTTTCCTCCCACTGCTAAAGGCCCCTACGCGCAAGCGAATTATTGAAATAAATTGAACCATATGTTAGTCCCGAAATGACCTGGTCTGTGTCGCGTGGACATTAAACCCCATTTCTCTCCCCTCCCAAAACATTGTAATTGCCAGGAAATATCCCAAGCTACAAAAAATCTATTAAAAGAAGTCATGTTTGTGTCACGTGACTTAGCTGTCGCAGTACCTAGCAATAGGTGCGAAGCTGGAGGAGAATTCATTGCATATAAAAGACAATGTTGTCTTTAATCGCTGTTTCCTATCTATTGTCTTCTGTACATATATATAAAAACCTAACTATCCTTTAATTTTTTCCACTAATCACATTGTAAATATTTTCACTATGTATATATAACATGTAATTGTCTGCGATATCACTTCGGTGGAAGCGGACGTTAAATAAAGCTATTACACACACATTAATCGCTGTCCATTTATCATAAATATCGAAGCTTAAGTAAATTATCAGATTATCCCCTGCCCATGTCTTTTTCTGTGGTTTTTATCTCCGAAACTGTTATACATTCTTTGAATGGCATTTAGTAATTGGAACATAATCAAAAACACACTTTTATGGATATCAATTACTATGGTTTATTTCACAGCAACGTTTCAACAAGATTTTTACAAGTCGTACATTTAAGTCTCTCACTTTTCCATGTCCACTCACCATCAAGTTTATCTACATATACATCAAGCGCTCCCTAATGCCAAAAGCTCAGAAATCTACGTGTGTAACCCTTAATCGTTTTTCAAGGAATCTAGTATTTTTCTAGTAAGATTGGGTGTCTCTACCTTCCATATATATATATATACCAAAATTACCATACTTTCATTGGATATAACCACCCGTTATCAATTTGTGGACAAACTGTCTGTTTGTCTTATTGGAGACAATACAATATTTTAGGTCACAGCCTAGTTTTCATTAATGGTTTAATATAATTCAGCGGTTTCCAATGGAAATTTATGTTTAAAATTTGAAACCTTGATAGAGAGTGACACATAGACGACCTCAAGAGGGCTGTGTCCTAACTAAAGTTGTCAGCTACTGACACTAACATTTGTCAATGTAATACATATTTGACTCCAGAAAGAAGATCTTTAAGTTCTATTAAAGGGGCATTAGGTAAGATTAGATAAAGAGCTGACAGTTCTCACAATAATAGTTACAAAAATAGATACTGAAACCAGAATATGCTGAAAATTCGAGTCAAATTGCTTCACTGTGCCGTGAGTCACGTACGCCAAACGCTGCAGGAAGTTACGTCTTTTTACAAGTAGGTACGGATCGGCAAGTTTTCATTCTATCATATTATGAAAACACGTAATTTTATAGAAATATCACTGACATAAATTTGAATACCACAATTAAATATGAAAAATAGCAAGGTGTTCCCATTTTTATTACGCACAGATTTGAGTATTTTTGTGACATTTTATTAAGAAGAAAACGATTCTTATTCCGAAAGTTCTACATTCATTTGCTGCCGTATAAACGAAGACACGTAATTTTACCGGAATATTAGGCTTCCTGTTGTGAATTTGATGCTGAAGCAGTGGACAGTCATTTTATTTGCCATATCTTTTATGTCTTTTAAGACTCCATATAGAAATTTTCATCCACAGTGGAACTTTGCCGCGATCTCGAGTGCCGCGTGAAAATCGCTTACAAGGCAGTGCTTACGATAAAGCTATGTGCTATGAGTCACATACGCCATACGGTGCAGGAAGCTATGTCTTTTTACAAGTAGTTACGGATCGGCAAGCTTTCATTCTATCATATTACGAAAACACGTAATTTTATAGGAATATCACTGACATAAATTTGAATACCGTACGGGAATTAAATATGAAAAATAACGAGGTTTACCTATTTTTATTACTACAGGAGTTGAATATTTTGTTGACACATGATTTCTAATTGTGGTATGAATACGTCAGCTTAAATAACGATAAGAGTTATGCCGCTTTATTTTCGGTAAAATGTCCGACAGGAAAAATTTTGAAATCCCATCTCTGAACCAAGATATTAGTGATTCAATTTTAGTTTTAGGCTAGCCTCGATCATCATTACTAACATTGGTACGATAATAAACAAAGTCTCAATTATCCTTTATTACGTTAAATTATCCATCGCAAAAAGTATTCAAATTGACTAAATATCGCAGGCTAACGATGGCATCGAGAGTTGATTATGATCTGGATAAGTTTATGAATGTCTAATTAATAATTTAGATAACATTTCAGGCCTAAAGAAAGACCTGCAATAAGCAGATTTAGCTCTTTCACAATTCATGTTTAAGTAATATTAACATATCAAAGACAGTATATAATAGAAATATAATTTTACTTTATGTAATACATATTTGACTCTGGGAAGAAGATCTGTAAATTTTTATTAAGTGACACCAACATATCAATAGTATTATAACATTACCTTGCAGATGTGATGGCTTTTTCCATCAATAATAGTTGATCGTGTTTTAAAGCCTCCACACCACAATACAACCCTTGATGAAAACCTATACCATTCTCTAATCTACATAAATACAAAATAATATTTTACACTTATCTCTCTTTTTTTTTTGAGGAGATTCACTGTTTGGTGTACTTGATTGCTGCCTTACCATGAGGGTACTAATTACAAGTATACACATAGATCAGACATTTTACTATAATACAACCCTTATGTACATATTTAAATACCAACATGCCTCTTGCAACAGTGTTCTAAGTTCTATCCATAAGATTTGCCATCTTGTCAATGAAATGCTGCAGTAGTAAGAGCAGCAATAATTAATACAACAATAAAATCTATTGAATTATGCCTTCTCAAAGCAATATATATATGAGTCCTTCCAAAATTTTAACACAGAAAATTTAAATGTTAGTTCGTACTGTTAACTGATTGCATAGGTTAGCTGCAATGATGCAAAATCTTCTATCACCGAATTTGTTTTAGGAATGGGATCATAACGGTGCATCTGGGTTTACAGTTGGTCAAAAGTTCTAACACATATCATGAAGGCATTTTGACCTTGATGATACAATTTTGTGGTTCTTGTGCAGTGATGTTCTGGATTATTTGTAATCTACCTTTAAGTTTGTGGGTAAATCGAAAGCTTATCTTCCCCACCCACAAGTGAAAAGTACTACAATGTTATCAAAGCAGCATTCATATATAATTATCTATATTTACCGGACTGGGGCGTGAAGATTCCACTGTCCTGTTTTCCATGCTGCTTCAAATTGTAACTCTTCAATGTCATATGGTACATTAAGTCCTTTTGCTACCATGCCTTGAAGACAAGTATTTAATAGAGAGCTGGCACCAAATTCTTTCACAGACTAAAATAAAAAGATTCATCATTAAAAACAGGAAGAAATATTTGCCTTCAAAGTAATTATATTTTTGTCTACTCAACCTGTCAGACACACGAAATGAAATGGAGTTTAACATCTTACTTTTTTGCACCAACTAGGCTAATGAAGAAGGGCATACATCACGCAGTGCGCTTGGACAGGGGCATTTCTGTCAACTCTTCACTGAATCCTAATAGTCAAGGGTTTTTTCACATACTTGCAACAATGACATGGGCAAACTTTCTCGGATAGTACCAGGATCAAACCTGGAACCTCCTTCAGACACAAAAACAAACACTCAGGTATCTAATTATTATTTGTAAATATTCCCAATATCAGACATAATAGTATTAATACGCAGGTATTCTATAAATACATGATTACATTACTCAACATTATATCTAGAATACCTAATGCGTAATGCAATATTGAAATCATTAAGCGTTCTATAAATACAAGATTACATTACTCAACATTATATCTAGAATATCCAATAAGAGGAGAGATTTGATACCTGATAGAAGCCATATTGTGTTGTATTATTAGGTAGAGCCATATCTATATTATATGTAACAACAGCTTTATCCCAACGATTTTCATGTATATATGTCTTTATCCTGGAAAATATGAGGAGTCCAATATTAATCTATATATGTCACTGAAATAAATGTACATAAAAGTGATTATGCATGAACTTAAGATGGGTTGCCAGGCAATAAAAAAATATATGCTTAGAGCAGCAAAGTCGCCCCGGAGTCAACCATAAAATATGTCACAGTCTGATTCTTTCTTTCACTAATCTGAACAAGGTACATAAAATTCATGCAGGTCAGCTGATAACTTCTGTTACCAGATAATTCACACGATACTAACAAGTGTACCAAGGCCAATAATTTTAGCAGCAGTCAACCGAAATTGATAGGCCTCTTTGTACATATATTTCAAGCAGATTAGATGATAACTTTTATTGTTAGAGTCTTCGCAAAGACAGCAAGAAACGCTAGAAGTAATTAACAGAAATTATTGAAATTTCAAGCCTTTTTTCTATCATATATCCAAACATTGCATATAAATTCCAAACCGATTGTGAACACGGGTTTTAACATGGGCAATGTGTGAACGATCTAATCAATCAGAAATGCAAGAACAGTAATCATATACAATTAAAAAAAAGTAGGGGATATTTGATTTTTAAGTGTTATTAAAGTCACCTAATGAAACTGACGAAGAAACAAATGACAAAATGAAATGAAGTTCACATTCATCGATTTATTCCAAATGATCGTTAGACTAAGTAAGGCACAGACTGACCATTATAAGGGTAAAATGATACCCGGGGTCAAACAGCAAAGTTACCACAGCATCACAACCAAGTCAGTAACGGGTAAATCCTCCTCTGTTTGCCAAACAAGCATTGATCCGACGTGGCATACTCCTAATGAGACGTCTAAGGTCATTTTGGTCCAGATTGTCCCATTCCTGTTGCAACGCAGCAGCAAGTTCTTGGACATTGGCAGGACGTTGTTGACGTTGACGTAACCTCTGTCCAAGCATGTCCCAGACATGCTCGATGGGGGAGAGGTCGGGACTCAGTGCTGGCCAAGGTAATGTGGTGATGTTCTGTTGTTGGAGGTAACCTGTAACGATCCTGGCCCTGTGACATCTTGCATTGTCATCCTGGAAGATGAAACGGCGGCCATGACGTCGTGCGAACGGCACAACATGGACTGCCAAGATGTTGTCCCGGTAGTACTGGCCTGTAACACGCCCTGCAACAACATGTAAAGCCGTTCTTCCAGCAACAGTGATGCCTCCCCACACCATAACAGAACCACCCCCAAATCGATCATGTCTGATGACGTTAACGTCTTGGAAGTGCTCGTTTCGACGACGCCACACCCTCCTACGTCTGTCCAAAAAATCAACAGTGAACCTTGACTCATCTGAAAACATCACATTGCTCCAGCGTCGATTATCCCAGTGTTGACGATCCCTACACCAACGACGTCTTGCCTGAATGTGATGATCTCTCAAACAAGGGATCACGCAAGGACGTCGGGCGCAAAGGTGACCCCTATGCAGTCGATTCCGAATCGTCTGGCCACTCACTCTCACACCAGTGTCTGTTTGAAGACGAGCGCTGATCTGATTTGCTGTGATGACACGATTTCTCAAGGCCAAGGTACGGATAAATCGATCCTGGGCTTGAGTTGTCGCCCTTGGTCGACCTGAGCGTGGTCTGTCCTGTACAGATTGTGTATCACGGTATCTGGACCATAGCCTGCTTATGACAGACTGAGAAACATTCATCGTCCGCGCCACAACCGCCTGTGTTGTGCCGATCTGTAGCATGCCAAGGGCACGTAACCTTTCATTTTGGGTAAGCCGACGCATATCAAAATTTGTTTTCTGGTCACTAAAACAATTAAACTGATGTTTCCACCCTGGAATTCAATGCCACAATGACTGTAACATTCAAAGTCAGAGTCGTGCAAATCTTGGGTTGGACCCCCATGATGATCCCAAGCATCACCTGCATTCCATGCGGTAGCTATTGGTGCGTTTGGGCGTCACATGTAACTGGAAATGTTTCTTCTGTTAGGTTCTATAGTGACTTTTTTCGTAGTCATTTGCATATTTTAGTATTATGCCCCCAAAATCAAATATCCCCTACTTTTTTTGAATAGTATATATTCAAATTCTTCTGCTCTATAATGTCTACACCATTTGGGTAGTTGAAAATTAAATTCAAATCTATTTGAAAATTGTTGACAAAATCATGATATATCTGAAATCTGCAGCAATTAATATCTTTCTGTTTTGTATATCTACTTGCAATTGTAAGTTACCTAGATGTAGAGTCAGCTAAACTGCCTGCACCACAACCATATATACCATCAGGATCACCAATAGATCTATATGTCTCTAACATTAAATCTTGTAAATCTACATCTTCATTCACCTTTGAACTTGTTACCATACTAAAGTTTATCTCTTGACTATTAATTTCTCCCTGAGACTGTGATCCATTAGTTGAGTGGCCTCCATTTGATTCTTCTCTAATACAATAACAAATACATGATACATATAAACATTTACCAGTAATATTATATTTTACAATCATTCTACAATTCATTCTATTCATAAAATTACATGCCATATTCAAATTCATATTTTTTAAATAACTTTCATGCCATATTCAAATTCATATTTTTAAATAACTTTCATTACTGTTGTGAAAATATTTTATTGAAAACTGGATTAAGTAATAGAGTACAAAAGAATTGGTGAGACAACAAAGTTAAATTACAGGTATGCTTAATCCTTTGAAGCATTGGTTTTTAATTCAAAAATCCAAAGGAATCATTCTTCCAAGGGTGATTTTTTGTTGACTAAGCTAGCAAAGCAATGACAAATTACTCAAATTAATCCCCATATATAGTATGGTAGACATTGTACCATTGTTTTACTAACTCTATTTATCTATCTATAAATAAGCAGTCACAAACTTACTTGCAGATGTCAAACCATATTTCAGCATACAATAAAGATGTAAAATGTGCCGAACAGAAATGAGCAGATTTAGCAATATACAAATAGTTCACATCTAACCAGAAATTATTGTCCCATGGTGTTTTAACTGCATGACTGTAAGACAGATTGATATATAAAATTTATTCATCACTCCTCACATACTATATATGTCCAAAAGAAAGTATACACTGTGCATTTTGTGCTGCATCAACCAAAGTCGTTTTTCCATGGTATACGGTATTTGGGTAGAATGTCAATTTGTTTCACATTTTTATTTTGCTTAGAAATGTTGAGTTTGGGCGCAAGAGACAAACTCAGTAATGCTTTATCAAATGTTTTCAATCTAAACAAAACTTAGTCATACTTTTAGTGTGTATACATTCTTTTGGACATCAGTATATATGGCATCAACAATGATTTCCTTTTCTTTCAAACTTGTTAAAAGAGTTCAGCAACTGGAACCCAATACAGGCCAGAGATAATATCATTATAAACATTAAATAACAATAATAGACAGTGTCTACTCAAACAGATACTTAGGACGGATTTGTTTTTTAATATCACGACACAGAAATTGGAACTTTCAATAAGGTGTATATCCTCTGAAATCAGGTAGTGCAAAATCAGATTTAACTGGTTGCAGCATGTCTGGTAAACCTACAATCTCACTCATATGTTAGTAGTATGTTTTCTTATTCTGAGAAGTTCCACAAGTAAATGCAGTCATATAAAAATACTATGCAAGCTTATTTTTCAAAATTCCTGAAATATATTCGAAAAGATAAATCCTTTGGAAAAAGACAAACACATGAAGGATTCAAAATGGATATTTTGCTTACCCTTGTTTGGGTCGTTCTTGTTGTCTAAGATACTGTATAACATCTAACATGGTTTGAACAGACTTCATATCTTTACTGATGCACGGCAATTTACCTTTAAAAACACATTAAAACAACTGAAAATATTACCTTTTTCTTATTAGTCTTTCAATATTCTTTATTATTTATGACAAGCACATTAAATAATCAATCTATATCACAGATATATAAGATTTATTTTTAACAATAATTCGACAAGTATCTTTAAGATATGTATTGACAATATTACAATAATAATGTATTTTTACCTTGATGTTTACAGTGAGCTTTAAAGAATGAATTAATTCTACGAGAGAGAACATCTCTGTGGTTGGTACTACCATTTAATAATATATCATATATAATATATGGTAACACTAAATCACACAAGTCCGGCTGAAATACACATTAATAATGTGGCTGGTTAAGTGTGACAATAAGATGAGGACACATGTACATAAATACATTGAATAGCTGAATCCCAGATAGCAACCTGATGTGAATTTAACGTTACTTTTAAGAAATTTTGGTTGGATTTAGGCATGGACCTTATAATACATGGACTGGCAACAGCTTCATAACCTAACCAGAGATGGGTGCCGCGCTGTAATTTGAGACACATCACGGTAATTTGAGAAGTGTCAATCACAACCAAACGAAAGTTGTTAACGAGTTATGTCCCTTTGCGGCGTCTGTAGTTACCTGGCATGCGTACTGCTCCATTATGAGTGTCATGGCTTACAACACCTATAAAATAAATCTGCGAACCGTCGGATGTTTATATTTTATTGAATAATATGCCAATAAAATTAAACTTATTTTAAGAGAGAGAGAATTGGGGTTTATCGTCCACTCGACACAAACTAGGTCATTTCGGGACTAACATATGGTTTAATTTTATTTCAATAATTCGCTTGTGCGTAGGGGTCTTTAGCAGTGGGAGGAAACCAGAGGACCCGGGGAAAACCCACGAGGTTGGACAGGCGACCCTACTCCTTGTCACGTACAGCCGGGGATTCGAAACCACGCCAGTTGACTCAATGACAAAACTTATTTTAAACAAAATTTCTCACTTTTACTATCTAAAGAAACTGGGCAAAATTGTGGGGTAATTTGGTTCAAATCAAATACAAGTTTATTCATGATTGTTGTACAGTACATGCATTGGTACTTGAAAATATCACAAAACAAAATAATTTTTTAAAAATGTTAATATTTGTTTTAAAAATAAGAATTTTGCTCAGTACAGTAAGTAAGATATCAAAGTTCATGGAGAAAGGGATCATTAATTCCAAAAATAAATGTTTCACTGATTGAAAGCAATAATGTAGAAAACACATGTAGAATATATACCTACTTTTAATGAACAGAGAGGATGCAGTAAATATAGAAGGTCATCATGAATTGATTCAGATTTTAAAAGATTACAAGTTAAATTGGTAATCCAAATGTCATGATCTGTTGAAGCTGGAATCCACAGATCCTCTTTATCAATAACAGCAACAAACTGATCCACTGATATTGGGGGAGACACAGTTATCATAGACTGAAAATGTACAAATTTATTATACATGTACTAGTTATAAAAAAAAGTAGGACTTAAAATTTATTTTCAAACAATAATAAAACCCCAATCTTTATATTGATATTGATGAATGACTAGTGTATTAAAAGTTATATTTACTAACATATAGCTATATAGTATACCTTTTTCTTGGTTCTAAATGGTTGAAGATAATGAAATAGGTAATCTTTCTCAGACATTCTATCTTTATATTCTGTGGAGAAATTTATTCCTGTTCTAGTAGCCAACATATTCTTGAGAACTTCACCAGCACATTTAACAATGTCTATGCTGAAGTATAAATATAAGTTGTTTTTTATCATTATACTCCTTTGTCAAATAATTGAATCACAATCTCCAGATATTCAGATGTTTAATTAGGGATCTCAAGATCTCAATAGTTTTATTCAGATCTTAGGAGCAAGAGATGTTAAAAATCAGGACCTAGGGATGTGTGGATAATGGTATTGGTCTAAAGAATTACTTTAAAAACTTCAGAACTATACCACGTACCTGGGATCACAAAGATATTGGTCAAGTTGGTGAAAAATGCGACAATATTTCTCACAATCTGGATCAAAGTCATAAACGCCTAAAGCTTCACGAAGACCTCGTCTAGCAAGTTGTTGTGAGAGAGCTAGTACAGATAGATCAACAGGTCCAATAACACCTAGACATTTAGCTGCTTCCATTTTCTCTTCTACATTACCTGACTGTAACAACACCAACAACCTTCTTACTAAACTATGTAATATGGACACGTCACCGTCTAAAATATAAATAACTGTATTATTTAAACATGTAAAATAGAAATATCTATTCAAGGTATATTTAACAACCCAACTGTAATACTGACATCCCTCCACCCCAATACCAAATCAAATAGCTGACAATCATTAATTAATTGCTCATTTATTTTTTATCGATTGTTTTCTAGCTTTCCATGGGTAGCGGCCTATGATACTTTCTTGTAAGAGTTTCGTGAAACTTTGAGTAATAGAAGTCCAAAACCGGATATGGTAGTGAAACACCACCAGGTCTAAGTTAATCCTGCCTCAGGCTGCCCTTATCCCCCAAATACCATAGTGAAGCTGCCGAATCCAAAAACAAGTCTATATATATATAGACAAGGCACAGGGTTATCAATTTGCTTGATGCTCACTATCAAACTTGAAACGAAATGAAATGGGGTTTAACATCTTACTGTTCTGCTCCGAACTGGGGGAAATTTTGCCCGGACAGCGGCACTACCTTCCAACTGTCAAGGGATCTTTTACATGCATGCCAATGTGTACACAGGGCCTCAGTTTTTCGTCCCATACAAGTGACTAGACAGCTGTCCTTGTCAGGCCCTCCGTCTGCATCACTGACAAGGGGGAACCATGCTGGAAAATCTGGATGAACTTTCTCGGCCGATGCAGCATTTGAACACCCGACCTCCGGGCTAGCGAGTCAGCGTCTTACCTACTTAGCCACCGTGACTCCCCCACTATCATACTTAGTCAAGGTATTAATGTAATGAAACTATTCACCCAACTTTCATCACTATCATAAAATAAGATTCGTGTTCCAGAGCATCAACAAATTAAATTGCTTATCTATGGTTGACACAAGCGGAAAATGTGCATCATCGGATAATAACATTTGAATGTATTTGTTTATTGATACAAATATTTTACCTGTTATATTATTTTTTAACTGTAGAATAAGATATGAAGCATCAGTAGATGTAAGTTGTTTATATAAATGCAGTAATAACTGTTTATAACTACATGGTCCATTACTATCTTCTTCACATACTTCCAGAAAAAACTCTAACTCCTTCAAAATAATAATGACAAATTAATCGAACTACCCAGTATATAATAATATTCATGTTAAAAATTCAGAATGAAATAGAAGTTCTAAAATATATATTAGTATAACAGAAATATTCCAGATTAAATGATTTAAACAGTTTTTCATTCTTTCATAAGGTAAATCCCCATACGATCACTCATTTATGAACAGAAAATGAAACCTGTACTCCTGAAGAATGTGGTCATTAATACTATGTGGTCAAATACAAAATTACTACATAAACTGTTAGCTTTATCTCTGATCTATATCACCCACAATGACAAGTTGTATGTTCTAGATGACAAGAACCCCAACTGTGCTTAATCGCCCATCTGTGGATTGGATTAGGCTATCGATATATTAATAATTTCTCCGTCTACGAGAAAATGTCTACATTTGCAAGTTCTGGAGGTCAGGTTACTTTTTATATTCATCTGTTGCTAACTGCTAAGGTACTCAAGAGTCGACATTTCTACAAATTGTTGTTTAAATGGAAAAAAGAAAATGTTGATGAACAAGGGTATAACATATGCCTGATGGTTTACCTTCTGTAAAGTAACAGTTTCTTCTCTAACATTCTTTAGTTGATTCCGTTTCTTTTCAAATGGTTTAAAATAATCAGCAGTTGAAAAAGAATCAAGTCTTAATATTCCAGGCTTCATAACATTAGTGTTGTCTAGAATAATCAGTTGCAAAATAGACTTAGCTATATCACAGATAGTACCTCCATATTTGACACAAGCAATCACATGACTTGTTATTAGACGTAAATATTTACATAATTCCTGCAAACAATAAAACAATTATTAATATACTGCATATATGATAATAAAAGCTGAAGAAGCCAAACACATAAAAAGAAACATTTACAGTGTGATATAAAGCAATTTACAAATTAGACAATGTCGATGTCTCATACATAGGGCCCAGGCTATACAGAACAGTTGACATTTATGGCGAGATTAATTCCCTTGATTTCATATGTCTCATACAAATTACCATGTCTGTGTTTTATTGTATTGGCAAAGGTGTTTTGTCTTATGGTTTTCTAGTTTAATTATTAATTTATTCTTGTGTATCATACAAGTCCTCCTGTATTAACAATTAGAGATATAGGTGGTATTAAAATCTAACAGAAAGTCAGTCTAGTTATAAGTATATATATATTTACCTGAGGACAGTGTTCAACAGCTACTTGACATACATCATATAAGAGATTTAAACACATCTCTAATATAACATCCACTTCATGTACTCTTTTTATATTTCTGCCAAATTAACAACAATATCTAATGAAATTACAATTTGTATACTCATATTCTATGTGTCATCAAAGACAATTCTACTTCAGTTACATTTGACTTTAATAATATATACTAAATATATTTAAGTAAAATTTCATATCCATTATAATAAATATTATTACAACTGTAAATTACTTTTTTTATTATTCAATAAAAATTACATTTTTAGCTTAATCTGAAGTCAGTACGAATTAAGTTAAAATTTATATTAATAACATCTTATTTCATTTTCATATCAATTACATTTTATTCTATTTTCACATCAAATAATTATATCTATTACATTTTAGTACACTTGCTATAATATTCGAACGGAAGGTATATAAGGGTACTGACCTGTTATTTTGTATATCTATGAGAGTATACACCAGTCTAAATAAAACATCTCGTAAAACATAGACCCAACTACCACCTAATTGTTCATGAAAGACTTGTAATAATAATTTTATAAATAGTTGATACATCTCTAATATTCGCTGTTTCTCATGTAATCTGTGTTCATGTGATAAAGCTAGTGATAACTCTAACAATATCCTCTGTATGGCATCCTGTATGTAAGAACATCAAGTCCAACATCAATAATAGCAAAAAGAGTAGGTTTTGTGTAAGGCAGGTTTGTTATATTAATTAATGATATGAGTAAAATAAAAGTTATTAGCTACATAATTTTGTCAACTGCTGTGTGTTATTAAAAAAAGAATCAGTGAACCCTGCCTTGTGTCAGACACCAGTAAGTCATTAAATTTAATCTTTTGGATTTTGATTTCACCACCTTGATGTGGAGAATGCTACTTGTTTTTATCAAACCCAAGACCAATAAATCCCAATGACTGAAAGCTACTTAAACTCTGTAAACTACACCACAGAAGATTTTATATTCAACTAAAAATAAGAATGAGATGGCAGAATATGAACCTAGTATACTTACTTGTGTTTTAATAAGAACAGTTACTAAAGATGGACTACCAGAAAAACTGGTAGTAAGATAATCCAAAGTTGATAATATAATATAACGATTATAACAAGGTGGATTTGGCTCAGGTCTGAAAGCATAAAACATAACAATTTTAAAGTAAAATGGAAAATAAAAATTTCTTTTCAAAAGATTTAGGAATTTCCAGAGATAGATAAAGGTGATGATATACATAGAGGAACAGAGTTAAACCCTTGATTAGAGAAAAAATGTTTTTTTTATCAAAATGAGGATCGTTAAATTATTACCTAATATTTCCTGGTTCGTCATCATGAAGACACATCAATATATTTACAACAATAGAATGTAAATGGTCAACAATTGCTTTATTAAATTCCTAGAAAAATATAAACATGAGCAGAGTTTTTAAAAACCTAAGACACAAAAGACAAATTCATTATATACCTTTATGCATACATTTTCTTGTTAACTGGTATGTTTGATGTGGCCCTCATGCAATTTAATCACTAGCTTAGGTCTGTGTGTGGGGAGGGGGGGTGAAGGGGGGGGGGGGGGTCGAATCGAATGTCAATACAGAACTTTGCTAATTGACGGAATTGCAATTTAGTTTCATGGAACAGGCCATGTGAATGTGAGTAGAATAGTGATGTAATAAATTTGTAAATTCAGTTAAGGTAAAATTTACTTGTGACAGGACCTCGGTTTATCATCCCACCCGAATGACTATACACTACACCTTGCCAGACCTTCCATCCTCACCACTGACAAGGGGGAACAAAGCCAGAAGATTCCAATAAACAATCTATAAAGGTATACCTCTTTGGTTATAATTTGACATAATGTATTATACGATGTAGTAGCCATAGCCAGACGTCTTCTAACATGGGTGTCAGACTGTAGTTCCTTATTACTAGAGACAGCAAATAATGGTAATATATGAACAACTATACGTGGAACACAGTCTAATATCACAGCTTTCATATCTTCTTCTATATCACTACATATTGTCTTTATACTTTCTATGTCTTTTTTCATAAACAGTTCTGGTATTATTATATGCTTGTATGTCCTGATAAAATAACATAGTTATATAAAGTTAATTATATAAAACCCTTCATAAGCAGGATAAATACATCAATAAATAGACATACACATACAGTTGTGATACAATAATTATATCATAATGAAAATTGGTTTACAATCTATATATTACATATATATTTGTGACTGTTGTTTGTCTGCTTGCATTGCTTGCTTGTTCGGAGTTAGCAGCTACACAAGGGGCTGGAATTAGGGGGATAAGGGCAGCTTGAGTGGGGACGGACGTTGACCTGGTGGCACAACACTACCAGTTCTGAGAAGAATCACAGGGCTCTAACCGTGTAATGCCAGGTAAACAGTTATGTCTTGGATTACCCATCACGCACAGAACATTGGGCATGTAACATGTGGTTCTGTCAAAGAATATTTGTTATTTAATGTGTAAATTTAATGTGGAAAATAAATATAAAATATAATTAATTCACCTATAGAAGTCTTTTATGTCAGTTATTCCTAGTAGTTGATATGGAAACTCTGCTATGGGATATAACAATGTCAGCCATTGGTTGATAATAAATGGAAGATGGCTGGTCAGAAAGCATGTTACATTCTTGTATCCAAGTTTAATTGCAATTTTACACAAAATCTGAAAATAAGAATAATATAATTATTGATGAATGGTTTCCTATTAAAAAATACCCCCAAATTTATCTATTTGTTACTGTGCATGCGTCAGAGATTTAGACAGGTTTATCCAGACAACTTAAATTCTAATAGAAGCTTGTCGCCAATTCCACCAGGCTATCATTGTACTTCAGAGTTTAGCAGATTTATTTACTGTAATATTTCTGGTTTTTTCCTTTAATTTTCAGAAAATTATTAATGAATGTCAAAAGAGAACATATTACCTTGTGGACTAACTTTTTGTCTAGATTTTTTTCTCTTATCATCTGACAGAAAGCAAAAACAGCTTTCTTCTCACACAGTTGACTAGATACAGCTATTGTAGCTAGTGTTAATAATAAACTACATGTTCTATTTAATATCTCATCATGTTTACGATCTGTTGATACTTTATCCTGTAACATAATAAAGCCTTTTTAACATATATAACTACAATATGAAGGGGATACTTTATTCCGTAACATAATAAAGCCTTTTCAATATTGAATATGAAGGGCTTACCACCTTTTTTTTCTCCACCTATCGGTCTAATTAGGGAAAGTTTGTCTGCTCAGCAGTGTTTACGGCTACAACTAACAAGCGGTCTTTTACATGCACGTCAATGTGTACACAAGAGGGGTGTGCCTCAATAGACTGTTTCTTAGAGACATTTAATTGTGAAAGCAGACATTAAAGACAATTCACCATATGAAACTGTCTTATCAAATCTAGCCTAAGACAACATCTGTTAAACTATAGATATTAGAGGAAAAAGGTGAAAGAGAATGATTGGAATTAATAAAGAGATATTTAGATTAGTAAAATCTACTTACAGGTATATCTAATAAATCATGACATATCTGATAAATAGTAACAAATATTTTATCATCTTCAGGTTCTTTCACACCTGTCACATCACACCAGAATAATCTATTTAATATTAAAAGTAAAATTATAAATTAGAGTATTCAAACCTGTTACTGACAATTAATTTTAATACTGAAGAAAAAATGATGGAATTGAAGAAGTGGTCTTAGAACTGTCAACAGTTTTACTAATTGCATAACTATATTAACCCCCATTTAAATTCTGTTTATACTGCACAAGTAAAAACAGGTAGTCAGAAATGATACTCATGGCGAAGGATTGTTCACAAAAATTAATGTAGTACCTTTGTGATCTTTTAACCTACAACCCTAATCGATATTCAGCATGATCATCGACCGCCCAGAATTTGCTAGTTCCAAAAACAAAAAATAAAACATTTGCTGACAGATCTTTCAATGTTGCGGGACCAAAACTCTGGAATAAACTACTACGAAATCAGAAAGAGTGTCCTTTGGAAAGTTTTAAGAAAACTATGAAAACTTATCTATTTCAAAGAACATTCTGCAAATAACTATTTGTATTATGCACTCATTTAATTTACTTCAGGTATATATATGTGTGGGTGTGTGTGTGTATATATATATTTTGTATGTATATATATTGTTCATGTAAAGCTCCATTGAATACATCAGCGATGTAATAATGAGCGCTATATCAAATTCAATAAGCACAAACATGCTAGGTTAGTCTTTTACGATGAAACCAGCAAAATATGTTAACTGCATCACTTTCATCTTCAATATAACTTAGTAACATTATAAAAGGCATTCTTTAGGTATATGACAAAAGAATTTTTATGGAATGTGAGATTTGTATAGAATGAACATAGACATCTTTTTACCTCTGAATAGCACTAGAAACAAAGAGTCGAACTTCATGGCTATAATCTTTTAGACATTTGATTAACTCTCCTGATACCAAGATGTCTTCCGTTTCGTCATTATTCCCTTTTGATTTCATCATACTCCATTCACCTTTCGAATCATACTACAAAAATATAAAAATATCATTTACGGGTATTCAATAATTACATGATAAGTTCAGAATTTGACTAGGATCCATAGAAGCCATGTTTGCAAAAGTACTTTTGAGTAGTAAACTTATATCGTTAATATTACATTATCATCATGCACCATTGACTGCTGTCATGGAAGAGTCCCCTCCTCTTATTATGTACTCAATTGAACGTTCCAGAATTCTCTCACAATCACCAGTATAGTGATAATCAATTGAAAAGGGGGATTTCAAGCTACAACGCATCCATGGACTGCATAAGAAAGATATCTCAACCAACAATGACAACTGAAACATATTAGTTGTGTTTAGTTGCATCACAATTCTCCTCACACACCCTCAGTTGTCGGGACTGATAGAATTGTGACAGGACTGAAAATCAAGCATCCCCCTAAAAACCATCTAGTGGATCAATATGACTGATTTATATTACGTGGAATTTTAATCCATGTCATCAATGGCCCGTCTTCATTAGCCCACTTTAGGAGCAGAACAGTAGGACGTTAAACCCCATCTCATTTCATTTCATTTTTGGATAACTGGATTGATTACCCCACACATAGCACTAAGGAATTTAAAATCATTGACAGATGTATATAACACTGTCTTATGTTCTAGAAGTGAAATCATTACATTTTAAACAAAGTTCAAAACAATAATTCTATTTACCTTAACACAAGTCTCCATACAACAAACCAATTTTAACCTTACAGCTGATGTGTACTGACTTTCATTAGACATTTTCCTGCAATAAATCAGCTTCAATATAATACATTAAATAAATACCATGGTATTAACAAACAGCATGAGTTACTGTCAATCGATGGAGAGGTTTACACTATTATTAATAGTATTAATAATAGTCACAGAGGAAGACTGTCATTAAAAATCTTCAGACTTGAATATCGACTATCAACTTTCCTATATCTAACAACTTCATTAAAATACCATTTACATAAGACACATGGGCAGAATTTACATATTAAGAATTATACCAGCGGCTGCCAGGCAGAATACGCCCACATTTTCGAGAGATGGATAGAGAACAAGCTAAAAAGAAAGTGATTTTTCCTACAATCAAGGGCCATAATTCAGGAAATTACAATTCGATATGCGCAATTAATATCGAAAGGAACCAAAATCTTGGGTTATAAACTTACATTTCAAGTTTCAACAAAATCGAACAAAAATTGTGACCTCTGTAGGGTCCACAACCTTGATATACCATATTTTTAAGCTATTTGAGAACGAGGGGCGGCCATTTCGTCTGTCAGTTTTGGGCCGATTTTCAAGAAATTCGAACTCAGCCGTTCTTAGGGTTTACCGGTGATATAATAATACGTTTTTTTATATCAGATAAAAATTATGACCTCTATAGGGTCCACAAGCTAAAAACGCGAATTTTCGTACAATCAGGGGCCATAATTCAGGAAGTTACAGTCCAATATGCGCGAATATCGAAAGGAACCGAGATCTTTGGGTTATAAACTTACATTTCAAGTTCCATCAAAATCGGTTCAAAATTGTGACCTCTATAGGGTCCACAAGCTAAAAATGCGATTTTTCGTACAATCAGGGGCCATAATTCAGGAAGTTACAGTCCAATATGCGCGAATATCGAAAGGAACCGAGATCTTTTGGGGATAAACCTATATTTCAAGTTTCGTCAAAATCGGATAAGAATTTTGACTTGTAGAGAGTCCACAAACAATTGTGGATGGACGGACGTCCAGACATACGGACGGACAGGGGCGACGACAATATACGTCCACATGAAAATGTGGGCGTATAAAAATGGTCAGATTGTAAAAGAAAGTTGAAACTTACCAGAAAGCTGTAAGTAGACATAATAATACATTTCTGGAATCTAGTTTAATTTTACTAGCCATACAATTACTATCAATACAATAAGGTATTAATATATTAATCATATTTAAACAAAGCTGACAAAGCTCTTGATCTCTTCTCTGGTTCTTAGCCACTTCTCTGTATAAAAAAAATATTCAAATGGTGAAATTTATGTTAAACATTCATTCAAACAATCTAGGCTATCATTAGATATTCTGGCCTACAAATTGATAGTCAAGAAGATTTCTCAAACATTGACTTGTTACAGTGGGCCATATAATAAGACCCTGAGAGACTTTGATAATTAAACAAGAAGTATTTTACCTAACACCATCAGCAAGATTTTCTAGATCTCCGTCTGTAACTTTATGTGTTTGTGTAGTTAGACCATATATTAAACATCTCAACTGAAAAATTCATTTCAATTAAATATCAAACATCATTGTACATCTCATACTAATATCTTTCATTATATCTTTTTGCCATGTCTATGCACAAATTCGTTATATTTTATTGAAAAATGCACATGGTGTATGAGTTTCGGTGAGTTAATAGTTGTATCTGAAATAAATTCGGAAGAAATTAATTTTCAAGTTTAATTGTATATTTTGCTTTTTGGGACTTTAAAAAACTGTTGCTAACCTGTGTGTACGGTACTCAAAAAGGAATCTAATCACAACGCAAAGTGAATGAAAACAACATACATATTCAACTTTACTTACTATTTGTAAATCAATAGCTCTATGTGAATCAAAGATGTCTTCATCCAAAAGTTTGAATAATTTATCTTTAATAATGTTTATTGTGACATCAGATTTTAATAATATGGTTGATGGTGCCATACTTGTATCATGGCCGCACCATAAACATAACAGCCGGACAACTTCTAGTCTCAAAGATTGAGATTCCGTTAAACTATCAGCAGCCAACAGACTCAAGCAAACTGAAATCATATAAAAATTGCTTTACAAAATAAATATAAACAGGTGGGTTAGGGCTAGTCCACTTATATTTATGTGTTAACCTCTCAATCAGTAGATTTTTATTTCTTTAAAATATTGCTGGCAAAATGTGCTAAGCATTCAAGAGTCCATCTTCCAATTAAGTCCAATTTTTGCACACCACTCCACTACAAGATAATATAAATAAGTGATGTTCCAACCCACCTAAGTAATTTAAATGGAATATCACTCTGCAAATGTTTACTGATCAATGTTATGGATTCAAAAAAGCATTTGGTTCCTGCTCTTAAATTATAAATCAGATGACCTTCACATATCAAACTTGTATTTACATTTTTAATATCCAATATTCACAGATAGAGCTATCCAAATTATTTATGTACCAAATTAAGTTATCATTTTTAATAATAGGATGTTTTTAATGACCACACATTGTCACCAACATTGTGTCAATAACTATCGACTAATACAAACCTTCTGATTGTTCTTTAATATCGTCAGAATCTTGACTATCTGGTATTTCTGTATCCATATCAATATCCATCATCATATCTTCATTATTATCATTAGTTTTATTAGATAAGCTTACAGATGGAAAATCATCAAAACCAAGATCTTCAAAATCATCAATTGGCCGTATTTTACTAGTCGATTGTCGATTGTGTCGAATTTCTGGTAATTTATTGGTGCTATTTGTACGTGGCAACTACAAAAACACACAATCAGTGTTAAACATGTACCAGTGGATTTCAACAAAACAAAGAGCTTGAAAACTATTTTTCTATTTTTAAAGAAAATCTAAAGAAAGATACATGTACTCTAGACATGGTATTCAATTTCAGTTAACTGAAAGGTACAATCCTACACATTTCAACACTGAACATTAGAACATAAAACCCCGAAATAAAAATTCAAAGATCAGTGCTCTACTCATTTGACACACACAAGGTTGCACCTTATATATCATAAAATATTAAACTGTATTTAATGTTTAGTTTTAAACCATTGTTGGCAAATTGTTAAAATTAATCTGTTAATTACTCAGTACACTCGGGAAAGTAAACATTTGTAAATCTACACATTTTAAACTACACAAGAGTAGGAACCCAATAATTTTCAATGATTCGTAACAAATTTTAACAATCTGCCAATAAAGGTTTGAAACTAAACATTACATACAAAAACTCTTGCTAAGACAGCACAACTACACTCCCAGTTGTAGTGTTATATAAATTGAAATAAATGTAGAAACAAACCCTATCTAAAGTTATTTCCACCAGTTGATCTATAAGTCGTGACGGTGTTAATGCTCGGTTTATCTCCATTATAACAAATGCTTGTTGATCTTTATGTAGAATAAAAAACATTTCTTGTAGATTCTTCACTACACCCATCAATTTATTTATTCCTTCTTTAGAAACAAATTCACAGAACCATGTTGACAGTTTCTTCATTAATTTATGTAGACTAGTATATATACTTGATGTATGACATGAGTCACTAGATAAAATATCTAATGTCAATAGATGATATAGACATTTTGATAAAACCGAACACAGTATGCTTAAACTTTCCAAATCAATCAGCTGAAATGAAAAAGATACACAAGTTTTTTCTATCAAAATGCTTTTAATGTCAAATTTGAGTCAATTCAGTTCACATACACACACATATCCCAGCCATTGCCAGGACACATTGATTAAAATGCGGACGCAATTAATTAAATTACGTGAACAATCAGTGTATGAGAATCCATTCATGTAATTATAGTTTTCTGTAATTTGTTTCAAATACCCAAATTTTATAAGATTTGTCCAACTTTTAGCAGACAAATTGAAAATTACATTTGTCATAGCTGTTCCTCACCGTCAATATAATATAGAAGTTAGAGCAAAAAAATGAAGCATTCAAGTTCAGAATATTAAATTTATGCTATATTTTCTCACCTGAAATTCTGTAACATCATTATAATATACAACTTCTTGTTCAAACGTCTCGGATAAAATAACCAACAAGTCAGACATATGACATGTTTTATTTATACTTGTCTCACAATTATCACATGTTAAAGACTTTTCAAATTCTAGTTCACAATCTAAACTACTTTGCAAATATATCTTTTCTAAATTAATCAGATGACTGTCTCTAGATCTTTGATTTTTGACTTCATTTATTATTTCTGGGTTCCGTAAAATCAGTCCAATCAAAACACAGCTTAGATTGTTGGAATCAAAAACATATCGTTTTTTATCACATATTTCACTGGTTTCTCGTTTTGGTAGCAGCCAATCCAGTAGATGTAAACGTAATGGATGACCCATAGTATTATTCAGTTCTCCAGAACCTAGAATACTTGGTTTATAGTTTTCAGGGAGATCAAATGAACTTAAATACACAGACAGGAAATTAACTGAGGCTGCTGTAGGTGAAGAAATCGAGGGAAGAAATAAATTCCAGACATATTTTTCAGGAGTGGCTAATTTCTGTTGAATTAATGCCGTCAATAGTTGAAATCCTGGGGTATGTAAACCTTCTAGCTCGGCACGGTGAGAACTCACATTTCTGAAATATAATATAAACTGATCTGAAATATAATATACACTGACCTGAATTATATTATCTCAACAATAGGGGCGGTGGAGAAAGAACTGGGGTTTAGTGTCCACTCAATACAATTTAGAACATTTTGGGACTAACATTAGTTTAATTCTATTTCAATAACTCGTTTGCACATTGGGGTCTTTAGTAGTGGGGGAGTGAATTGAAACTACACCACTTGACTCAATGACACAGCTTGACTCAATGACATGTATGTGTTGAGTGACAGTGGAGGGACAGATCTTGCTTTACATCAATACCTGTAGGGTTTGATTCCCAACCTGGGTCAAGAAAAGCCATCAGGATTTTCCATGTCTGGCCTTCGGCGACATGGAAAGTGTACCTAGGTGCTCGACTGGGATAAAAAAAACTGGTCCAACTATGTACCCATTTGCATGTATGTAGAAGACCACTTGACAGATGGAAATCAACAAAGTCTACGGTAGGTGGACACAGTGCCGCCCAGGCAAATTTCTCCCGCATCTCAATATGACAGAAATATTTGGTTAAAGAGACATCAAACCCCACTCGTTTAACTTCTATAAATCGTTGTAATGAGTGAGGGAGTTACAAAATAAAAATTACCTTAACGTAGAAGCCCAAATTTTCTGCCAGTATTTTCTACATTCATTTAGTATACTAGTATGTATATAACCCAACAGTGGATAGCCATCAACAAACTTCTTTACACAAATTATCAGATGTTTTAATATTTCATTTCTAAAATATATCAAAGTCAAGAATATTTATCATAATATATCATGACATATTGTGTATCTCCACTCCTGTCTGTTACATTTCCAAGTCATACCCCAATTAGATACAACAGGTGAAAAAGTAGCATTTACATCGACAGTAAGTCTGAGTCCCAGGCGCTGATGATGACTATACAACTATTTCTATTGGTCACAGCCAATGCTTGTCACCAATTAATTATTATTGATGAGTTTTACCAGAGAATTGTTTCTGAATTGTACACCTAATAATATCTATGTATTAAATAAACTATTAATAATTACCAAGAATTTACTCACTTTTTGCCATCTTCCATGATTTGTGTAAGACAGGATAAAAGTGGTAGTAATTCGTCTTCAGGTATACAGCCAGGATATTTCTCTACTAGACGACTTAATAACTGTAACCTATATAAATATACAAAGAAAATTTAATTAATTTCCTACATTTTTTGCAAACGTCCGGCTAATGAAGACAGGCATACCCCTTACAGTGTACTATGAGGGCAATTTTGCCTACTCATCGTCAAATTCCATTTGCCATTGCCAAGGGTTCTTTTACATAAACACCAATGTTTATACAGGACTTACTAAGACACTGTAATCTACAAGGCTGTTCTTTGTCAGGCCCTACGTCCTGCACCACTGACAAAGGGAAACCATGTTGAAAAATCCAGAGAAATAGAAACCTGGCACCTCCTAGTTAGTGAGCATTACTCACTGAGCAACTGTGACTCCAGTATAAATCTATACATGTAGACAGACGTGCAGATTCATGATAATATCATTAAATTGCATATGTATAAAGAGAAAAGTGTGTAAAAATAATAACCAACCATGGTATAATCTGCATCGTATTGCTGAGTTTATAGATGATATCACGTAATGCTGACCAACCAGATTCAAGTCTGCGTTTTTTAGCAGGTAATCCTGATTCATCATGAGTAGAAGGTAACTGTGTTACATCTATATTGTGTGTAGTTTGATCAAATAACTATAATAAACAATAAATACAATAATGTAATACATACTGTTATAATTTGAAGTTTCAAACAGAAAATCTTCCTGGGATAAGTTAGCTTTCTTTCTTAATAAACTAAAGGAGTTACAAATTTATAACTTTGCTTTGGACTAGGATGATTATTATTCAAAGGAATATATCGAACTTCATAGCATCAGGAAATAATTAGGAAATACTAAAAGTTGAGAATGCTTTTATTATTTGAAATTAGACCTGGGTGCAGAATTAGAAATAATCTTGAATTAGTAATTAAGAGTTTATATACCTGGTGACAAACATTAGCTGCTAAATCTGCATATTCGGGTTTTAATGCAGCTTCTTTACTGTAATATAACAATACAATCAAATCAACAGTTTCTACTCCTAAACCAAGAAAATCTGACATAAAATATGATACATGTACATAAAGATGTCAAAAAATTGAACATTAAAAATCAAGATACCTTGAAGAGAATCTATGACGTCCTCCCATTTCCTTCAAATCATTATACAAAACTTCATAAAGCTTTCTCAAATGGCTCTGAAATACATTTGTTTATATACAATAATCTGCATGTCATTGTAATCTCTTTACACTATTACAGCCAATCTGTTTAGTTTTATTGTATAATTAATTAAGCCATTACTGGCCACTGGGGGTTGGGTGGCCGAAGAGTCTAAGGTGTATGCTTTAGATCATAAAATCTGTCAAGTCAAATACTAAGACCCCTAAGCGCAAGTGCGAGTGAAAGGTCTCTCTCTCTCCCCCTCTCTCTCTCTCTCCCCCTCTCTCTCTAAGCCATTACTACATGTCGATTCGACTATTGCATCAACTATTCATGTAGCCAACTCATTTTATTTTCTATACATCTTCCACAATTCCACATTATATTCAAACATAAGATCATAATAAAATTTAAATTTACCATCCATTGATCCCAGTCTAAAGCGAAGGCACCATTATGAACTGTTTTGGCACCACCTGGATGATGTATTTGTAATTGTAATCTCAGAAAAGCTACAATCTCGTCCTATAAAATAAAGATTTACACATCAAACTATTCAAATGAATTTTCTGAAATATTTAAAAACTCACAGTTAATAATAAATATCTGTATTTGACACCAGCTTTCTTGAATATTCACATCTGATATCCATAATCCATATGTAACAACCCACAAACAACAAACTTGACAAGACTTTATATATGTGTAATCCAGGATTTTGGAGGAATACTTCCTTTTATCCCAAATTCTATTAATTAGATCCATTCTTGCATACACTGTACAAGTGAATCTTTCATCCATTTACTGAACTTTCAGTAAGGAATTCATTTTTGGCTTTATGACATCTATAATTTTAATATATCTGCAGGGCTAAACAGTACACATGTAATTTCTTCTATACTACAAATAAAATCCTAAGTATTACATGTTCTACTGATCATATCTTTGTTTGTCTCCCAAACTGATGTCAAGAATCCTAATCCAAATTTACTGAAAGTAAATGTACAGTTTAACCAATTGTCTGTTAAAGAGATTTGATTCTTGCATGTGTGCAGATAGATTCTTCTGGATTTGATTATCTGCTAACAACAAGCACAGGTGATTGGCCAATTAAACGTACATGTAGACGAAAGAGGCATATCCTACCTTCATTTTAGATGAAGGTCTGTTATTCCACAAATACAGTATATTTATAAATATATTCTCTCCTAGTTTACAGACTTGTAGTCGTGAATAAGGTGCTATAGTTGTTATAAATACATTTAAAGATGATAATATATATTCCAATACACGGCTTGCCTTTTCTTTTCTGTTAAAATAAATCATATATTAATTCACAAATATTGACAACACCCGTCTTCATTACTCAGAGAAGTAGGATGTTAAACCCTATTTCATTCATTCAATTAGACAAAAAGACTGATAAATCTCACTTTGATGGGGACATAATTTAGCCAATGTGGTCTCAGGATACTAACAGGTTGAATGCAATTTCTCTATAAAGTCAGACATCCTTATATTTGAGAATTGCAACTTCAATATCAACATTTAAAAATGCAGAAAATATGATTACTTGAAAAACAACACATACCTGACATTTCTAAAAACCTCAGTAAAAAATCTGATAATTTTTTGTGGATGAAGATCACATTGCTTTGATGCTCCAGATAATAAAAGAAATATCAAACGGGACTGGACAACTCTGTCAAGCGTACATTCTTCATCAACAAATAGCTTACAATACTGAATTAGCAATTCTGTAAACAAACATGCCTAAAATGTATTGTATTTCTGGTAATTAGGGGATCATTTTTTTTTACTCCCATTATTATCTCCCCTAGTCCCCTTAATAAAACAATAATTTAAAACAATAATTATTATATCGCTAGTAGTAATTTTGTTTTATACTGATATATATATATAACACTGGTTTTAAAAACAAAAATGATCATACCTTCAGTAATCATTTTGTTTTATACTCATATATAACACTGGTTTTAGAACAAAAATTATCATACATTTAGTAGTCATTTTGTTTTATAATAATAATACTGGTTTTAAAACAATAATTATCAAATCGTTTGTAGTCATTTCGTTTTATACTCATATAAATCACTGGTTTTAAAACAATAATCAATGTTGGTATTTAGTAGCCATTTTGTTTTACACTCATAATTTTAAATCATCTCTCAATAATAAAACATGTTAAAGTTTATCACACTGGTTTTAAAACAATAATCATACAGCTCATAGCCATTTTCATTCAAAATTATCAGAAGAAACAGTTTCCCCATACACTTTGTTACATCTTCTGAAGTACAAGACACATTTATCCAGACTAAATTAAATCGTTGTGTTAAATATTATTAAACTATCATGTGGTGTTGTATAATAAATTTAGAAGTTATGAATGATCAATGATATAAAGTGCAACCTACCATGCCAGTTATCTGATTTAAGCTCGGTCCAGTATTTTCTAACAGGTAGAATATTCTTTAATAAAATATTACTAAAATCTAATCCATATGCTGAACACATGAAGTCATCTCTTAATACTTCTAAAATAGTTGATAACAGACTAGATGAACGAAGCCTTGGGCCACCTAAAATTGAAAATCAATGTTCTATAAAGTTTTCCTATCTTGATGTCTAAGTTTTAAAAATAAGAACAGTAGCTTTATATGCAAGTCAAAATATTTTAAGAATATACCAACATTTCTGGAGCCGAAGTTCTATAAGGCTTTCAAATTTTAAATAGAAATTTCTATTTGGTTTGAGAGAAATGTGATTTAAACCATCAAAAAATACCCAGCTGTGATTGGTCGGTAACATCACACTGCCTCCAAACAGAGAACTCTATAATTTGTCTTCAAATTGATAATGTTAATTTGACAGGGTAGTATTAGATAATGTTGAATATACTATTCAGAGATAATACATGCCTGAGAGAGATAATTATCCACATTTTATATACAATAAACCTCAACTTAAAACATCAAATAGGTCATGGACAAATGCCATCAACAAAAAGAGAAAAACAATCTCATCGCATTTTCATTTCATTTATTGGCATACATGTTGCGCTATTTAGCCTTGGAGAAAACCCACAAGGTTAGACAACCAACATTCCTTTTCAAATATTATCTTGGGATCGAACTCAAAGCTTATGTAGATAATACAAGCCTGTGATTTGAGACCCAAGAGTCTTAAATCATTTGGCAACCCTACCCATCAGTTACCTGTCACCAAAATAGAAAAAATCAAAGAAACATCTATTATTTTTCATAGACATTCAAATGTACATACGCTTATCAGCTAGTCTCACAACAAATTTTACCAGTCCACCAATCTCCTGTTTTTTCTTCTCTCTATTTTGTTGGGATATGGCAGAAATTTTCTCTTTTGCTTTCTGTAAATTACTTGTTTCTATTCGCACATACAAAATCACAGCCTAAAGTAATTGTAAGAAATCATGATATTAGGGCAATCCAGAGGTAGTAAATTAAAACTTTGGAATGAGCTTGAGACAAAGTTTTTTTCACCTTCAACAAGGATATGTTCAAACTGGGTCTTATTAATGAAAACTAAAGACATAAAGAGGCATTTGAGCTTTGGAGATCTTAATATTTTTCAATTAGATACGATTTAAGTATGTATGGAGAATGTTCAGAGTATGTTGTATGCAAAATCTAAGACATGTTTAACCATCCAATTTACAAGTGATACATATCTTTTGGCTATTCAAGGTTATTTTGAATGTTTATTACTGGTACATATTCATTTTCGTCCTTTAAATTGACACTTCATTAAAAAAAAAAAAAATAAATAAAAGATCTAAATCTTATTTGGATTTTAGTGTTTGTATATAAAATCCTTGCAATTTTGGATCTGACTGTGTTTTAAAGAACAGTTTCATGCATTGTCTAAAAGTATGGACATGCATTGTCTAACAGCATGGAAAAATTGTTTGCTAACCTTGAATATACAATCCCAGGTAAGCAGACGTCCAGATGATTTGCTGTGTCTATCATCAGAGTTTTTATCTAATGTTTGGATCACTGAAGATTTATTAAGTAAATTTTGTAACTTTTCTGCATTTTTCTGAAAATATAAAACATAAAAACACTCTGCCAAATTAATTTATTCCAAGACTTAATGATTCCTCTACATTCTGATTGTAGATACTGTACTTATCGACTGTAGGAATGTAGATACTGTATTTATCGACTGTAGGAATGATAACATATGCCGAAGTCACTCAGAATGTACATGAGATTACTATTATATGTATATCAGTCTTTAATTAATGCAACATTATCATGTATATGTCAATAGAGAACTGGAAATAAGCATTGCCTCAATTCTAAATTCGTCCTCATTCAATTCAAATAGAATCCTATACTATGTGTCAGCAAAATCATGCACAAGCAGTAACAGCACACAATACATAAAATACTAGTAAGTAATGCTCTAATGAGATCATGAATGATGTAACTTCCAATTCTTTATTAAAAGCATATTGATGAACAAACAATACTATAGCATATGTTGTCAAAATCACCTTTCTTTCTGTAACTTTATCGGAATCTAAGGCACGACAACAACTATGTATATCTGATAAATAATCCATAATCTTTTTTAAACAGGATACCTGTATTTCATATATTTACTACTGTTCATTTAACACGTATGACTGAAGTTTAAGCTCACTCTGATTCTGAAAATAGAAATAATATTAACTATAAATAGGCTACTTAAAGGCCGTGCCGGAAAAGGTTCATAAATTTTTTAAATAATGCAAGTAATTATGTCAACATATCCTTTCCATAAGTATAACACGAATCCGAATGTCAATTTTACAGGTAAATTTGAACATTAGTAATTTCTGCCATTCTCTGTGGGTAGTCGTAACTTTCCGTAAATAAACAATCTGTGACGTCATTTTAGTCCTTCTGCTCATATTCTAGTCTATATTTCTATGTGCAGAAGGACTAAATATGATGTCACGGATTGCTTATTGATGGAAAGTTCTGACTACCCATGGAGAACGGCGGAAATTACTAATGTTGAAATTTACCTGTTGCAGCCACTTGCAGGTAATATTGACATTCAGGTTTGGGGTATACTTCTGGAAAGGATATGTTGACATAATTACTTGCATTATTTAAAAAAAAATTGATGCTTTTCCAGTGATCTTTAATACACGACAAAGCTCCCTCCCCCCCCCCACCAATTACTCTTTGGGTGAAAATATCTAGACTCACAACATTATCTCTGGCCTGGATCTATCGTCAAGGTATTGGTTTATCTACTACATAAGCAGATCTTAGAAGCGCATTGATCAACTGAATGGTATTTGATTAGTCTAATCTAAATCAAATTTTGTGCCAAGTTTGAAGTTCATTTGCAGACTTTTTGTCAAATGTTGGTTAGAATTGGCTGTGTATTTTGGGTGCTTTTTTGGTCAAATTAATTATTTTGTACGGATCCTTGACCATCTGAAAAAATGTCAAATAAAGCACTCAGACACCTGGCTAAAGCTTAATTTTTTTTAGTCTGTATCTGTATTTGGCATAAGTCAATTAAGTGTATGTATCTACACCCTGGAAGTGGAGTTGCACTTATTGGCGTTTTTGAAGAGATTCTTAATCATGGATTTGAATATGATATCCAATATGAGATAATATATCAAAGACATTTATTTGGATAGTGACTATATCAATCAGTGATACTGCTCAACAAAATGGGAGAGAGAGAGAGAGAGAGAAGAGAGAGAGAGAGAGAGTACCGGTATCCGGGTATACAATTTACATACCAACGTAAGTGAGAATGGCGCTATATATTGTCATTGACATGCATACTTCGTCCACGAAAACAAAACAATATAGCTCTATTCATGGTGAAGTAACTAGGTGAAACAAACTGATTCACAAAATGCATTGCTAGTAATTCCATAATTCAAGGTTGGAACTGTCATTCACATTTTGGCGCTTTTGATGAAAATTTACCAAGCCATTCCAAGATTATCTGAGTTATCTTCCTTGACGCATCTCCATTAACCAGTCCTTACAAAAACTTTAGGTTAATTAAAGTTATCCAGACGCTCGCAGTAAATAAAATCTTGTAAAAGGTATTACTCGCAGTGACTTTAAAGGGACAATAACACTCTTGCTGGCTTGACAGCTCCAAAAAATAAAAAAATAGCCTTATTCTAAGTACTAGCTGTGTTAGTGTCCTACCTGTTGTGTAAATTATCCATTAAATCCTATTTTACTTGTCCAGAGGGTTCAAGAATATTTTAAAATCCATTTTTTAAGTCACATTTGAAAAGCTTTACGTCAGCCTTTTCAAATCATTTTTCCAATTTTTTAAATTAGGTGTGTTAAGATGAAATTTGTATCATCAATTAATTGGAATATTGTAAAATAGTACAATTTGTTGACCAGAATAAAGATTGTGACATATTCAGTTACAACAAGAGTGGTATTGAGCCTTTAAAAGGGTTCCAAGTGAACGCCTGGGGGAAAAAACACCTTATTTGGCGCCCCAACAAGTAGAATCATATTTTTTTTACCACTAAATTCTGTTAAATGCATAGGAAAACAGAAGAAAAAAACAATTATTTGAATTATATATTATGTTTAATAACAATACGGACATTTTTAACAGGCAAAACTTTATTGTTGAGCAGGTGAGAGGAAAATTTGCGCGCGAGGGCGTCTCGCGCCACCACATCCTGTCAGTGCCGGGCTGTTCTTCCGAAGACCCACCTGTCAGGTCATTGCACCAAGGCCCACACAAGTACGTAATCCTGGGGGGCTCGAGTATGTATGTAACTATGATCCTTAAGGGCTAAAACTATTTGTTAAGGCCAGTTCAATTTTTGGTCAAGGTTGCTGAGATGTAATAAGGTTAGCACGTGATTGTTGGCGAGATTGTAGGATGGGGTTAGGGTAAGCATTGGGGCTAGGCTCAGCGGGTTAGGGTTAGTATTTGGGATTAGCGCTAGCCCTGTTTACATGTACATCTCGTGACCTAGAGATGACGAAAAATTGAGTTGGCTTTATCATTAGCACTGATCAGTAACATTATTGGCATCTAAACGAGTCTCAAATATGATTTCTGAAATTCGCAATTGAAGCACCGGTAATTATCACTGTGCATCGCACGTACACGTGCCCCTCGATATGCCATCCCCTTTTTTTAGTTTTAAATTTAAAAAAATAATAATAATATAGACAAACCCGCCGCTCGCGAATTGTTTATAAATATACACGTTGTTGTGTATAACAATAGCTGAATTTTAAAACTGCTAAAAATACAACTCTCATTATATTTACAAGTTTTCACGTGCAACTTGCAGTATTTAATCTGCTCTGTTGCTAGAGAGATCTTCGCGTTGCCAAGGTTTCTTTTGAGATAAATACGGCTAACTGTACCTGGTTAATGCAGACTACCTAAACTTTGCATAATAACGCATGCGCAGATAACTGTAGCAACCTGTTAGCGTTTATTAGGAAGGTAGAAGTTGTGAAGGAAAGACGAAGAGGAAACATAAAAATAGCAAAATGACAGCATACAGGGTGAGAAAAAAAAGCAACATATTATTTAAAATGTTTGACTCATTATAGACTATTTAGTATCAGTTGTTCGGACGTTAACATTGAGTTATCATTGTGCTGTGTTGACATTTATTGAAATATAATTTATTTTAATTTTGCCTGGTTGTGATTTAGGTGACTCACTGACAGGACACGTTCGTTCACTACAAAAATACCATTAACGAAGACTGAACTTAAATAAGTACCTCACATTAGCATTGACCGAGTAAGGAGGTTATCGTCCGCCTCTACCTGGCGGATATCGAAAATAGTGATGGATGTAGCATGTAGGCCCCCCACCCCCCTCCTAAAATATCTGTAGGAGTGTAGGCCCTATATGAAGTGTATTATGAGAATGTAAATATTTCACTTATCAATTTGGTTTCTATGTAAAGTTGTAAAGTGAATATTTATTTGAGCTTTTTGTTGGTTGGAGAAATGGGGAAATGTTATGTTCGGGTCCAGATATACGCTACATCACTGACGCCCTGAAATTTCTAAATTTTCAGCGGTCCTCATGCTCCCCACCCCAATTCTCTATGTCTAACTAAATACCACTGATCGCAAACTGTTGCACAGCAGATTGATGAAAACCCTACCGGTAAATATCCAGCCGTTCGATGCAGAGTCAGTCCACTGCCAATGTGTTAATGATTACATGCATTTCCCAGTTAAGTGGTTAGGACTTGATTTTTATGCTGCCAGAAAATCTTTTGTCCAGATTCTGAAATTACCTTTCTATTATAGGTAATAAGATTGAAATATTAAGCCAGATGTTAGATATATCCTCCTAGAACAATGCAAATTTTTATTTGCCACCTGGTTAAAATCAAAATAATCCAATTGTTCTATTGCAAAAAAAACTATGCATGTCAGTTTCTCAGCAAAGAGATAGAAACCGCTTATTTTTTTGACATAACACCTGTTGGCTACTGCATCATGGTCCGAAAGGTCTGACTCTTTCCGTGACCTCTTTTATTGTTATTTTGAGGGCTGGTCACCAGGGAATACTTGGATGGTTAAGGCCACTTTTTCAGTTAATTTTACTAACCTGAGTTTTTGAGAATATTCAAAGATTCTTAACCGAAAAACACCTTATATTATAAATAAGGTTAAAAACTTTGATCAAAAGATAAATTAATTACTTTTCTAACATAAGCTTGTCCCAGATTTTTCTACATATGTTGGAATTTGTGTCAAAGACTCCCAGATTGTCAATACATAGTAGATATATTCTTTTGGGTACATCTTTGTCTTTGAATAGATGAATCATAGTTCTCAGGGATATACTCTTCAAAAAAAAGGAGTGGATATTGAAATGCAAATACCTATGCAGGTTGTGATATGATAAAGAGGCATGGACACTTGACATGCTTTGAGAGTAGCCTATGTTCACAGATGAAGAACTTGTCGCCTCAACCGAACCACTGAGCTGCACATGCGACACGCATTAGCGCCATACATATGGGAGGGGTTCATTGTCAAATTTGACACTTCAAGGAAGGGTTGATGAAAACTGCCACGTGCTGGTTTATCCTATCCATGTTTGCTTTCCTATCGGTTCTTGGATAAGATTTACTGTTTAGCGTAACTTTGTTTTAGTGTGTTACGTTTAATTTGATTGGGAGACGTGTTCGTCAACGTCAACCGACAATACTGCAAGAATTGTCTGTGATTGCACTGCAAGAGGAGTGGGTCAGATTGCCCCAAATCCTGATTGGACGGTTGATTAGGAGCATGCCACAACTGATTGCTGAATGTCTGAGAATTGGTCGAGCAATTACTCATTATTAAGACAAAAATCAAAAACGTCCATTTTCACTTTTGACAGTGTATCTCTTTGTGAATAAAATGGGGCCATCAGATAAACCACCCTTATGAACTGTTTATGTCATGTGTAGGCAAGTGGCCTGTTATTAACATACACTAGTTACCTCAAATAAAAACATCAGTGCATTTCCCGCAGTTTTGTATTGTTTCTGAATATCCCCTACTTTTTTGGAAGAGTACAGTTTGTTGAAAAGGCAAACTAACCAGCTTTCGAACAGCGTTCATTTATTATGATGTATTAGTGGTTAAAATAAAGGACAAAATACAGACTTGATATTTCTGAATCTGCTATAGCCATTATACTGTGAAAATTGAATCCCCTTTCAGGCAGCTGATTCTAAACGAGAAGAATATAGAAAATATTTAGAAAAGGCTGGAGTTTTGGATGTTTTAACCAAAGGTAATTGTATTAGTTAATTGGGGACTATTAGAACACAACAACTCTTCTAATTTGGGATGTAAATTGAAATTCAGATGTTCACTAAGTGAATGACTTGACTTGCTTCAATGATGATCCTTTTCTGCTTTGGCTATGCAGAGATAAGCACCTTGATTTTTTGAGGCTTTGGAAAATGATACCTTTGGATTCTAATTGATGCAAAATGTCCAAACTTGACTGAGTTTTATAATGAATATGTCCTGCTGTGTGATACTGAGATTAGTTGAGACAGGAACACAATAGCTTTGATTCCAGTTGTTTGAGAGTGATAAAACTTGGTTTAGTTTCATTACATCAAAGGAAGGAGCCATGTTGGCTCAGTGAGTAAGGTGCTGGCTCACTAAACAGGAGGTCCGGGTTTGATCCTGTTGTTAGTATGAAGTCCTTTGGATGTACATAAAAGAACCATTTGCAGTGTTTTTTATCTTGTTTCAGTTTTAGTGGGACTATATGAAGAACCAGAAAAACCAAACAATGCTCTAGAGTATCCTTTTGTCAAATTAAACTCAACAATATGTGACGTATCTTTATTTGAGTAATATTAGTAACATGTAATAATCTCTATATGGTCATCAATGTAGCGGTAGTCTGAATACATTACCCATCCTCCCCTCACTGCTCCACAACCATCTCACACAACTGCTCCATTACACCCCTTAGATGATTGAAATGACAATGTTACATAATCTGAGATACATGTACATGTAACTTGTATAGTTTTATTTGTAACATTTCTTTCAAAGCAAAATGTATTATTTTTGCAAATCCTTTCTCGGTGACTATCACACATTTTATCATAGGTATACTTAGTTCCTCTAATATAGGCCTACACCCTCTTTAGATGTTTGAGGGGGGTTGGATGGCTGAATGGTTAGCGTGCGCGCGCTGTATCATAAAGTCTGTCATTGAGTCGACTGGCGTGGTTTCGAATCCCCGGTTGTACGTGGCAAGAAGTAGGGTCGCCTGTCCAACCTCGTGGGTTTTCTCCAGGTCCTCCGGTTTCCTACCACTGCTAAAGACCCCTACGCGCAAGCGAATTATATAAATAAAATTAAACCATATGTTAGTCCCGAAATGACCTAGTTTGTGTCGAGTGGACGTTAAACCCCATTTCTCTCCCTCTCTCTTTAGATGTTTGAAGTTTTATGCTAATATGTTACCGAATTCAGTCTAAGGCACACATAGTTTATAGTTTATTTTTTATTTCATTCTTTAAAAGTTTATTTGCATACACCAAACTTTTCCTTAACTAGAAAAGTTTTCTGCGCCAACATTTAGGAGCCACAAGTCCAGAAACGGCAGATGTTGAAGCACTGAAACTAGAAGTTACAGAATTACGACAAAAAAATGAACAGTTACAAGAAGAAGTAAATGATTTAAAAGCCAAAGTAAGTTAAAGTTACTGATATTTTTTTTTTAAACTCCTTGAAATAATATTGTTTAGAAGAAAAAGATATAATTGTCCCAATAATTCCATACTGAAAAATAATAATTATCATTATATACACATAAGGAAATAAGGAATGAATTTTGCCACAAATGCTGTATTTATATCTCTTATTATATCTTTTCATTTTAGGTACAGCAGTATGAACCAGATCAGGAGACCCCTGAGTGATACAACACTCATTGTCATAATATTTCATAATATGTACATTCATATACATACTTAAAAAACTAATTTATATGTTATTGTGTAAAGTAAAATTTATGTCATAAAACTAGGATCTCAGTTGTTTTTATATGCCAACATTTTCATGTGGACATATTATACCTGCACCCTTGTCCGTCCGTCTACAATTTGTTTGTGGACACTGCAGGTCACAATTTTTATCCGATTTTGACGAAACTTGAAATATAGGTCTATCTCCCAAAGATATCGGTTCCTTTCGATATTGGCACGTATCGGACCATAACTTCATGGATTATGCCCCAGATTGTACGAAAAATCATGTTTTTAGCTTGTGGACACTCTAAGAGGTCACAATTTTCATCTCCCAAAGGTCTTGGTTCCTTTCAAAATTCGCGCATGTCGGACCGTAGAGGGTAGCTTGTAACCCCTATAGAGGTCACAATTATTATCTGATTTAAAAATAACGTTCGAATATATCACCGTTAAACCATAATATCGGTTGAGTTCGAATTTCGTGAAAATCGAACCAAAACTGCCGGACGAAATGGCCGTCCCTCGTACGGAAATAGTGTTAAAAAAATATGGTATATCAGTGTTGTGGACCCTCTAAACGGCACGATTTTGATCCGATTTTGATGAAACTAACATAGATGTTTATAACCCAAAGATCTTGGTTTCTTTCGATATTCGCGCATTTCGGGTCGTAACTTCCTGAATTATGGCCCTTGATTGTACGAAAAATCGCGTTTTTAGCTTGTTGCTCCTCTAGGTAATAATTTTTATCCGATTTTAAAAACCGTTTAAATATATCACCAGTTACACCAGAATGTAGGTTGAATTCAAATTTCGTGATATTGAACCAAAAATGGCCGCCCCTCGTACGGAAATTACGGTAAAAAATGTAGTACAACAAGGTTGTGGACCCTACAAAGATCACAATTTTCATCCGATTTTGATAAAACTTGAAATGCATGTTTATAACCCAAAGACCTTGGTTCCTGTCGATATTCGCACATATCTGAACGTAACTTCCTGAATTATGGCCCCTGATTGTACGAAAAATCGTGTTTTTAGCTTGTGGTTCCACTGCGGTCACAATTTTTATCCGATTTAAAAAAAAAACGCTCGAATGTATCACCGTTACACCATAATGTCAGTACAGTTCAAATTTCTTGAAAATGCCGGACAAAATTAAAGCACCTTGTAAACAAATAGTGTAAAAGTATGTAATACTAAGATTGTGGACCCTCTAGAAGTCACAATTTTGACTTGATTTTATGAAACTTGAAATCTATGATTATAACCCAAAAATCTTGGTTCCTTTCGATATTTGCGCACATCAGACCATAACTTCCTGGATTATGCCCCCGGATTGTTCTAAAAATCCATCGTGTTTTTTTAGCTTGTGGATTCTCTGGAGGTCACAATTTTTATTCGTTTTTAAAAACCGTTTAAATATATCACCATTCCACTTTTTGTACGCAAATTGTGTAAAAATATGTAGCCTAATATGCGAAGGTTGTGCACTCTCTAGAGATCACAATTTTTATCCGATTTTGATTAAACTTAAAATATATATCTTTATATCCCAAAGATCCCAGTCTCTTTCGACATTTGCGCATTTCAGACCATAACTTTCTGGATATGGCTCCCGATTGTACGAAAAGTCTCCTTTGTTTTTAGCGTTCTCTACCCATCTCTTGCAAAATGTGGGCGTATCTTGCCTGGCAACCGCTGGTTTGTACAAATGTTTATTTTGATGAAATGATAAACTGGCCTACCCAACCAAATAAAATATACCGAGTTGGGTAATTGTGGATTTAGGAGAGGGCTGTAGTGGATAAACCTAGTGGGGGAAATTAGAGACATAAAAAAACACATAAACTGTTTTCATATCTGTGAATCGAACCAAGTTCAAGCTTGCTTATCATTTCCCAGCTGTTCTTTTTACTATCTGTTACTGCACAATTTATGTTGTCGGAACAAATAACATAGAGGAAATACCAAGAAGGAAATTAATAACTTTAAGATAGTAAATAGACCAGATTCAATATCAGTTGACCCCAACCCTTTATACAGGGAAGTAAAGTTTTTGACATTTTTGTTGATATTCAAAAATCTGCAAAACAATTGATTAAAGGTGTTGTCAAGCTCCTTTGATTAAATTAAATTGAAAGGATGCATTCTCCACCTTTATAACTTGTATTGTTATAAAAAGAAAAAAACAATTTAGGTCCATATTTTATTCAAAATATATGTATTTTGGGAACGGGCAGAGTCTATGTAAAACCTTGCTCAATAATTATCAATGTGTAGTTTCTCCCCATCCAACCTATTAAAATGTCTTTACAATTCAGTTTTTATAAAAACAACTGTGTGATTTTTTTTTCTTTTTTGGTTTTGCCAGATTTTATGTTGGGTATTGATTCAAGGAAATTTTATGTGAAGTAAATATACTATTCAAAAAAAGTAGGGGATATTTGATTTTGGGGGCATAATACTAAAATATGCAAATGACTACGAAAAAAGTCACTATAGAACCTAACAGAAGACACATTTCCAGTTACATGTGACGCCCAAACGCACCAATAGCTACCGCATGGAATGCAGGTGATGCTTGGGATCATCATGGGGGTCCAACCCAAGATTTGCACGACTCTGACTTTGAATGTTACAGTCATTGTGGCATTGAATTCCAGGGTGGAAACATCAGTTTAATTGTTTTAGTGACCAGAAAACATATTTTGATATGCGTCGGCTTACCCAAAATGAAAGGTTACGTGCCCTTGGCATGCTACAGATCGGCACAACACAGGCGGTTGTGGCGCGGACGATGAATGTTTCTCAGTCTGTCATAAGCAGGCTATGGTCCAGATACCGTGATACACAATCTGTACAGGACAGACCACGCTCAGGTCGACCAAGGGCGACAACTCAAGCCCAGGATCGATTTATCCGTACCTTGGCCTTGAGAAATCGTGTCATCACAGCAAATCAGATCAGCGCTCGTGTTCAAACAGACACTGGTGTGAGAGTGAGTGGCCAGACGATTCGGAATCGACTGCATAGGGGTCACATTCGCGCCCGACGTCCTCGCGTGATCCCTTGTTCGAGAGATCATCACATTCAGGCAAGACGTCGTTGGTGTAGGGATCGTCAACACTGGGATAATCGACGCTGGAGCAATGTGATGTTTTCAGATGAGTCAAGGTTCACTGTTGATTTTTTGGACAGACGTAGGAGGGTGTGGCGTCGTCGAAACGAGCGCTTCCAAGACGTTAACGTCATCAGACATGATCGATTTGGGGGTGGTTCTGTTATGGTGTGGGGAGGCATCACTGTTGCTGGAAGTACGGCTTTACATGTTGTTGCAGGGCGTGCTACAGGCCAGTACTACCGGGACAACATCTTTGCAGTCCATGTTGTGCCGTTCGCACGACGTCATGGCCGCCGTTTCATCTTCCAGGATGACAACGCAAGATGTCACAGAGCCAGGATCGTTACAGGTTACCTCCAACAACAGAACATCACCACATTACCTTGGCCAGCACTGAGTCCCGACCTCTCCCCCATCGAGCATGTCTGGGACATGCTTGGACAGAGGTTACGTCAACGTCAACAACGTCCTGCCAATGTCCAAGAACTTGCTGCTGCGTTGCAACAGGAATGGGACAATCTGGACCAAAATGACCTTAGACGTCTCATTAGGAGTATGCCACGTCGGATCAATGCTTGTTTGGCAAACAGAGGAGGATTTACCCGTTACTGACTTGGTTGTGATGCTGTGGTAACTTTGCTGTTTGACCCCGGGTATCATTTTACCCTTATAATGGTCAGTCTGTGCCTTACTTAGTCTAACGATCATTTGGAATAAATCGATGAATGTGAACTTCATTTCATTTTGTCATTTGTTTCTTCGTCAGTTTCATTAGGTGACTTTAATAACACTTAAAAACCAAATATCCCCTACTTTTTTTGAATAGTATATAAAAGTAAATGAATGCTGGTTTGCGATTTGTAATCTATGTGCAGAATCAGTAGTTGTAACAAAAAATGGTGATGTATTCCAGTGGCATATGCAGCGTTTAGGGAGAATGAGTCAAACAGTTTTTATAATTCATATTAATGGCAAGGGAGATATTTAACAGAACCCTACTACAAAAAGTAGGCAGACGACCATTAATTTCCCCATTGTCATTGACTTCAATGTTAATTCTGGTCTCTTGGCCCGGCTCCAGCTTTTCCCCAGATTTTTGTTGGACTGAAAGCTTTTCACTACAGGCACCAAAAAATGACCATGGCATTGCTCTAAATCTGTGTCCAAATTTGTCAGAATCAAAAATAGCCGCCAATTTTTACCGAAGCATCATAATAATATTATGACTGAGTTTATTATCAAAATATGCGTCTTCATGGTTGCTGAATCCGTTTCCATACAAATTTTGGTGATTGGTCATAACTGGATAATAATTCAAGATGGCGTGAAAATTCGAATTTTACAAAATGATCATATTTGGTGTCAAAATATACGTTTTTGATGTGGCTGATTCTAGTTTCTCATCTCGGTGATTGGTCGAACACGGAAACTACAGGCAAGCGAGCCAACGTCTTTCTCACTGAGTCGCCGTGGATCCCAAAAGGGAGAGAGAATTGCTGTATAAGCCTGCCTCCTATATACAGGTGTAGTAAAATCGGGAACCGAGCAGCTCGCCAAGTTGAATTGCTGGCGCGATATAAATCAATTATTATTATTATTATTTGCTGGAACTCCGTCCATAACAAGCTGACATAAATACCGGGGTCCGTGTAAGCCCTGATTATATTGGAGAGTCTACTACTCCGACGAGTGAGAGAGAATACAACCAAGCTCTCACCACTTCCAAAGTTGTTCTTTCCCCTCGACCTAGCAGCATGTAACCGTGTCATATCCAGTAAGAGTATTGGCTAGCGGGGTTTCAATCATAATTGTCATGTGTTTCTCCGTAGTTTGACCAATGTCATCGGTTGTTCTTTCTTTGATTGGCGATTCCATTGTAACGCGATTCTTGTCACCTTGTTATGGACAGAGCTCGTCAAATCGATGCCTGAAACA